ATCCTCCACACAGGGTTGGAGGCTTAGTAATGACGTGCAGCCTTGAGGGTCGGTCCTCCCACTGAGCAGCACGGCTGCCGTCTGGACGGGGCCATCTGCGCCCTTTCAGGGTTCTCCGAGCCCTCCTGGCTGTCCAGCACCTCCGTCCCTGGTGCCAGCGGGTCACACGGGGTGGGTGCCTCTCCCTCATTTGCCTGGAGACCACCCAGCTGTGGGCAAGGGTCTCGAGGGTGGAGAAGCACAGCCCCCCCACCACACACACACACACACACACACACACACGTCCTGGCTGCTGCGGGGGTGCTGCCGGAGCTGTGCCCGAGGCTCCGGGCTGGCATGGATGGCAGCGGCAGGTTCGCAGGGAAGCCCCGGGCACATGCATCGGTGGAAGCCGGCCCTGGTCCGGGCTCCATCACCAGCCAGGAGCCACTGGCCACGGGGGCCGCTCGGCTCCTCCCTCTAAATATAGCCCCGCCGGCTGAGCTCAGGCTTATTTTGGGCCGAGCTGGGAGGCAGCCAGGCCTTCGCCGGGCTCTCCGAGGAGCCACGGCTGCCTCCATCCCGTCCTGCGTCTGGGGCTACATCGGCCTGCCAGCCCGCCCACCCATCATGCCGGAGGCGGCCCAGGAAGGTAGGTGACTGAGGAGGGCAAGGCCCCAGGGTGGCCCTGTGGACAGGGGAAACCTGCCCGTCCCGCTGACCTCCCTCCCTCAGTCACTCATCAGTCCCCAGTCCCAGCTGAGCAGTGGGGCCTGCACCGTCCCTGGAGGAAGACCCCCTGAGGCCTGCCCATTTCCCTGGGGACGGCCGGGAGGGATGAGGGCAGGGGGGGCCACCCAGCAGGGGGAGGGTTAACTGCAGGCTGCACCACGTGAGTGTGGGACAGCTGCCTGGCCAGTTCAGCTCTTCCTTCAGGGAGGAGGAGGGACTGGGGGTTGGGGGACGGGGTGCAGGAAGCATTTGGGCACATGGCCCAGGACTGGGAGGAGCGAGGCTCTGGCTTCCTCCACCTTGGGCCCGAGTGGCTCCACCTGGCTGAGGCTGGGTCTCTTGGCGGGTCAGTGACTACGTGACTGGTGGCTGCTCGCTGTCTGCCCCCATGCCAAAGGGGAACGGGGCCCAGCAGGCTCAGCCAGCCAGCGCCCCATCACTTTCAATGTTTTAGGCGGGAAGGGGGGGGGTCAGAAAATGATGATTTCCCTTTGGGTGGTGGGTACACAGTGCAATTTGCCGACCATGTGTCATAGAAACGTATTTTAAAAATCAAGACAATTAACAACTGGTAGCAAGTATAGCTTGCCCTAGCCAGTTGGGCTCTGTGGACAGAGCGCCAGCCTGTGGTCTGAAGGGTCCCAGGTTTGCTCAGGTCAAGGCCACGTACTTAGGTTGCAGGCTGGGGCCCGGGCCCTGGTCAGGGCGTGTGTGGAAGGTTCCGACCTGCTATGTCTCTCTCTCATCGATATCTGTCTCTCCACCTCCCTTCCACTCCCTAAAAACCAATGGAAAAATGGCCTTGGGTGAGGATTAGCAACAAAGAAAAAACTTTTTAAGAAAAATATAACCTGTAGAAATCACAAAATCAATACTTTGATGGATCCAAAAATGAGTAATTAAAATCCAGGAAAAGTGCAGAGCCCAGGCTGGGAAGAGGCCGTGATGATGAGGGAGCCACACAGATCAGGCAGAGACCCAACCAAATGGGTCCAGAAGGCCTTTATCCCCCCCCCTCAACTTAGCACACATGTGCGTACACATGTGTACATGTACATTTTCCCAGTGGAGATGCCCAATGGTGTCAATGGTGTACCCTTTTGGGGCAGTGGGCAGCCATTCTGGGGGACAATTTGAAGACAGTTTTTTTAAAAGTCCCTGCTTTTGGACCCACTGATCCTGCTTCTCAGAACCTGTCCATATTCACGACTGGGGAACGGAGAGCCTGCCGTCCTCAGCAATGGCATCCTCCGCTGGGCAACCGGCTCCCACAGGGACTGGAGACAGAATCGCCCACAGCCCGGCGGGCGCCTGGGGCAGTGGCAGGTCTCCCCTGGGGTTTTGAGGGAAAACAGCGGCCCGGAGGGAGGCTCTGCCCGGGGAGCGGAGCAGGAGGCAGGACTGAGCTGCCCCCGAGGCTGGAAACCGCTCTGGCCGTGAGCGATCAGAGGAGCACCTGCGAGGCCGAGGGGCTGGGGAGGAGGAAACACCTGAGCACGCTGGGCCCCGCCCTCCTGGGGTGAGCCAGCTATGGGCTCGGGGTCATCCTGGCTCCACGATTCCGGAGCTGGACTTAGGGGGTTGAGCCCACGGCCCGTCGCCCTGTCCCCACCTTCGGAGCCCGTGCTGCCTCTGAAAGACACCCAGAAGGAGGGGGCGACCCACTGGCTGGAACAACCGTGCTGCCCCCGCAGACACCACGGCACCGGCACCGGCACCGAGACCGGGGAGCCGGGCGGCACTGGCCAACCACGTGCAGGAGGTGCACCTGCTCCGGGTGGAGTCCATCAGCGACCTGCACGGCGGAGGTGAGGGGGGCGGAGGGATGGGGGGACGGACGGCCAGCCAGCGCCCACTCCTCTCCTGACGCCCCGTCTGCCCGCAGGCTTGCTGTGCCCCTACCTGGCCGAGGAGGCGCAGCCGTGGGACGAGCTGCTGGGCCTCCTGCCTCCCGGCTGCAGCCGCGGGGCCTTCCTGCTGCTGCTCGCTCTGCTGGTGCTCGCCTGCCTGGCGCTGGCCATCCTGGGGGTCTACCTGAGCGGTATGGGGGGCCAGGCCAGGGGGGACCAGGGCGAGGGCGTGGGACTGGAGTCCGAGCAGCTGCCGGGAGCGGCTGGAGACGAGAGGCCGTGCGGGTGGGGTCGCAGAGCTGGGTGGGGGGGAGTTACAGGGTGAGGGGGCACATGGCCTGATAACCCCCTCCTGCCGCCCGCAGTGCTGCAGAGCGAATCCCTCCGCACTACGGCGCACACCCTGCGCGCGCAGGAGGAGACCCTGCTCAGGCTGCGGCTGGCCAGCCTCAGCCAGCTGCGGAGGCTCAACGCCAGCGAGGCCGGGGCGCCCAGCTGAGACGGGCCGGGCTGGAGTCGGGGGGAGGCGTCTGTGGGGAATAAACTGGCCCTTGGCAGGTCCCTCCTCTCCCTCTGCTGCTCCACACCACGTCCTGAGGGTTTCTGTGCCAGAGCCGGACCGGGCCCCACGGCTGGCTGCCCGCCGGCCTCCTCGGGCCAGGCCTGGCCAAGGCTCCCGGGCCAAGGCCCTGCTCGGGTGGCCCAAGGTCAGGGGACGCGATGCCAGCTCCAGGCTCCTCCTGTGGCCGGCCAGCACGCCATGGCCTCCCCGAGAGCAGGCTCCCAAGTCTGCCCCACCCCACTCACCCCAACGTGGCCAGGCTCCCCAGAGGGGGTCCGGCCTCAGCTCTCAGGACAGGCCGGGCTGAGCAGGAGGGCACCTGGGAGGCTCCGGAGGGCTCAGCAAGGCAGAGCTGGAAGAGTGAGCTGGGCCCAAGCTGGGGAGGGGATTGGGGGAGGGGAAGGGGTGGAGGGGAGGGGAGGGGCAGGTAGACACCCAGGAGCCAGGGCCACAGCAGGCTGGCAGTTTAATCACCTCCAATGTCTTTAAAAGCCCGCACACGAAGCCTCCCCTCCACACGTGGTGACGTTCGGCCGCGCCTCCCTGTCCTCAGGGAGCGGTCATCCCGGGACAGGTGCGCCTGGCCTGACGGACACAGGGCAGCAGAGGCCCCTGGCCGAGGGCGGGGGTCCAGAGTGGCCTGGCTCCAGCCGCCCACCCCCGTGTGTTTTTGGTTTAGCCGTTAAAAAAATAAAGCGACACTTCCCGGCAGGGACCAGCTGTGCGCCGTCTTCTGTCAGATCGGGCCGGCCTCACAGCACGTCCGCCCGCTTGTCCCGCACGCGGCTGCGCGCCTTGGTCCGCGCTTTGCAGGCGGCTGCGTTGTACAGGTGCTGCGGGGGGCAGGGGGTCTGTGAGCGGGGATGGGGGGAGCCAGGGCCCCTCCCGCCCCTGAGGAGCGCCGGCAGCGGGACAGGGGCAGACCTTCTCGAAGCGGGAGACCTTGCAGGCCTTCAGGGCGGCGGCGTCCAGCACCAGGGCGGGGCCCAGGCCGAAGACGTCCCGGAGCAGCTCGTTGTTCTGGGGGAGAGGACAGTGAGCGGGGCGGGGTGTGTGTGTGTGTGTGTGCGCCCTCCCGGCCCGCTCCCCACCTGCAGGTGGTGGTGCAGGCCGGACCCCAGCACGTCCTTGAAGGCGGCGTAGACGCGGCGCCGGGCCCAGCTGTCCACGTAGAGCGCCTCGAGGCCGAAGCGGACGGTCTCCTCCTCACAGTCGCCACCCTGCGGGCACAGGGCGGTGAGCGGGCGGGCGGGCCCGGACCCTCACCGGGACGCGCCCGCACACGCACCTCCACGAAGCGCAGCACGGCCCGGAAGGTGGCGCGCTGGCGCCGGCGGTCGGCCTTGGCGCGGTGCTTGTTGCTGTCGGTGGCCAGCGTGCGCAGGGCGCCGCAGAGGGCGTCCATGTCCGCGTAGGTCAGGTCCTCCTGCGGGGCGGCAGGCGGGGGCACCGGGGCCTGAGCTCCGCAGGCTGCACGCGGGCTGCCCTCACCCTGCCTGTCACTGAGGGCGTCACTCTCCTGTGCCGGGGCCCCGGGCCCGCCTGCACCCGCCTGGGCCGGGGGGCCCTGCTCCAGGCCCCGGCACAGGCCCCGCCTGCCCCCCCGTCTCTGCCGGCTCTCGCTCTGACTGCAGGCTGCCCTGTCTCGCCGGCACCCCCGCACCAGCCGGGGAGGGGCACAGGGTGTCGGAGGTGCCCTCCCGGCACACCTCGAGGTCCCGGGCGAGCTCGAAGAGCAGTGCGATGGTCTCGCCGGCGGCAATCCGCAGGTTCACAGTCTCACTGGACAAGAGCTGGTGCAGCCGGGGCAGCTGCCTGGGGAGGGGGCGAGCTGAGCTACCTGTGTGGGCTGGGCCCCTCCCGCTGCCCTCCCGCCCGGGGGCAGTCACCGCTACCTGTCCAGGATGTGGCTGAGGTGGCTGCCGGGGCAGATGGTGAGCAGCAATGCCCAGGCTTGCAGGGTGGCACAGAACACGCCATGCAGGTTGGCAGGGGCTGTGGAGCCGCCCGCACTGCAGGGCCGGCTGAAAACCCCCTCCAAGCAGGTGAGGCAGGAGAGCAGGTCCTAGGGGCACGGGAGGAGGGGAGCGGCTCAGGGGCGGGCTCGGGCCTGGTGCCCCACTCCCTGCGCCCACAGGCCACGTACCTGGACGTCAGCGGCAGCCACGTAGCAGCCCAGGCCCAGAGCAGAAGCACACTGTGGGGAGACAAAGATCACGGTCAGAGAGGAAGCCCTGGTTCCCGCGGGGCTCAGCCTCAGAGCGGGGGGCGGGGCGGCCCTGGCACAGGAGGAGCCGCCTCTCCGAGGAGGGATGTGGAGGGAGGGGAGGTTGCGCGGGGCACCGCACACTCACGTGGAGCCGGGCGGAGGGGCTGGCGGTGGGGTCGGTGAGCACGGACACTAGGAGGGGCTGCAGGCCCTGGAACAACTCCTCGCTCTGGGGCCCGGGCCCCAGCTGCACGCAGAGCAGGCCCCCCAGGGCGGCGGCCAGCGCCTGCTCCTCGCCCTTCCCTGCGGGGACGCCTCCAGTCAGTGTGCACCAGGGCAGCCCCCCGCCACTCAGGTGCCCACGGCGCACCCCACCTTTCCGGAGGCACTTCTCCAGGGCGTCGGCCAGCGTGAGGCTGCGCTGCAGCAGGAAGTCGGGGAGCAGGCGGGCGGCCAGGGCCAAGCGCAGGCTCTCCAGAGCGCCCTGCCGCGTCTTGGCACTGGGGGGCAGGGGGAGGGGGAGGGTGTCCTGAGGGCCAGCCCGGCCCGGTCGCACCCACCACCGGCTGAGCAGGGACAGGGGGCAGGCGAGTGGCTGGCAGCCCGGGTACCTCTTATCGGTGAGGCAGTCCACGTACTCCTTCAGCTTCTCCTCCAGCTCCTCCTGCTGGCCCTGCTCGTCCACGGCATCGCCCCCTGCAAGGCCACCTGGTCAGCCCTGGCCCCGAAGGCCCTGCCGGTCCCTGCCGAACCACCCGCGCTCACCGAGGCCGTCCTCCGCCGCGGTGCTGGCGAGGCTGGGGCAGTCGCTGGTGGTGCTGCGGGCCTCACTGGCCGCCTCGTCCTCACTGGAGCCCGAGTCCGCCTGGGCGCTGCTCTGAGCACCTGGGAGGGTGGAACAGACCATGTGGCTGCCTTCTCGGATGAGTGAGGGCTGGGGTACCTCATCCAGCCTCACGGCCCCCCAAAACCAGAGGCTGCCCCTCCCAGAGACGAGAAAACCAGAGGCGGGAGGCACAGGGGCTGAGCCGGGAAGCAGGAGAAAGGGAGCGAGGCCGACCAGGCCCAGCCTAGGGTCCCTGGGAGAGCCGAGCCCAGCCCACTGCCTCTGAAGCCCGAAGGCCAGGTGGAGGCAGAAGGGGCTGTACAGGCCCTGCCTGAAGGGGGCGCATGCCTAGGCTCGCCTGGGGGAGCTGTCACTGGCCCGGATGATGCCCCCAAATGGCCAGAGCAAGAGTCAGGGACTTGGCTTACAGAACAAGACAGACCCAGGGTTCAAATCCCAGCGGCACCTCTGAACGGGGTGCAGGTCAGGCGCACACTGAGTGCCCAGTGAAGGCCCTTCTGGAAGCGACAGGCTCACCCCCACCATCGGCCCTGGGGGCAGAGCCCAGGCTTCCAGGCACTGTCTCCTGAGCTGCCCTGGGCCAGCCCGGCCCTCAGCCCTGGGGGGGTGAGCACCCAGGCTCCGCCTGCCCTGGGAGGTGCAGAAAGGGGTGGCCCCTGACGGCAGGAGCCCCTGGAAACACTAACTCGGAGCGTCCGGCTCAGCAGAACTGAACACCCGTGTGCGTAGGTTCTGCGAGGGCCGGGGCAGCGGTCACAGCTGAGCCCCCAGGGGGTTCTGGTCGCCAGGCTGGTCCTCGCCCCAGGAGCTACACCCTCCATGTGCCTGCGGACAAAGTCCGACCCCCACGCGGCCGCTGCTCCTCTCCTCTCCCTCCCACCAGCCAGGCTCCCAGGCCCGGGCCTCCCGGGGCCAGGCCTCTGCGCCACCGGTTCCCTCCGCGTGTGGCTCTCTCCTTCGCCTTCTCAGGGCTCACCCAGAAGCCCCAACCCTGAGGCTTCCCTGGCTGCCTACCCCTGGGGCTGGCACACTCCGCGAGCTTCCCCCCAACCAGCCGTTCTGGAACTGCACGACCCTCTTAGCCGCTCTCCCGCCCAAGCCCAGGTCCCTGCTCTGCCCCGCAGGCACCCCCAGCGCTGCACGCTAACATCTGTTTGCTCCGCCAGACACTCCTGGCGCCCGCTGATAAGCGCTCCGGCTGCCTCCGGCTCCGGGGCTCAGTCCGCCGCCTGGGGCCGGGTCCACCCAGGCCGCAGGCCCGGGACCCCCTTTGCCCCCTCCCTCCCTCTCTCCCTCCCTCCCTCCCTCCCTCGGTGCTCCCCCAGGCCTCCCACCAACTTCCTAGTCCGGCCCAGGAAGGACCCGGCTTGGGGAGGGGGCGAGCTTCCTTCTCCGTCCCGCGGGTTTGGCTGACAAAGCAGGCAGCTGGGCAGGAGGAGCAGAGGGGAAACCGAGTCCGGGGCGCCCACCGCGTCAGATTCGGGGGCGCAGGCTCCGGACGCAGCGGCGCGCTCCCCTCGGGCGCACACGTGGCCGGGTCCCCGGGGGCACGTGCGGGCGCGGGAGCTGCGGGGAGCGGCGCCCGCTGGTGCAGCAGGAGCTCCCGCCCGGGACCCTCAGGGACACCGCGGGGACCCCTACCGGGACCCCCGCCCGCCGCCCCTCCGCGGCCCGCGCCCACACTCACCGCCTCTGCGGCGCGGGCCGCCCTTGCGGGGCGCGCTGCCCTTGCGGGAGCGGGGCATTCCGGAACCGGGCGCGAGGGGCGCGGGGTCAGGGGCCCGGCGGGCTGGGGCTCCAGACCAGCGAGCCGCCGGCCGTTGCGCGGAGCTGAGACTGAGGCGGGCGACGGGAGCCACACGCCGCGCGTACCACCATCTTCGCGAGGCGCCCCGCCCTGCCAAACCGGTCGGAGCGCCCCGCCCTGCTGGACAGGTTGCCGGGAAGGCGAGTTCCTGGCCGTCCGGTCCGGGCCCGCAGCCACGAGGCCGGAACTACTACTCCCAGGGAGCTGTGCGCGCGTATGAAGGCTAGCCCCGGAGCATCTCGGGAATTGTAGTCCACTCCCGTGACCCTGAAGCCCGCGACTTTCGCTGAACTGTGCGCCCACAACCCTCCGTGTCCTCCCCGACCCACACCCCCAGCAAACGCCACTAGCGTTAACTTTGAAAGCTTCCCACCACGCAGGACTCGCATCTCTGGACGCGTGCAGCGGACACTCGCGACTCCATGAGCATGGGGCGCGGGGCAACGCAGTGAACAGCCAAACGTCAGGCAGCGAAAGAAAAAGTGACTTTATGATGAAAGCAAAGTACAGACAACAGTTTAGCGCGCACAGACCTTGGTCAACATCTTGAGACCCGCCAGTCCCCTTCCTTCGGCATCTCTCTCCATGGACCCGTGATGTGTAGAAACAGAGCCCTGGGCTGGCACCTCACCATCTGGAACCTTCTCTCTCCCCCTAGGTCAGCTTCCTTTGTAGCAGGGATCAGGTGATCTGAGAGCCTCTGGTTTTAAAATAGTGGAAATTTGTTTTCTGGTCCCTTCCACTCCCCAGGGGTCCCATGGGAAGTAGGGTGTGTGTGAGAGAGAGGACAAGAGTGGGACAGAATCCTCAAGGGCTGCAAAATGGTGGCGGGGACAGGGGGTCACAGCAGGGGACCCCTGGCTTTATGCTGTTTCCTCAGGCCCTGGCATAGGCCTGGGCTCCTGGCAGGTGGGGCCGGCCCAGCCCCGGTAACAGTGGCATCTAAAAGGCTCCCAGGCCCCAGCGCCGCCCCCTGGCGGCAGGTGCAGGAAGGCTTCCTGCTGTCCCGGGTCTCGCCGGGCACAGCGCCCGTGGCCGTGGCACCGCTGGCGGCTGCAGGCTGCGGCCGCCCTGGCCACGCTGGTCACGTAGGGGCCCAGGCTGCCCACCAGGTAGTCGTGAAGGCGCCAGCACTTCTCCTGAGGAATGGAGGGCCGTGTCAGTGTGCCCGCTCCATGGCCCTGGCACCCCCAGCCTGGGCCGCGTGGCAGCGGAGGGCAGTGATCACCTCGGAGCTGGAGAGGCTCAGGTCGCCCCAGAGCACCACGCCGGCCGCCCCCAGCGCCGCGCTCACGCCGATGGTCCGCACGAGGTCGTCCTGGAGGCAGAGTGCCGCTGAGCCGGCTGAGCTGCCCCGTCCCCGGGCCTACCCCCGCCTTCCAGAACCGTCCCTGACTCAGCACCCCAACCAGATCCCACCTCTAGAGAGGGCCCCTCGGCACCCAGCCCCCGGCGGCTTCTCGCCCTCCACCCAGAGAATGTCTCCCCTCAGATCAGGGCCCCCAGGCTGGCGGTGCCTCCCCCGGGGCAGAGCCACACCTGGCAGATGCTCCAGGTTAGGAATGCCCCCTCAGAACCAGACCAGGGCCTCCCCTTCCACCCCACCCCCAAACCCCTCCCTGAGACAGGGCCAGGCCTCCCCACTGGACACAGCCGTCCCTCACCTGGGACAGGAACCGTCCGGAGCGTCGGCGGGTGAGGCGGGCGTACGCCAGCACCGGCAGGGGGTGGGGGTGCCCGGAGCGAGCCACCTGGAAGGCCTCCTCCAGGCGGTGCCGCACAAACGCCTGGCGGTGCGCGGGCGGCAGCCGGGGCGGCAGGTAGATGCTGGGGAAGAGGGCGCTGGAGGCGGCCCAGAGCCAGCGCAGCTGGGTGTTGCGGGCGCGGGCGGCTGGGTGGCAGCGGCCTGTGTAATTGGCAGCGGCGCCGTGCCAGCCGTTGCCGCAGGCCGGGAAGCGGTAGAAGCCCCAGAGCCCCCGGGGCCGCAGCGCCCGGCCCAGCTGCAGGGTGCCCTCCATCAGCGCCCGCGCCGCCTGCTCGAAGGCGGCCCGGGCCTGGCGGAGCTGCTCCCGGGGGTCCTGGCGGGGCAGCACCCGCCGTGCCCACGCCCACGAGGCCGCCTGGTAGGCGCGGCGGCGGCCCCAGTTCCCAGCCCAGAGCGGGCACCATTCTTCCCAGTCCAGCACCGCCAGGCCGGCGAAGCCGGGGCTCAGGCTGCGGCGGATCTGGCTGGCTGCGCGTGCCAGGTGGCGGGCCAGGGGCGCGGCCTGAGGGATGCCCCCGTTGTGAGCTGTGCCCCCGGGCCCGATGTAGGGATAGAGGCCCAGCTGGTTCTTGTAGAAGATGGTGATGTTCTGCCCGCGGAAGCTCTGCCCGCGGTTGGCAGTGATGCCCAGGGCCTCCAGCGGCAGGTGCACGCCAAAGCGGGCCCCACAGCGTGCCGACGGCACGTTCCACAGCACGGAGAAGGGGGCTTCGGGGGCCCCCGGTGGGGGCTGGCCACGCCCCAGGCACAGGGCCGCCCCGAGCACCAGGGCCGTGCCCAGCTGCATGGTCTCGCCCCGGGATCGGACCTGCAGGAGAGAGGGTGTGAGCTTAGGGTCCAAGGCCATGCCTCCCACACGGTGGGGAGAGCGCCCCTAGCCCCTCCCCCCAGTGGGGAAAGCATGGCCCCCGACAGGTCCCGGGGCCTCTCAGAGCAGCCACACCCCGGGCTGGCCTGGTTGCTCCCCTCCTGCTCTCCACCCTCCACCCTTGACCCTCTCCACCCTGAGCTCTCCAGTCCGTTCCTCCCCTCCCCCGCCCTATCTCCTGCCCAAGGCTCTCAGCCCCAGCTGGCCCCTCAGCCTCAGTCTCCCAACATCACCGCCCCGGGGCCTCCTGGATCTCCAGGGGGCGAGGGCACAGGGCTCCCACCGTCCCAGCAGGCCACTGCCGGCTGTCTGCCTGCGGCTCTGTCCCCTGGGGTCATGATCCTATCTGTGGGCCTGGTTCCCCATTGCCCGTGGGCAGCCAGGGCCTGACATTCGGCAGGCGCTCAGGGAGTGGTGAGGAGTGAGTGAGTGAGTGTGGAGAGAACAGACACCCTTTCTGCTGAGCCTGGCCGGGTGGGAGGGGCAGACGCAGGAGCCCCTCCATCCACGGCCGAGGTGGACCTGGGCTCCTGCAGGACGGGGGACCTAAGCTGAGCCTGGGAGGCGAGGGTGGGGATCAACAAATAAACCGTCATGGCCACGCCTGACAGAAGCCTTTATTGAGCCACTCTGAGGGCCGGAGCCCCAGCCAGGGAGCCTTGTCCTGCCCCCACCCCCCCTCTCAGCGGCCCCTGGGGCCAGGGGCGGAGGCGGGACTGTCCTGGGGAGTCCACTGCCGTGTCCTAGGAGCCCCTCAGATGTCCTTCTCCATCCAAAAGACGGGGCCCCCTCTCAGGTCACGGTACCCTGTCTCCAGCGGGCTCTGCGGAGGGGGTCCCGCTGGAGCAGGCGGCGAGGCGGCCAGGGACTCGGGCAGGGGAGGGGGTGGCGGCAGTGACGGCCCTTTGGAGGCTTTGGGGGCAGCGTGGGCAGCCAGGCTAGGGGCCCTGCAGGGCAGCCGGGGGCACGGGGCGCTGGAGAAGACACGGAGCAGAGCAGCGGGCACCCGGGGGCTGGTGAACACCAGGCCCTGCACCGGCTCCCCCAGCTGGTAGCCCAGGTGGGCATAGAAGGGCAGCTGGTCACGGGTGCTGAGGTGCAGCCGGCGGAAGCCCCGGGCCTGAGCAAAGACCTCCAGGCCCTCCATGAGGCGGCGGCCAAAGCCGCGGCCCCTCAGGGCCCGGGCCACCACCACGGTCTCCACGAAGAGGCTCTGGGGCCGGTCTAGCACCCGTGAGAGGCGGGCGTGCCCCACCACGACGGGGGCGTGCCCGGGCGCCGGGTGGGGGCTCAGCAGCATCAGGCAGAGGGGGAAGCTGTCGGAGGACTGGCCCAGGGAATGCAGGCGGGAGGCGCGGCTGCGCGGCCACTGCTCGTTGATGAGGTCTGCGCAGGCGTCCAGGAGCTCCGGCCGGCAGTGCACAGGCTCCACGGTCAGCTCCGCCAGGCTGGGGGCTGGGGTCGCCTCTGGCCGGTGCGTGGGGTCCAAGGTCAGCTCAGCCAAGCCAGGGAGGAGGGTCATCTCTGCACGGCATGCAGACCCCGAGGCCAGCGCAGCCGGCCTGGGGCTCCGGGTCCGCTCTGGCTGGTGCGCAGGGTCCTGGGGCCGCTTGGCCGGTCGGAATCCCGGGGTCAGCGCCAGCTGGCAGGCAGGATCCGGAGTCAGCTCGGCCGGCTGGGGCTCAGGATCCGCTCCAGCCAGTTGGGAGGGTCTAGGGGAGGGTCAGGCGGCGAGGCGAGGCTCAGTCAGCTCAGGCCTCCTGTAAGATCCGGGCTAAGCTGCGTCAGGCTGGGAGCTGGCCCCTAGCTCAGGTTGCAGGTGGCTCAGTGCCAGGCTGGGGGATCAGGCCAAGGTCTCCAGGAAGTGGCATCTCCTCACACCACAAGGTGCTCCTCCTGTGGACACCAGCCAGGCCGGGCTGTGCCAGGAGGGAGGACTGGCTGGGGCAGGGGCAAGTGGACAGAGTGTCCGGGGAGCATGTGCCCTCTAGCAAGGAGTGAGGGCTGCACCTTGTTCCCAGGCTCACCTGATGGTGCAGGTGGACCAGAGGGACCTACACCTGGCGTGTGGGGGTGGGGGGGAGAGGGGAGAGACTCAGTGGACAGCAGAGGGATGGCTTCAGGTGGCCTGGCCTGGCGGCTCTGGCTTTAGCGCTGTCCTCCCCAGGACAGTTGACCTAGCCCTGCACCATGGCGACTGGCTGGCCACAGGCAGCTCATGCAAAGCAGACGCAATGACCCCTTGTTAACGCCCCAGGGCTCCTCACCGAGTTGAGGCAACTCGCTGTCCTGGGGAGCTCCTCCCCTCCCCCATCCCGAAGTCCAGGCCACACCCTAACCCCGTGGGCCATGCTCGCCACATAACTGAGGGGGTAGGGGGCCTGTGTGCCATCACTCACCCAGCAGGCTCTTTCCTCCCGCCTGGATGGGCCTCCAGCCCACGGCCCCTCCCCATCACTGCCCAGCCCAGCCCAGGGCGGGTGCGAGCGCCATGCTTACAATACAAAGCAACTACCGCAACAGTTTGGGAGGGCAGACACCGGAAATGGGTCTCCCTGGGCTGAGGGAGGTTCTGCAGGGCTGGTCCCTTCCGGGGGCTCTAGGAGAAAACCCACTGCCCTGCCCTTTTCCAGCTTCTAGGTCTAGTTCCGTGGTCGGCAAACTGCGGCTCACGAGCCACCTGCGGCTCTTTGGCCCCTGGAGTGTGGTGCGGCTCTTCCACAAAACACCACGGCCTGGGCGAGTCTATTTCGAAGAAGTGGCGTTAGAAGACGTTGAAGTTTAAAAAATGTGGCTCTCCAAAGAAACTTCAATCCTTGTGCTGCTGGCACGTGGCTCTGTGGACCGATGAGTTTGCCGACCACTGAATTCCAGAGGCGCCTGCTCCCCTAGGCTCACGGCCCCTCTCCATCTTTAAAGCCGGCATCGGCTCAGTCCAACCTGTGCTTCCACAGCACCTCCTTCTCTCTCAGGACACTTCGGAGGGTCCTGCTCCAACGGTCCCCTCAGACCGGGCCCAGCAAGGTCCCTGCTCACAGCCACCCGCACTGCTGCAGGCCTGGCTCCCCACGGGCCTGCGTTTCTTGCGTAGCCGCTCTAGATAAGGACCACAGCTTCCTCCCACACCCACAGGGTCCAACGGCCCCCAGGTTAGGGGGCCAGACCTCCTGCCCCCAACCCCACTGCTTGCCCATTCTGCCCCAAGCCCTGCAGACAGGGTCTGTGCCGGGGGGATGCCTGGCGGTGGGGGGTGGGGGTTGAGGCAGGCGCGCTGGGCCCCACTATTCTACTCACCTCCTCGCCAGAGAGGACGTCCTGGCTCCCGCCCCCAGCTCCCCAGCAGCCCCCTGAGCTCCAGGCCAATGTGAGGAGCAGGACGCCCCCTCCCCTCAGCCTCATTCCACTCGGAAGCCCCTCACCTCGACCAGCCACCTCCGCAGCAGCCGCACCCCTTGACCAGGAGGGAGGAAGCCCCAAGATCCGCATCTGGACCAGGAACCCCAGGCTCCCCCGCGGGCTTAACCCCTTCGTACCACCCCACCCCGCGTGGGCGGGGTTCCTGGGCTCAGAGACAGGCGGCCCCTCCGGAGCCTCGGTTTCCCCTCCCTCCTAATGGGGCCGTAAACCATGGGGTTTTGGGGGTGGGGGGTTGGAAACTGGACAGTGGACAGTGGCTGGGTGTGGCTCGGCACGCTCCGGGAGGGAACCCAGACACAGGGAGAGCGAGAGGCGCGACACGGCCACGCGACCTGACACACGGAGCGGACAGAAGCGCGGGGGCAACGCTGACGGACACGCTGCGCGTGGGGAAGGGTGGGTACTGACATGTTGCAGCTGGGCTCCAGGATGCTCGGCGTCCCGCTCCGCACGGGTCCGGATCTCGTTGTCTCTGGCTCGGACTCCTTCACCCGTCCGCGCTGCCCCCTAGCGGCGCGGCGGAGGCACTGCAGCCGTGGCGGCCCGCCACGCCCCACCTGGTCCCGAGTCTCCCAGGGCGGCCAGGCCCCGCCCCCCGGCGCGTGCGTCCTGACACTGACCCGAGGCAGGCCCCGCCCCGCCCGCCCCGCCCCCTGGCGCTGGGCCCCGCCCCCGGCGCGTGAGTCCTGACACTGACCGGACGCAGGCCCCGCCCCCTCCCACCCATTGGCGCTGGGCCACGCCCTGCCCCTGTGAGTCACAGCTCAACGCCTGCTCCGCCTCCCGCTGGCCCCGCCCCCAAGGCCCCGCCCCGGCCCGCCCCGCCCCGGCCGGGCTGTGGTTCCACGCATCACCGCTAAGGACCCGCCTCATTTCGGCTCCCGAAGCCCCTCCGGTGCCCTCCCAACCCACCCCCGCTTGCTACCACCTCCAGCTGCCCCCGTTTCCGCCTCGCCCCCGCGCCGCTCTGTCTCGGCTCCCTCGGATGGAAGCAGCCGGTGGAGCTTCCTCCTGATAGCGGGGTCCCAGCCTGGGAAGTAGCCGCCCTGGGACAGACGTCCATCCCAGGGGAACCTTCCGGGTCCGGAGTTGCACGTGGCTAAGTCGCTCCTCTCAGTAGACAGCTCTGGAGTGAGAATCACATCCGCTTTATTGACAGGATGCAGGCTGCTGACCATGCACCCCGCGGAGCCAGGGCGCCCCGCTGCAGCCGACGCTGGTGGTGATCCCAGCCTCCCCGGAACCTGCTCAGCGCCCTCTCGGCGGCGCCCTAGGCTGAATGAGTCAGGGCATCTCACGTGCTCAGCACGGGGCTCGGAGGGGACCAGGCGCTCAGAATGGCCGTTCTTATGATTGCTGCTGTTCAAAGACGGCCCCCCCCTCTCTCTAGCGGTGACGTTAGAGACCCTGAGGTGGGTGCCGGAGACTCCCGGGCAGGTGCTCCTGACTGTGCGTGGCCTGTGCAGCTGGGCCGGTCCTTGGGAGAGCCCAGCCAGGCCGGAGCGCACTGTTACATGACTCGGTGTGCACCGGGGGTGTGCCAGTCACCACGGGCCCCGCTGCTCACACTCGGCGCCCCTCCAGCGCGGGTAGCAGTGACACTGGAACTCCACCGCCATCCGTTTCCGATCCTCAGGGGAGAGGGCGCCTCGGAGGGTCAGGGGCCCGCCGCCAGGCGGGAGTTCAATGGAGAAACTCGAGGGGTTGAGCAGGAGGAGGGCCTCGGGGTGGTCCGGGCGCCGGGCACAGCGGCCGTGGCCGGAGCACAGGGCCTCGCTGCACAGACGGGCCCCACTGGTCACGTTCAGGACGAAGGGCCCCAGCGTGCTGTCCACGTACTCCTTGATGGCCTGGCATGACCCCTGGGCGGGAGGAGGCACGTCAGGGACGCCGGGCCACGTGTGGGCCCCCGTAGGGCACTGAGGCCCTCGCCGGCCAGCCCGCAGGTCTGCAGGGGTGGAAAGGATGGACCCGGTCTCCCCAGCCGACCTCTGCCCCTCATCCCCCTCCCCCCGCCTGGGCCTGAGCTCACCTTGGTCTTGGTGTTCTCCCAGCTCACCCAGAGCACTGCTCCTGCCGCTCCCTGGGCCACACTCTCCCCCAGGCTGTGCTCCAGCGCCTCCTGGGGGAAGCACAGGCACAGGTGGCTCTGCGGCCCCCCCCCCAGCCGGTGCTGGAACCCACTGGATGAGCCAAAGGTTCCTGTTCCCTGCCTAGGGGCCGCCCTCAGGCCAGCCTGTCCCGCTCTGGCCTGGGTGCCATGCAGGCGGGGCCTGCGTCTTGGCACAGACCTTGGCACACAGTAGGTGGTCAAGGACGTGAGGACGAAGGGGCGAAAGCGGCACCGGGCGGTGTGGCGTCCGTTGCCGGACCTAATGCCCACGAGGCGGGCCGGGGAGGGGGGGGCAGGGCCTCGGGAGGGACTCACCAGGGGCAGGAAGCGGCTGGTGAAGTCGTAGAAGATCTGGACGTAGGGCAGCACCGGCAGACTGGGGGCCCCGGCGGCCCCCGCCACGCGGAACGCCTCGCCCACGCGGTGCCGCACGTACGCCTGTGCCTTCCCCGTGCCCTCCAGTGCCGCAGGAAGGTAGATGCTGGGGTAGAGGGCGCGGCTCTGGGCCCACAGCCACCCCAGCTGGTCGTTCTGGGCCCGGACCCCCGGCGGGCACTCGCCCGTGTAGTTGGGGCTCCGGAAGTCGGAGTTGTAGCAGTCGGGGAAGCCGTAGAAGCCCCAGAGGCCGCGGGGCCGCAGGGCCCGCCCCAGCCGGAGGGTGCCCCCCATCCAGGCCTGGGCGGCCCCCTGGAACTGGGCCTGGGCGGCCGCCTCCACCCAGGGCGCCGGCCAGTCCGGGTGCTGCCCCCGGACCAGCGCCCGTGAGCGCTGCCGGTAGACGTCCTTGGCGTCCCAGTTGAAGGCCCAGCGCGGGCGCCAGGCCTCCCAGTCGACGACCGCCAGCCCCGAGAAGCCGGCGGCGGGCATGGCGGCCAGCACGTCGCGCTGCGCGCGGGCCAGGTGCGCGTCCAGGCTGGCGTTCTGGGGCAGGCCGCCGAACACGGGCTCCCCGGCCGCGGTGTAGTAGGGGTAGGTGCCCAGCTGGGAGCTGTAGAAGATGGTCATGTCCGGGCCCAGGAAGGTCTGGCCCGGGTTGGCCACCACGTCGAACACGCTGACGTCCACGTCCACGCCATGCCTCTCCAGGCACCACTGCGTGTTGGCGTTCCAGACGGTGGTGAAGGGCTGGCTGCGCACCACGGGGCCCCTGGCGCCGGGGGCCATGCCGAGCAAGGCCAGGAAGAGGGCGCAGCTGGGCAGCAGGTGGGCCGCCATGGCGCCGGGCAGGCCGAGGGCAACCTGGCGGGGAGGCAGAGCTGAGAGCCGGCCTTGAACTCTCTGGCCCTGCTCGCTCGCTCGCTCGCTGGCTCGGGGAGCAGCCAAGGCCCGTGCTCATCAGCCCAGCCCGGCTCTGACCTCAGGTGACACTGCCTGGCAGGGCCAGGGAAGCCAGGGGCTGGGACGCCGTCTGAGGCACATCTGAGCGGCCCCTCGGGACAGGCCTGGCCCCGCCGAGGCTCACCCCCACTTCCCCAGGGGCCACAGGAGCAGGGCAGCTGTGTTGAGAGAGCAGAGCCAGACCTGCCCCAGGCTGACAGACTGGTGGGGCTGGGCCCTCCCTGCCTCTCCCCAGGAATTCCCGCAGCCACCGAGGGGATGCTCAGGGACCAGGGACGGCCTCCTGTACCCCCGCCAGTCTGCCCGCTCCTCCCTGCTGACCTCCGGGCTGAGAGGCCTCATCCTCCAAACTCCCGGACTCCGGAGGGCAGCACTCTGTCCTCTGGAGGAAGTCGCCCCACCCAGCCTGGGGGCGGGCAGAGGGGTGGGCCCTGGGTGGGAGGCTGGGCCAGGCAGCAGAGCCACCTCACTACCCCCAGCAGAGTGCCCTCGTGGGGTGGGGCCTGGGCCGGAAGTGCCCTCTGTCAGCACCAGGGCAGGGCTTTACGGCTTTATTTGGCTGGGGTGGGGGTGAAGGCTGGGGGGGGGGCAGGGCAGGCCTGTGTGGTACTGGATCTGGGTACCTTGGGACTGATACCCAGGGAGGTACTTGCCCCCCATGGGGCTGCATGAATCCTGGGCATTTTTGCCGTGGTGGGTGGGCCCCTTCCTAAAAACATTTTTTTCTTTAAAAAAAAATATTTTTATTGATTTCAGACAAGAAGGGAGAGCGATAGAAACATCAATGATGAGAGACAATCGTTGATCGGTTGCCTCCTGCACGCCCCCTACTGGGGATGGAGCCCACCCCCTGGTCATGCACCCTACCTGGGAATGGAACCGTGAACTCCTGGTTCATAGGTCCATATTCAATCACTGAGCCATGCTGGCTGGGCTTTAAATAAATAAATAGATAATAATATTTCATTTGTTTATTTTAGAGAGAGGGAAGGAGAGAAACATTGATTTGTTGTTCTACTTGGTTATGTGTGCATTGGTTGATTCTCTATGTGCCTGACTGGGATTGAATAAAAAAATTCTTGAAAATATATTTTACAACTATGTTGGTATAAAGACAAACACACTCCAGATGGAATCCATTACATATTCCTTATTTATCTCTCTCTCTCTCTCTCTCTCTCTCTCTCTCTCTCTTTTTTGCATTAAAAACCTTTTATTTATAGGTTGTTGACAAGGATTCTGCAGAAGAACTATGCCTACGTGGCACAGGAACCTGTCTGAGCGAGGGGCTGGGTGGGGGCGGGTGTGAGTCTCCACCACTGAATCTGCCCATTACTCTTCTATGAACATTAAACATTGAGCCCTAACCTGTTTGGCGCAGTGGATAGAGCGTCGGCCTGCGGACTCAAAGGTCCCAGGTTTGATTCCGGTCAAGGCCATGTACTTTGGTTGCTGGCACATACCCATTAGGGAGTGTGCAGGAAGCAGCTAATCGATGTTTCTCATCGACGTTTCTGATTCTCTATCCCTCTCCTTTCCTCTCTGTAAGAAATCAATAAAAATATATTTAAAAAATTAAACACTGATGGGCCTCTAAGGTGCTGTGGTCCAGGCGCCACCTCGCTGTGGGGACCAGTCTGAAAGGCACCGGGTGCACGCAGTCAGGCTGCGCTGCCACCCTCTGCCCACCTGCTGGGTCAGGGCTGAGTCTGAGGCCCCGGCTAGTGCCCGTCGGGGCCTCTGCACAACCAGCAGAGCGTACGTTGAATGTGGGGCTGTTGTCTTGTGACTGTGAGGCCAGTCGGGGTGACCACACGCCTGCTCATTCCTGACGATTCCACGTGTTTGCTGATTCACAAGCCAGTGGTGGACGCCGAGCCGGTGCGCAGGCCCAGGCTTGCCTGCGGGGCGGGTGGAGGAGCCAGCAGGTCCCTGGGTCTGCAGCCTGGTCTGGGCCTGAGCCAGTGGCTTGTTGGTCACCAGAGCAGTGGCACAGCTGGCCGCCACCTGGGCTTGGTCCTCCAGGCTGGCTAGGCTGCTGTGGGAGAGGAGGGTCCAGGGTCCTGTGGGCACGTCGGCTGCAGGCCGAGTGCAAGATCTGGGCAGCGGTGGTAGCTGCTGAGCCTGTTCAGAAAGCTGGGTCCCAGAGTGACCAGCACCAGGCCTGGGGCAGCCTGGACCCCTCTCCCTGAGCTCCATGCTGCCTCCTGCTGCCCTTGGAGACGGAGGGCGGCCCCTGGCACCATCCCGCCCACCAGCAGGTCACATTCTCGCTGCCTCAGTGCCAGGGAGAAGCTGTAATGGAACAGCAGGAAGCAGCTGGGTGCCTGCGGCCCTGCCCCACCCCAGGGCACCACCCACAAGCTAGCCTCTGCAGGGCTGGTCCGAGGGATGTGTGTCTGGGGTCTGAGGAATAGAGTGAGGAAGTAAAATGGAGTCACTGGGGCCAAGCTGTGAAAGTACCACAGTCAGTAGGCTGGGCTCCGAGGGAAGGCCGCCTTCTGTTTGCCTGGCTCGGGGCCTCAGATTTGAACTTTGCCTTCCGGCGTCAGGCCTAGGCAGACCTCAGCCCCCGGCGACCCTCTGCTTACCCCCCGAGGACCCCACCCCCAGAGCACCGAGGGGCACCGGCCTCGCTGTGCGCGGGCCAGGCCGCACGTGGATGGCCCTCAGGCTGGGCCAGCACCTCGGCTGCGGAACTGATTCTGAAGAAATGACTCTTTAGCTGCTCACAGGTGAGCCAGCTGCGGGCCCAGACCTGCCTGCTCTCTCGTCGGGCACACCTCAGGCCTGATCCCCTCGCTCCCACCTCCACCCCCACCCTGGCCGCCCATAGGCCAGTTCTGGCTATTATCCTCAGCTGCCCTTTCTCCGGGTGACTTCCAGGCCCCTGGGGGAGCTGGGGGAGGTGCTCACAGGTCACCGTGTGTAACGGGGGTCACAGTGTGTAAAGGGGATCACCGTGTGTAAAGGGGGTCACAGCATGTAACGGGGGTCACAGTGTGTAACGGGGGTCACAGTGTGTAACGGGGGCCACAGCGTGTAAAGGGGGTCACCGTGTGTAAAGGCGGTCACAGCGTGTAAAGGGGGTCACAGCGTGTAACGGGGGCCACAGCATGTAACGGGGGCCACAGTGTGTAAAGGGGGCCACAGCGTGTAAAGGGGGCCACAGTGTGTAAAGGGGGTCACAGTGTGTAACGGGGGTCACAGCATGTAAAGGGGGTCACAGCGTGTAACGGGGGCCACAGTGTGTAACGGGGGTCACAGCGTGTAAAGGGGGTCACAGCGTGTAACGGGGGTCACTGTGAAAGGAGGCCCACAGGAGGGGTCAGAGCTTCGCTCGGGGCTCTGTGTATGTGGACGTCAGACACAGCGGCGGCGGGCGAGTCCAGGCGCGGGTGGGGCCAGAGGTGTGCCCCCATCCCCGGGGCTGGGAGGTGACAGGTGGGAGGAGGGTAGCTCACAGGCGTGTGGGCTCACAGCGGCCCGCTCTCCGCTGGCTCCATCAGCTCATGGTCTCCGTGACCAATGCCCGGATCTTCCCGAGCAGGCCTGTCCCCACCGCCAGGAGCTCGGGAACCCCCGCACACGGGGCCGCCTCCACCAGGGGGCGACTGTCCTCCCAGGGCGCCCAGCTGCCCCTCCGTCTCTGCCATCACCAGGCGGAGGACAGGATGGCTGGACAGCCGGAGTGGACGTTGGTTCGGAGGCACTTGCTTTTGCGGGCTCTGCGCCCCTCGCCCTCTGCTTCTCTGGGGAGCGCCTCCTGGTCCAGCGCCTCCCTCTGCGCGGCATCGCACAGGGACAGGGCGCGTCTCCACGGGGACTCCCGGCACCGGCAGGTGCGCGTGCTGGTTAGAGCAGCCACCGGCACCACCTCGGCAGCCAGGCTGTGTGGCTCCGGCTCCGGCTTCCCTCCTGCCTCTGCCTGATGAGGCCCGGCCGCACCCGGCCCCGTGCTGGCATCCCCGCTGCTTCAGTTCCCGACACCTCTGACCCCGCTTCGTTCCTAGGGCTGAGTCATCTGTGACTGGGACGGGCACCCAGGTTTGGGTGGGGTGGCTGAGGCCGGGGAGACCCACCCAGGGAACTCCCTTCGGGGGCAAGGAGTGGCGCAGCCAGAGCAGGTCTGACTGCTCCAACCGCTCTGCTCTCCTGGGGCAGAACAGGGCTGCCTGGAGGACCTCTCTGCTCCCAGCCCTGGTCCCCCTTCCCCCCCTCCCCCCACACCCTCCGCTCTCCTGGGGCAGAACAGGGCTGCCTGGAGGACCTCTCTGCTCCCAGCCCTGGGTGCCCCCGCCACCCCAACAGGCGACTGCAGTGCGGAGGACTGGACTTCAGAATCCACACCCCATCCCTTCGCCTCCTCCGACCAAGCCTGGTGGGGAATGGCCCAGCGGGGTGAGGGGTGAGGGGTGTGCTGGAGTCCACTGCCCGGGAGCTGTGGGAGGGAGAGTGGTCTGGCTGCTGGCCCAGCTGGGAAGATCAAACCTCCACTCCCCTCTCGCCCTGGGTGGGCAGGGGATGCGGGCCAGCAGCAGCGAGGCGTCCTCACAGGAGGTTGGGCTCCACCGCATTCCAGTCCGTCCGGAGAGCCAGGCCGGGCACGGGGTGGCCCAAGTCCCTCCGCTCCAGGGCCCGTCCAGCGGGCAGCTGCAGGCCTGGGGCCCAGTGAACACACTGACCGATGACAAGTCAAGAACACACAGGTTTGCCAAGACCGGTCTGGCTCAATGGATAGAGCGTCGGCCTGCAGACTCAAGGGTCCCAGGTTCGATTCTGGTCAAGGGCATGTACCTTGGTTGTGGGCACATCCCCGGTGGGGGGTGTGCAAGAGGCAGCTGATCGATGTCTCTCTTTCATCGATGTTTCTAACTCTGTCCCTCTCTCCTTCCTCTCTGTAAAAAATCAATAAAATATATTAAAAAAAAGAAAAAAGAAAGAAAGAAAGAACACCCAGGTTTCACAGAACAGAGCTGGGCTCCAACCCCGGGGAAGAGTCTAGAATCACTCACAGGCCCTGGCCCAGGGGCAGACAGCCCAAGCACAGAAGCAGTTGTTTCATATTTAATTTACAAAAGAGACCCCAAATAATAATAATAATAAACTACCCAGGAGCAGGGGAGCAGGCCATGCGTCCCTTCCTCTGGCAGGGACAGCAGGGGTCCCCTCCCCCTTAGAACAGGGGGTGAGAGCTGGTGAGGACGCCCTCCGCGCATCCCAGGGGCTCCGGCCCCTCCGGACGCGCGCGTCCCCCATGCCTGGCAGAGCCCCGTGGCAGAGGCCAGCTGCCGAAGCCAGGCGAGCGATCTCTACAGAGTCCAGGCGAGGGCCAGGGCTGCCGCGGCCAGCGGGCCAGTGAGGTGGGACCCAGCCCAGGCCCCGCCGGCACCCCTGGCTGCCCCCCCACGGTCCCACTGGCACTGCTCGCCGCCCCAGCCCAGGTAGCATTGGCATTGAAAGTGCGTCTGCAGGTGCTGGAGGTCGGCCCAGCTGAGCTCGCCCTGCGGCCTCAGCAGGGGCTCGTCCGGCGAGCGGCCGGGCACCAGGCGGAAGCTGCTGGCGCTGAGGTGCAGGAAGGCGTTGGTGTTGGGGTCGCGGCGCACGCAGCGCCCGTGGCCGTGGCACTGGGCCCGGCTGCAGTAGTGGGCCGCCCAGGACACGTTGACCACGTAGGGGATCAGCAGCTGCATCAGGTAGCTCTTGAGGTACTGGCACGTCTCCTGGGGGCAGAGGCCAGGATCAGGCCGGCTGCCTCCGCCCAGGCCCGGACGGACGGACGGACGCTGTGCCCACCGTGGCATGCCCGCGCCTTCCTGAACCGGGGACATGTGTGCGTACACATGCACTTGTGCCCGCGCCCTCTCTGTCCCCGCGCCTCCTGAGAAGGGGTCAGGCAGAGCTGGAGCCTGCAGGACAGCAGGGAGGGGCTCAGGACGGCACGTCCCCGATCCTGGGAGACAGACACGGGGGCCAGGCCAGGTGTGCCCACCTTGAGGTCTGACAGCCAAAGGCCGGAACACTCACCTGTCCCCGCAGCGCCTGCGGGCGGGAGGGCCCTGGAGTTCACTTACCATGCTGGTGGTGAAGCCTGCGTCGCCCCAGATGACGACCCCGGCGGCCCCCAGGGCGGCGCTCTCGCCGATGGTGGAGATGAGGTCCATCTGTGGGGACAGAGGTCACTGTTCTGACCTGCTGGCCTTCCCCAGCACAGTCCTCCCCCCTCACTCTCAGGCAGGGGCCTCCTCTCACTCTCTCCTAAGTGTTTAAGGCATTTCCACCCCCACTTTGGGCCACTTTCTGGAGCCTAGGATGTATCTACCGAGGGAGACTCCAAAATCAGCACGCCCGCCCCCACGCCCACGCCCACGCCCCTGCTCTGTCCCCGGCCTCCTGGCAGGCTTTGGGGTGGGTTCTCAGCCCGTCAGGGCCCTGATTTTCTCATCTGCAACAGGGAGCTGCGATGCTGCCCTCTCCCCAGGTTACAGAGATGGAGGGGAGGGCTGGGGAGGAGAGTGGCCAGGGCAGTGGGGGCAGGAGGCCCCCGGGGAGGAGGGCGGGGCCCTGGAAGGCGGTACCTGGCTCAGGCCGGTGAGGCTGCGGGTGTAGGTGGGCCGCGTGAACACGTAGACGGGGAGCGCGTGGCCGGCGTGGTGGGTGCGGGCCACGCGGAGCGCCTCCTGCACGCGGAAGCTGACGAAGTTGCGGACGTGCGGGGTGGAGGCGAGCGCCTCCTCCAGGTAGACGGAGGGGAAGAGCGCGGTGCTCTCGGCCCAGAGCCAGGCCAGCTGGTCGTTGCGGGACACCTCCACGTCGGGGCAGCGGCCGGTGTAGGTGGCCCAGTTCTGCGCGTAGTCGTGGTTGTAGCAGTCGGGGAAGAGGTAGAAGCCCCACAGGTGCCGCGGCCGGAAGCGCTTGGCGGCGCGCAGCGTGCGCAGCATGAACTCGCGGGCGCCGAACTCGAACTCGTACTGCGCCTGCTTGGCCACGCGCTCCGGCGGCCAGTCCGGGTGGCGGCTGGCCACCAGCTGGCGCGACCGCTGGCGGTACACGTCCTTGTCCTGCCAGTTGCGCACCCACACGGGCCGCCAGTCCTCCCAGTCGATGACGGCCAGGCCGGCGGGCTCGGGCTGGCGGATGTAGTGGCGCAGGCGCTCGGGCAGCGCGGCCAGGTGCGCCCGCAGCACGCTGTCGTTCTGCGGGACCCCGCCGTGCACCGGCCCGCCCTGCGCGTCGAAGTGCGGGAACGGGCCCAGCCGCTCGCGGTAGAAGATGGTGATGTTCTGGTTGACGAAGCCCTCGTTAGGGGAGGCGCGCACGTCGAAGGCCGACTCCTCCCGGTCCAGCGGCACCTTGAGGCGCGGCCCGCAGTCCTGCGTGGGCACGTCCCAGGCCACCACGAAGGGCCGGCCGGTGAAGATGGGCGCCGCCGTGGGCTTGAGCTCCTTGGCCCATGCTACCGCCAGCGCCAGGGCCAGCGCCAGGGCCAGGGCGATGGCGGGGCTCAGGCCTGCCCACATGCTGGGGGCTGCAGGGAGGCGGCGTCACCTGCCGGCACCGGCTCAGGAGCTGCGGGGAGGGTGATGGGAGAGGGCAGGTCAGCCTGGAGAGCCGGCAGGTGCCGACCTCTGACCCATCCACGCTGCTGTGCGGGCCAGTGCCCAGGGCGGTGCAGACCCCGTGGCCTGGCTGCAACAGGTTTGAGGGACCACAGGCCCCCGGGGGCGAGCCTGGCCCCCGGGGGCGAGCCTGGCCCCCGGAGCTCACTGCGGGAGCACAGCAGGTGGCCTGCGGCTGGGAGAGGAGGACCTGTGAGGCCTGTGACCCCTGAGAACCGGGCCCATGGAGCTACCGACTCGCCGCCCAGAGCCCCGCGATGCCCGCACTCCGCTCCGGAGAGCCCGGGCCGAGGCCGCCGGGTACCCGGGAGGAGATCTCGGTGCAGACACGCCAGCATTCGGGCAGGCGGGACAGCGGGCAGCGGCCGGCCGGCTGGCGCGCACCCGGGCTCCGGGGGGCCCCGCGGGGACAAAGGGGGGCCCGGCCCTGCCCTGCCCAGCCCCCGGGAACGCGCGCGCCCACCGCCGGGCGGGCCGGGGCAGAGCTCGCGGCGCCGGGCCTTTGTGCGGGACCCCGCCCCCGCCCCGCACGTGGGGCCCGAGCCCGGCCGGGGGTGGGGTCCCCGTGCCGCCTCCCGGGGGCTCGGAGCCCAGCCCGTGGGCGGAGGGCCGCCAGGCTGGCATCGCCCGCCCTCACCTCGCGCGGGGCACCGCCAGGACCCGCGCCATCGCCACCGCCATCCTGGGCCCGGCCCAGCCCACTTCGGCCGCCTGCCCAGACCCGGCCGGCTCGGCGCCTCCGCTGGCCCCGCCCCCGGCCGAGGGCCCTTTAAGAGTCCTGCCCGGAGGCGGGCCCGGGGCAGGGCTGGCGGCCGGGGCGGGGAGGGGCGCCCGGTGTCCGCGCCGCCAGTGCGGTGTTTTGGGCTCTGGCGTCCCCGGATCCTCCTCCAAGGGACGTGGCGACCCTTGTAGGGCCCCGAGGCCCCTCCGGACGGGGATGCCTCCTGGAGGCTCAGCGGCTGACGCCAGCCAGGCCGGGACACTCCCCCCGCCGCCGCCTGTGCGTGTGGTACGGTCCTCCCCGCTCCGCGGCGCGGCCGGCCTCTTAAAGGGACAGCAGCATAAAGGACGGGGATGGGGAGGCCAAAAAGGAGGTGGGATCCCCCAACTCAGCCGCGAGGAGGTTCTGTGGGACCCCGCGGCCTTGCTTTGGGGGCAGCCGCGGATCTGGCCCTGCACCCCTCAGTGTAGCCCCAGCCGGGGGGCGGGGGACCCTTTGTGTGGGAAGGGGGACGCTGACCAGAGCCCAGCTCCAGACCCCCAGGACAGTGAACCCCTGTGGATCGGGCTCCCCTCCCCCGGCTAGGGTCTGAAGAGGAGCCCCGCCCCTTCTTGACCGCCTCTCAGACCTTTCTGGGCTGGGCTGAGGCAGTGGTTGTCTTGGCAACAGGAACTGTGGGTCTCAGCTTGGCCTGCGGGTTGTCGGCCTGTAAGGCCAGCGGGCCCTCGGGATAGGCACCCCCCTAACAGGGACATGCCTCAGGCACGGGCCCGCCCTGGACTCCCCTCCCCTCCTGCCCAGTCTCGGAGGACGAGGGTGGGGGGCTGTGGCGCCCCCAAGGCTTCCTTTCACCCCTGAGGAGGTGGCGACCACCCTTGCAGAAGGTCCTGGTGGGGTCGCAGAGAACGCTGGCCGGGCCAGAGGGGCTCCCCAGGCCTCCATCCGCTATCCTGGTCCCCTCTCCCCGCAAACCCCTTCCGCTGGGTAGCGGACTTGCTTGCCTCTTCCTAGATCCGCTCCCCGCGCGAGCTCAGCTCCCGAAGGGCCGGGCAGGGTCGGCACCACCAGCCCATTCCCGCTTGCAAGCAGGGGAGGGGGGGGCACAGCTGAGAGCGCACCTGTCCGGTGCCACCAGCCGTCCGTGCCGGGCTCACCTGTGGGGAGTCCTCGCTGCGCAGCTTAGAGCCTCTCCAGTCCGGCTACTGCCCAGCGGGCAGCCCGCCGGTGACTTGATAAACCCATCCCCTCCTCCTCCCTCCCGCCTCTCACCCCAGCCCTCTCTCCTCACTTCCTGCTGCCCCTTGGAGAGGAAAGGGCCAGGAATGGCGCGGGGGCGGGACGGCTGTGACCCTGTTTCCCTCGGGTCTGCCCTACCGGCGGACTGTCCTCCCACCCTTCTCCCGAGGTCCTCCCAGGCCCAGCGGGCCAGTGACAGGAAGGCTGTGGGATCCCACTCAGGTGCCAGCCTCCCGCAGGCCGGAAGCTTCCTGAACACTGAGGCTCTTCTCCCCCTTTCCTTTGAGGCCGAGACCATCCTAAGACCCAGGAGAGTGCAAGGGCCCTGGTGTTGGGAGTTCCGGGAGTCGGACTATTTGGGGGGTGCTTGGCTGATGGTTCCCCTGAGCAGGTGATGAGGGAAGGGGGGTCTGGGAAGGGGTTGGAAGAAATTCCAGGAACTGAGTCAATCTTTTCCACTGAGAGCGGAAGTATCCGAGTTTGACGAACAGAACATGCTGATGTGTGGCTGGGGTGGGGGAGGGCCTGCAGGGTGTTCTCCTGCCGGAGGGATTTCCCTGACGCTGCAGAGTAGGTGGCTCTGTGCAGCCTGTGGGAAGTAGGTGCCCATGTGTGGCTGGCCCCAGGAGGTGCGGACAAATGGGCACCCCTCAGGTCACGTTACCTCTCCCCCAGCCTTTACCCTGCTGGCCACCTCCCTGGCGCCCAGGCCTCTTTCCTGGGGGAAGTGGGCACATGCCCTGTGGTCTGCCCTGAGGGCCAAGGAGCCCTGGACGTGGCATGGGAGGGTGGCCTCCCTACACCACCATGCTGGCTCCACCAGGGATGCTGGCTTTGAAAGCTTCAGGGTGGAGCCCCGGGGGAAACAAAGAGCAGGCCAGACTGTCCCGGGCAGGGACACTTCCTCAGGCAGGCAGCAGGAAGGAAGTGAGCATAGCCCAGCGGGAGGGTGTGGGGAAGTGGTGACCTGGCTCCCATTGTTTCCAGCTCTGGGGTCAGCGGGGGCAGGCCCAGCACAGCAAGTTCTCGCACACGGGGACAGTGGTGCTAGGAGATGGGGTGCCACGCGGCCGGGCAGAACCCTGGTCCCGGGGGCGGGCAGATGACCGGAACTTGTCTGACATCTTACTGGGAAAATGGGCAGGTGCCCAAAGAACTGTTAGTGCAGGTTGCAGCATGACCTCCAGGAGGCTAGCAGGCCAGCTCCCTGGACCAGAAGCCTGTGCCTGAACGCCCTCCTCCCGGACGAGGGCTGGGCTGATGGCCAAGGGCTGGGCAGAGCCGTGACCTGGCCTCAAGCAGGCGCTGAGAGGGAGGCGGAATGTCCGCAGGGGCCAGGCGGCAGGTCAGACGGTGGGTGGCAGGAGGCACAGTACTGGTGGCTGAGCTTTGCTGGAACAGAGGCCCCAGGCCCACTCTCCCGGTGGCACCACAGGCTGCCCAGGAGGCGGCAGGTGGACTGGCGGTGCAGAGCCTGGAAGTAGTCGGGGGTGCTGTGCCCCCACCTCGCTGCTGTCCCCTTAAGCCTGGGCCTTGGAGGTCCACAGGGTTTAGGCTGTGGCTCCAGGCAGGGTCAGCTGGTAATGCTGGGGCAGGTTATTACTCCGGACTTGAGTGAGTCACACTCTCGCCTCAGGTTAGGCCGATGAGGACAATCCCTACTGAAGTCTCCCAAGACCTTTCAGTCCCAGGGATACCACGTCCGGAAGGCAGAGGAGGGGCTTCCACTCTGAGGGATCCAGTGGTAAGGTCTGTGTGAGCACACTGCCACCTCCTGGTCATGCCGGGGATGGCTGCAGACCAGGTTCAGACTTGCCTTTGGCCTTGCTATAAACGGGGGCCAGGGTCCTGGGCCCAGGCCTACCCACTGAGCGCTGTGGTAGTCTGGATGCCAGCTGTCACAGCCCCAAGGATGCCACTCTGGTCTTTAGGGTCTACAAATAATTTTATTGAAACTGAACGAATAACACAACAGCCTTCCTAGACTGGGGGCCACCCTCCCCACACTACTTCCCATTCTCTGGAAGCACAGAGCTTGCACAGTAAGGAATTAAAAAAAAAAAAAAAAGGAATTTCTATGTAGAAATCAGACTCTGCCCCAACCATGTCATGGACTAGACTATTTACAGACTTTCACATTTTAGCCTTTTATGGTTGTTCTCTGTCCCTACCCAGGGGCTCCAATACTTTCCCCTGACTGATCCCGAAGGGATGGGCACACTATAGGGGAAGGGGTGGTGGGCTCAGGGCTACTGGCACCACAGGGTGGTGTCCTCCCAACATGGGTCGGGGGAGACTGGTGCAAAAGGCAAGGGAGAGCACATGGAGACAGTGGGTAGGGGCACCTCCCCAGAGGCACAGGCACCCAGAGCCCAACCTGATCCCATCCTATGGGGGGGGGGGAGGACAACTCCAGGGGCAACTAGTTGCAGGGGGAGGGATCAGCCCAGTCCTGGCAGAGGGAGAAGCCCCCACACCAGCCCCTCCCCCTGCGAACAGCCTGCAACTGTCCCTCCCTCTGGGGGCGGGAACACAAGGGCAGACGGGTAGGAAGAATCAGGCTTGTGTCGCCCCAGCCTCTGTCCAACAGAGGAGAATCGAGGTAGCAAATGGCTGAAATGCTCCGAGGACCGGGTTGAGGAAGTGAGGGGAGGGAGTCCCCACTGTGTCCAGCTCCAAGCCCAGGCTGGAAGAGAGACCTTACTTGTAAAGCGCTGTAGCCCGGGAGGTGGGGTCCCGGGCAAGCTTGGAAGCAAGCAGGCCACGCCGGGCGCAGGAACCACTCATCCTCCATCGGCACCTGCCCCGCCCGGCTCCTGACCGGATGGCCAGGGAAGGCGGGCTGGTAACGCCCTCCCCGGCCCGCTCTCATCCGAAGACAAACCAGCACCCGACCAACACGCAGGCCTGCGGCTCACAGCGGCGGCGGCCAGGCCCGTGGGGTTTAATCAGGACAGTGGCTGCAGCCTCGCTCCTCGGCGGGAGCCGCGCCTTGAGCTGAGCGTTTCTTGCTGAGGCAGGAAGTGCTTAGGCCTGAACCCCAGGCTCACACCTCATAGAGGATCACAGGGAAATCCACGTGGATTCGGGGCGTGTCCAGCTTCACGGTGCCCTGCCGTGGAAACGGGGGCTAGTGAGGGTCAGCTTGGGGCCCCTTCTCCAGGAAGCCTTCCCGTTCCTCCCAGCTCCTCCCCCAGCAGCTCCCCCATGACAGCAGCCCCCATCCGGGCCGCTCTCTCACACTGGCACAGGCTCCTCCCCTCACACTGGGCACAGGCTCCTCCCCCTCACACTGACACAGGCTCCTCCCCCCCCACTCGGCACAGGCCCCCCCCCCCCACTCGCACAGGCTCCTCCCCTCACACACTGGGCACAGGCTCCTCCCCCTCACACTGGCACAGGCTCCCCCTCCTCACACTGGGCACAGGCTCCTCCCCCTCACACTGGCACAGGCTCCTCCCCTCAGACACAAGCTCCTCCCCCTCACACTGGCACAGGCTCCTCCCCTCAGACACAAGCTCCTCCCCCTCACACTGACACAGGCTCCTCCCCCACCACTCGGCACAGGCTCCCCCCCCCCACTCGCACAGGCTCCTCCCCTCACACTGGGCACAGGCTCCTTCCCTCACAATCGGCACAGGCTCCCCACACACACACTGGGCACAGGCTCCTCCCCCTCACACTGGCACAGGCTCCCCCTCCTCACACTGGCACAGGCTCCTCCCCCCCCACTCGGCACAGGCTCCCCCCCCCCCCCACTCGCACAGGCTCCTCCCCTCACACTCGGCACAGGCTCCCCACACACACACTGGGCACAGGCTCCCCACACACACACTGGGCACAGGCTCCTCCCCCTCACACTGGCACAGGCTCCTCCCCCTCACACTGGCACAGGCTCCCCCCACACACACTCGGCACAGGCTCCTCCCCTCACACACTCGGCACAGGCTCCTCCCCTCACACACACTGGCACAGGCTCCCCCCCCCACACTGGGCACAGGCTCCTCCCCTCACACGGCACAGGCTCTTCCCCCTCACACTGGCACAGGCTCCCCCCCCCACACTGGGCACAGGCTCCTCCCCTCACACGGCACAGGCTCTTCCCCCTCACACTGGCACAGGCTCCTCCCCCTCACACTGGCACAGGCTCCTCCCCTCACACTGGCAAGGCTCCTCCCCCTCACACTGGCACAGGCTCCTCCCCTCACACTGGCAAGGCTCCTCCCCTCACAATAGACACAGGCTCCTCCTCACACTCGGCACAGGCTCCTCCCCTCACACACTCGGCACAGGCTTCTTCCCTCACACTGGGCACAGGCTCCTCCCCCTCACACTGGCACAGGCTCCTTCCCTCACACTGGCACAGGCTCCTCCCCCTCACACGGCACAGGCTCCTCCCCCTCACACTGGCACAGGCTCCTCCCCCTCACACGGCACAGGCTCCTCCCCCTCACACTGGCACAGGCTCCTCCCCCCCACACTGGGCACAGGCTCCGGCCGCTGCCCGCCTCACCTGAGGAATCAGGTTCTTGTGCACCCGCCTCAGCTTGGCCCGCTTCTGCCCGTTCTTGGTGACGATCGTCTCCTCGTAGAACTCGTGAGCGAGGTCTCCATCCTCGTCGTAGAACATGGAGCTGTGGGAGGAGGGGGGCGGGCTGGGCGGGAGCCTCACACCGTCCCGGCACTGGCACCGGCACAGATCGCCGGCACAGGCAGCAGCGGCCTGGGGGAAGGGAGGGAGCTAACACGCCTGGAGGACGTGCTTCGGGCCTGGGCTGCGAGAAGGAAGGGAGTGAGGAGCGGGCAGCCGCCAGTGCTCCCGCAGGCCCCGGAAGAGAGGCTACCCGGGAGCGCGCTGTCCAGGCAGCCATGGCCAGTTCCCATCGCTGGTCCCTTCAGCAGGAAGAGCCATTCCAGCATCAGGCCCTGCCTCCACCAGGATGACAGCGGGCAGGGTGGTGGCTGAGCACGTTGGTCCAGAAGACGCGGCTGGCCCAGGGCCAAGGCCTGAGACAGCAGCTGCCTGAGCTGGGAGGGAACCCAGAGGAAGGCTGCCTCCTTCCCCCCCCCCCGGGGGCCCGTGCAGCCAGCCTGCCTTTGTAGGGTCTCCCCAGACCCGCCAGCGCCAGCGCCAGCATCCCCGCTGGGGACCACCGGGGCCAGTTCAATCTAATGCTCCTGCTGAACCCCTGGGGAGAGGCCAGGGCTCCGGATCCGGAGAGCATACTGATTGGGGTGTGTCTTTTCTCCTAGGCCCCCGTCCTGCTTTCTCCCCCCACCCCTGCCCTGCCCTGCCCGCAGAGGTCCAACCTCACCTCCGTAACAGCGCAAACTGGGGCATCCCCGCTCAGAAGAATCAACTTGCGGGCTGGGCTTAACGGGGCACAGAGCCCCATCTGCGTTCGGCCGGCGTAAGGCTGCCTGCCCAGGCCCAGACTCTGGCCCACTCTTCGCCAAGCGAGCTCCTGGAGCAGGGGCCTCGGAACCCCCCACCCGGCGCCCCTGCTCCCAGAGGGGCCTGGACACGGGGAGTCCTCGCTGCGCAGAGGCGGCGGTGGGAGCTACCCATGGCGCACGGCGCGGGCCGCCAGCCCGTCCTCCCGGGGCCGAACCCGCGCCCTAACCCGCGCCCTTACCCTCGGCGCGTGAACACGAAGGGGGGCACCACTCGGCCTCGCGGCCGCGCCAAAGCCTGCTCCGCGGCCGCCGCCTCCGGGCCGCCGCCCCCCGTCGCCGAGGCGAAGGGCCACAGCCCCCGAGCTTTGGAGCCGCTGGTGCCCATGTCAGGGCCGCCGGCACATGGCGGACCCCGCGGCCGCTTCGCTCTCACAGGGCAGTGCGCGCCACCATTCCTGCCCCGGCCTCCGCTCGCAGGTGCCGCCGCCGTCTTCCGCAGGGTCGGCTGTCTCCACGGAAACCTCATTTCCGCTTCCGCCCGTCCCGCATGCTGCCCCCTGATTGGCTGTTCCTCCCGTCGATCCGCAGAGCGAAGCCAATGGCCGACCCGGACACCAGGCATCCCAGGATGCACTGCGGCCGCCCGGTCCCGGCGGGCCGCCGTCTGCAGCCGGGGCAGCTCCCGCTCGGGAAGGCGGTGGCTCGGTCTGCGCGCCTCTTTGGCGTGGATGGCGCCTCCGACGTGCCCGGGCGCCAGTGTGCCCCTAAGGCAGCTCTGTGGGACCTGACCCCCAGGCCAGCCGCGGTGCCTGGCTGGCCTCGTTCTGTTCCCTTTTGCGATCACTGGCATGTGGAGAAGAAACGGAACCCATGGGAAGTGAAGGGATTGGCCAGATGCCATACAGCCACACTGAGGCCTGAGAAGCCAAATCCAATGGCCCCCCTTCCCCCCCAAATCAGAGGATATGCCTCAGGAGGGCAGGGCTTCAGGTGCCATGAGCAGCGAGTGTCCGTCCACAGAGCGGCTCCCACAGCTCGTGGGTGTGTGGTTTCCCTAAGCGCTAGCTGCAGCTCATGATCTTGCCCAAACCAAGACGTGAGCCCCAGGGTGGCAAGAGGACTTAGATATCTGTACCCCGAATCCTTCACAAATTGGTCCCATAGCGACTTTGAAAAAGTGTCTGTGAGCCTGTCCATCACTGGCATGAAGAGCAACGGGCTGCAGGCCCATATAGAGTCCAAAAGCAGCAGATTCTTGAATCTTTATTCAGCCAAGTTTTCCCCAGCCCCCGGCCCTGATGACGTCATTCCCACCCCTTTCCCCCAGGAGGCACTGAGCTGAGGCCACAAAATATACATTCGCACACATCATCAAAATACTCCACGTAAAGACCCTGGCTTTGATTGGCAAACAAGGCATGGACCTGAGCCAGTGCCCACAGGCCCCAGCCAGGACACCCCCTCGGAGGAGGCAGAGGCACTGTTGCTGCAGTGGCGGCCGGCACGCCGACTCCAGAGGCACTGGAGGGAGCCCTGCTTCTTCCTCGATGCCTGCCTTACACTGAGCACCCACCATCGGCTTCCACAGGGCTGTCCTGAGACCCCATCCGAGACACACCACCCTTCCCCACAGGTGAGTCCTCTTCCCTGCAAACATGACCCCATCTGTTTGCTGGGTCTCCCAGATCCTCGTGTCCGAGACACAAACTAAGGAGACTTCTGTCTGCGCTACCCTTGCTGCAAGCCTGGAGCAGCTTCCCAGGGAAGCCCTGTGCCAGGACTCCGCACGCGACGGGCAGGTGCTGGTCCTGCGCTCCTTGGCGCAGGGTGGACACGGGAGCTGCTCCTTTGCTGTTCTCTGGGTTCATCCGCCAGCCGACGAGGGCCTCCACGCACACTCATTCCTCAGACCTCACAGGCCCCGTCACACTCACACGGCACACCCCTGTGCTGCCTGCGCTCCTCCTTCCACCAGGGGGCGAGGTCACCCCAGGGGACAGGCGTGCAGGGCCTCCTGGAGCTTCTGGCGGCACCGGGAGTACTTGTGCTGGATCTGGCGCAGGTGCTCCTCTTCCTCCCGCTGCAGGATGCGCAGGAAGTTGTGGAGCTCCGGCATGCTGAAGGCATCCCACTGCAGGGAGGAGGGGTGGCAAGCGCTGAGCAGGCATGGCCAGGCTAACAAGCCCTCCCCAGAGAAGACGGGGCTTTCTAACATCAGCTCCTGCCTGAATGGTCGGTGCTAGGATTCCCACCACGGCTTCTGGAAGACGGTCCCACAAAGTAGGGCATCCCCTCACAGCAGGCAACCGAACCGACGTTCCCAGCGACCCAGGCAGGTCGTGCTCACGCTCAGTCCAATCCCATGGCCCCACACATCTCACCAGGTACAAAGTCCTAACGGCTGGAGGGGAGCCAGGACCTCCGGGGCCACCTGTGCGGCTGCGCCCTGGCCTGGGATCGCCATAGTGGGAGATGGCCTCGTCTCCGGAGGACTCCAGATGGGAGAGCAGCACGCCACGGCCGTTCTCTGGCTTCTTAGGCACAGACTTGGCATGAATGGCCAGGAAGCCTTCTCAGCCACAAGGCTCTCACCGTCCTGGAGGAGCGTGGCAGGGCCTGTCCCTCCCCCTCCTCCCCCTCCTCCTCGCCTTACAGTAGCTGCAGCCTCCGCCCCGCCTAGTGGGAGCCCAGAGGAAGGAGGCCGTGTACTCACGTTCACCTCCCCAGAGTCATTCTCCTTCAGCACGAAGCTCAGGGCCTTCTCGCTGGGCCCGGCGAGGAGCCGCAGCTGCAGGGGCTGCTCGTCATCTGACAGCTTCCGGAGGTACACTGAGGCCAGGCGGGGAGGCTAGTCAGGCCCGGCCCCGCAGCCCTGCGTGCACACACACCCGGGGGGGGGGGGGGGGCCCACCTTGGCCGTGGCGCTCCGCCCGCTCGAAGAGCGCGAACTTGCGGGGGTCGTCCACCACCGAGAACTTGCGCAGCAGCGCCTCGATGACCTCGCGCGCCCGCGTGCGGGACAGCACGTGCAGGTGCTTGACGGCGTCCTTGGGCAGGTAGAAGGAGGTGCGGCGCCTCACGGCCGCGCTGCGCGCCGGGCCCCGCCGGGCGTCCTGCAGGCTGGGAGGCTTCCTGCTGGCCGGCACCGAGACCGGCCGCACCAGCTTCAGCTGCACCTTGATGAAGCCCGTGTAGGAGCCATCCTTGTTCTGAGGAGAAACGAACCCTGGCTGGGCTCCAGGCGGGAAGGCACAGACTGGGCACTGCCCCCACCGGGGCCAGGATGGATGTGCATCAGTCTCCGCTGCGCCACCCACACCTCAGCCGGGACCCTTCGGGCATCGGGCACACAGCGGGCCCTGCCCCTCCCGCCCCCCTTCCCGGTAACTCACCAGGCTCATGAAGAGGTTGCTGTTGATCTGGCCATTGTACTCCTTGATCTTCTGCTCAATCTCAGCCTGAGAGAGGTCAGGTGTCTCCCACTGCACGAGCTCATCCTGAAAGATGGGCCAGCATGGACCTTAGGAGCCATCCATGCAGCAATGAAGCCTGGTGGCCGGGGGAACGGCTCTGGCGTAGCCTTTGGGAACTGACAGCTGAGCCTGAGGAGAGCTCATCACCGCTCCGGCTACGGGTGGAGACGGCAAAGGCTGCGCGCTGCCCCACGGGACAAGCCAGGTGAGACCCTACGGGCACCTGAAAACTAAGGCGCTGAAGCAGAAAGCCCGGGCAGGGAAAGAAGGGGACATTGAGATCCCTGCACTGGAGGGGGTGTGTGTCCAGAGAGGAAGCCCACTTTGCCTCCCCCTGGCAAAGGGCCGGGCCCCCTGCACGGTGAGTGTGAGGGCTGGTGCACAGCGGGAGCCCAGCCACCAGTGGGCAGAGGGGAAGGGAAGCCTCTAAAACGGCAGCGCCCGGCAGAGGGCCCGGGCCAGCCGCACGGCTGAGACCTGGCGAGGGAAGCGCTGAGGCGTGCCATTGGGCGCCTGACCCCGGCTGTGCAAAAGGTAGCTTCAGGCCAGGTTCCAAGTCCCTCCTGCTAGCGCCAGTGCCAGGCAGGCAGGTTTCTGCGCCTCCTTCCTGCTGGTGGATGTTTGGAAACGCAGAGGTAGCGCCACCACTCAGCCCCTCCCACCCCTCCAGGAAGTGGATTCTTATCCAAAGGTGTGGTGTGGACCGGGGCAGCAGGGCATTGAATAAACTTTCTCCTATGGAACAGCCTCGGCCCCATTGCATCAGCCGCACTTCCTTTCCCGGTGATGTCAGACTGGCCCTAACAGGGTGGGAGGGGCAGACACCGCTGAGATCATGGTGACTAACGTCTTGTCCCAAGTCCCCAGGGAGTGCCCACCAGAGGCCTCTTACACAACAGCCCTGTGCCAAGCTATGCTTTAGCCCCTAAGCTTAAACCATCTGAGGGGGGCGTTGGGAAGACAGGTGAGGCCGCAGGGTGGAGTCGGCCTTTTGGCTGCGTGCTCGGCCGCTGTCCAGCAGAGCGAGGCGGGTGCTGAGGCTGAGGGGGCCCTCCAGGACGAAGGTTCTGGGGGAGGGGGTGACTGAAGCCTGCTGCCTCCTGAGTGGGCAGAGGGAGCATCGGGAAGTGCAAGCCGCGGGACAGTGCTTGCCCCTAAGGCTGGTAAGAACAAGCCTTAGGGGCAAGCACTGTGGGCCCCAGAACACAGGGATTCCGGAGGCGGGGGTAAAGGGTGGGCCTGTCTGTCCAGGCGGGAGGGGAGACCTGGGGCCGAGGGCAATGCCTCAGTGAGGAGCGCCAGGATGAGGGGGTGCTCGGGGCGGGAGGAAAGCTGAGCGGACGCTAGTGCCGGGGCAGGAAGGAAGAGAATTCTGGTTACACACGGGCGGGCATAGGGACGGCACCAACTTAACCCCCAGCCTTGGGATGGAGCTGAGCTCCAGTCTGGGAATGAGACTTCCCAGCCCGTTCCTTCTCCAGGAGGCCTCCGTCTATCTGCTTCTAAAGCAGGGCCTGGGACAGGAGGCCCGAGCTGCCCAGGGGAGAGGAGGAAGATTCTTTCTGCATTTCCAAAGCTGCCCGGGGAAGGGGGTTCCCTCAGCCACGCCAGGGGGATGCCCACCTCCTCCCTGAGCACAGCACCCGCACCACCGCCCGTCCAGGGACCAGGTCTGTTCTACACACAGCGGACGACCCGCTCCTGCCAGTGGGAGAGCGTCCTGTGGTTTCTCACGTTTCCACCAGGGAAACTGAGGGACACAGAGGCCGATTCAGGGGTCCACACTCCGAGCTGGGGCTGAGCGCCGGAGGCATACAGCCTTTGTCTAAAGCACATCCACCCCTTCTCTTGGCTCGCGTGAGGAATCCGCCTCCTCGGTCGCAGGTCCTGAGCTTCCTGGTGCCATCTCTCTTCCCCGTGCTCTCTGGCCAGGGTGCTCCCCGAGGTGACCAGCTCCCCAGCGCTAGTTACCTGAGCCTCGAGGTCACACTCACGGCACAGAGTTCTCCAAGGAGGGGACCCGGGGAGACCCCTTATATCCTGGGTTAGTAACACCCCCAACCCCCTCTCCCCTTACAGGGAGTTGACCATCTGGCCTTCCCCGATGCTTATGGTCCCAAACAAGGCTTCCTTCCCATCCATCCCCAAACCCCGGGTCCCCAGATCCACTCCACGTTCCGTGTACTGTTCCCAAGGGCGCACTCGGCGTCCACCCGCGGGTGGGGCTCAGCGCCCTCCACAGTCCGGCCGCTATGGCAGGCCGGGACCCGCCAGGGGTGGAGATCAGCTCCATCCGGGAGTGCAATGGCGGGGGCGCACACCACCCCGGGCCGCCCCCCTAAAAACACTTCTCACTTCCCGGGAGGACGCCTCCCCCTCCGCTTCCTCCTGGTTTCTTCCCAGGGCGGCTGGGCCCGGACGCGGAAACCCGGGTCTAGTCCAGCCTGCGCTGGGGCCTGAGTCATAGGCGGACAGTGCCCGGCCCTGGTCCGCCCCACGCCACGCAGCCGCTTCCCCTGGCTGGACCGGTCCGTGCCCGGCCAGGCCGGGATCCACGCTGACGGGAGCGCGGGGCTGCCCACGAACGCTGCCCACGGAGACTCACCGGGCAGGGGGGGCCCGCGATCGCCCCCGGCCCGCCGCCCCCGCCCCCACCTGGTCCCGGCGCGGCCGGCGCCCCAGCGAGGTGCGCGCCGTGAAGTACTGCTCCAGCTCCGAGTCCGAGTCCTCCTGGCTGCAGTAGCCGCTGCTCGTCGTGCTGCTCCAGGTCATCTCGAAGGAGGGCGTCTCTGCGTCCGCCTCGCCCATCGCCGCGCCCGCAGCCCGCAGCTCACCAGCCGCCTCCCGGAGCCTCCAACCACCGCCCCGCGCGCCTGCGTCCCGTGCGTCCCCGTGCGCGCGCCGCCCCGTGTCCGCGCGGCAGCCGTCACCGCTGCGAATGGCCAGCGGCGGCTGTCTCGCTCCCCTCTCATTGGAGGAGGAACTCTCGGGGGCGGGGCTACGCGAGCGCCCCGCCCCCGCGAGTGATCTCATCGCCCAGGCAGCTGGGCTCGGCGCCGCCGCGGGTCTCACTTCCCCTGGGGAACCCGGCGGCGCGTGGGCGCCAGTGCGCATGTGCACCAGCGTGGCCGCGGGGCCGGATGCGGCGGCGGGGAGGCGCGGAAAGGGCGCAGGCGCCGGGCTGGGCGGCGGGGCAGTCCGCGCGGAGGCGGTCCTCCCGCACCCCTTCGAGCCCGCGCCTGCTCTCCGCTCTGCCGCGGGGAGGTCGCGTGGCGGAGCCAGCCCCGGGCCGCCTGCGGGGTTGCCGCTCGCCCGTGCGCCCGGGCCCACACTCACCACGTTGGTGTCCCGCTCCAGCGCCGGCTCCCAGCCCAGGTCCCGCGGGCCGCAGCAGTCCAGGCAGACGAGCGCGCGGCAGCGGTAGTGGCAGGTGAACTTGCAGTCTGCGGAGTGGAGAGGACTGGCGTGAGGCCGAGGAGCGACCACGGACGGAAGAGAAGCCGCAGGGAGAAGGCCGTCGCCGCCCACCGCTCCAGACGAGGGCCAGTCCCGGCGGCGGGACGGGCGGAGGCCGCGGTGGCGGTTAGGGGACCAGGCCTGCTCTGCAGTCGGAGCTGCAGACCTTACGCCCGCCCCCCGCCCTCGAAGGGAAACGCAGCGAAACCCATGTCCCAGTTGTCACCTGCCGCTGCTCCCCCCTGAGCAGAACATCCACTCTGATGCACTTGCACTCGCTCCTGGCCTTCACCCCGCTCCAGGAGACCGCCCAGTCGGGTCCTCAGCAACTGGGCACTGCCCAAGCCCGGGGCCCTCTCTCCATCCTCCCCTCCCCTCGGTTCCCAGGGCCCCCCACGACCCCGTGTGTTCGACTTCCCCGCAGCTCCTTCCTTTGGTCAACACCCTAATGTGGGGGCAGCCTATCATGGAGGCCCAGTCTTGTCACTGCCCTGCTCTGTGCACACTCAGCCCACCCGGATCTCAGGCCCCCCCTCACTGGCTCCCCGCTCAGGCCAAGTCCTGCATGTCCGAACTTTCACTTGGATGTCTGACATTGCAACCAGCATGGCCACACGGGAGCTTTTCTCCCAACCCACCCAACCCTCGCCAGAGTTCCTCGTCTCAGCAGAAATGGATACCATTCTCCCAGCTGTGTGAGCCAAACCCCCAGCTCGTCAGCGACTCCAGCCTTGCTTTTGCCTCTGACACACACCCATGTTGTCTGTTTTTAATTGCCATGGCCGCTGTTTTCTCGGGGACGTCCCGGCTCTGGTTTATGCCCTGTACTCTGTCACATCTCCCAGGTCTTCTCCAGCTGAGTTCAGGACAGACTCCTGTGCTGGGCAGGAGGGTCTCCAGGCACAGACAGGCCTGGGGCATCTTCCTAAATTCTTAAACGGGCCTGAGCAGTGATTTGCCACCCAGGCTGCACGTCGTGAGAAAGAGGTTTTAAAAACCGATGATATGATACGCTCCCAGTGACGGATTCAGCAGGTCTGAGGTAGGGCCAGGCACGGGTTCGAGGGCTGTAAAGCATCCCCGTGGTTCTGGCTGGTGTGCAGCCGGAGTGAGAGCGGCCCCTGCTTGCTGCTGGTTCAGGGAGGCGGAGGACCCCAGGGGTGTGGTGCTGTGTTTCATGCCTTAGCACCTGTGATAGAATCTGCTACAGGAAGACAGATTCCCTGCCTCACGGGGCCCACCGAGGTTCCACCTTTCCCCTGGCCCCGGCCCCCTTTCCATAGGGGGGCAAATGCCCACCCCGCAGTGATCCGGGGGAACCTCGGTGAATGAATTTTCCAGAAGGGGCAGGCCTGGGAATGTGGACTTCGGAGACTGGTGGGCACAAAGCCTTGCTCACAAAGGGCCACGGGGCCGGCTCCGTGGCTCAGGGGTTGAGCACCCACGGATGAACCAGGCGGTCAGGGTTCGATTCCCAGTCGGCATAAGCCAGGGTTGCGAGCTCGATTCCCAATGTGGGGCGTGCAGTAGGCCACTGATCCATGGTTCCCTCCCATCATCGATGTTTCTCTCCCTCTCCCTCTCCCTCGCTCTCTGAAGCCAATAAACATAAAAGGGCCCAGGCTTTTGGGAGAAGAGCACCTGGAAAGCAGCACCGGGTGCTCACAGCGCTGCGTCTGCCCAGCAGGGCCCAGGCACAGGGCAGTGAGTGTGGAGATAGGAAACCTGCGCCCCTCTCTTCGATTGGGGGGAGGTACTGGACCTGCCGCGGGGGCGTCCCAGCCACCCCACCCGCTCCGCCCCAGCGTGACCCGCAGCAGCTGCGCTGCCCTCTGACCGCCCGGTTCTCTCGCCAGCGCTCGGGGCGCTACTCACGCGCGCACTGCAGGCCCTTGCGCACGACGCCCCAGATGAAGTCCCCGCACAGGTCGCACCACGTGTGCGTGGCGGGCGCCGCGGGCTGGAAGCGGTGGCCGCGGCCCGGGGCCGGCGGTCTGGCCGGGCTGCGCGCGGGGCCGGGCGAGATGCGCAGCGCGTTGGCGCGCTCCAGGCGGGTGCGGCGCGCGGGGCCCAGGTCCCGCAGCTCAATGAGCTCCGGCGCCGACATGGCCCGGGCGGCGGGCTCGGCCGCCCTGGGAGCCTGCGAGCGGTCGCGGGCGGGCGGGCCCGGGGCGGGCCCCGACGCAGCGCCGCCCCGGAGCTCCAGGCCGCGCGGCGGAGAGCGCGAGGGAGCGGCGCCGGGAGCGCGGGGTGCTGGGCGCCGGGCGGTGCGGACCCGCGGGCGGGCGGGGGGCACCCCGGGGCGCTCTCTCCAAGTCCCCGCCCTCCCTTCGCCCCAGAGCAGCTCCCCGCCCCCACGACGCGGAGTGCAAAAGCCACACGGAGACGCGGGTTTCTGGGGAGCAGCTTTACTGAGCGAGAGGAAGAGGGTCCCCACATCCGGCCCTCGCCCTCGCCGCCTGCCCCAGCGCCCGGAGCCTGCCCCTGGGTGCGGCAGGAAGCGGGGGAGCGCTGGGCTGCGGGCCGGGCCAGCGGGCTGCCTGCTCCCACCCCGAGGCCGGCGCTTGCAGAGCCCAGGCTGCAGTCCGGGGCTCGGGCGCCCCTCCGGCGGGGGCATGGCACGGGGAGGGGGGGGCGCTCAGCAGCTGCGGTCACTTCACTCTGCCACCCGGGGTCACCTGGACACAAGCCTTCCGGTGCGTCTCCCAGTGCTGGACCTGGCACTCCCTGCGGGCAAGGGGCCGTGAGGAGGCAGAGTGCGGGCCGGGGCGTGGGCTCAGGGCCGGTCCCAGGACGCCCTCACCTGCAGCAGTACCACTCGTTCTGGCATCGCGAGCAGCGTTTGGAGGCCTCGGCGCCGCAGTAGGCACAGCGCGGCCGCTCCGGAGCCACGGCCTCCAGCACGTCCAGCCTGTAGGTCTCAGCCCACCTGGGAAAGGGGCAGGAGGCCTGGCTGGCCTGGGGGGGAGGCCCCAGGAGCGCCCCTCCCACCTGCCTGCCACAGCCTCACCTCTGCGCCTGCAGCCGGAGGTCGTGCTCCGAGGGGCTGAACATGTGCTCCAGCTGGTGCTTGGCCATGGCCTTCCACTTGCCCTTGTTCTCCCGCTCCAGCCGCTCCCAGATTTCGGGGATCTGGGGGGAGGAGCGGAGGGTGGCCGGGAGGGGCAGGCGAAGCGGGCGGTGCTCCTGAGCACCAGCCCCCCGCGCCTACCTGCTCAAACACCAGGTCCTTCTTAGGCGGCTGAGGTTCCACCAGGGCCAGGCGGGCCAGGAACCCCTGCAGGTCCGCCAGGTGGGGCAGCTGGTCGATCAGAATGTCTGTGAGGAAGGCCCGAAGCTGCGGGGGGAGGGGAGGGACGGGGCTGAGCGAGGGTGCCTTTGGGCCTCGTCCCACTAACTGCTGTCACCCAAGGCCCCAGGTCTGGGAGCAGGACTGGGGCTGAGGTGGGTGGGCAAAGCCCGACAGCAGGGGTGGGGCAGGCTGGGTGCTGGGGCTGGGGGGGAGGGCTGGGAGGGTTAGGCTGGGGGCTGGGGCTGTGGGGGGAGGCTGGGAGGGTTAGGCTGGGGGCTGGGGCTGTGGGTGGGGGGCTGGGAGGGCTAGGCTGGGTGCTGGGGCTGTGGGGGGAGGCTGGGAGGGTTAGGCTGGGGGCTGGGGCTGTGGGTGGGGGGCTGGGAGGGCTAGGCTGGGTGCTGGGGCTGTGGGGGAGGGCTGGGAGGGTTAGGCTGGGGGCTGGGGCTGTGGGGGGAGGCTGGGAGGGTTAGGCTGGGGGCTGGGGCGGTGGGGGGCTGGGAGGGTTAGGCTGGGGGCTGGGGCTGTGGGGGGCTGGGAGGTTTAGGCTGGGAGCTGGGGCTGGGGTTGTGGGGGGCTGGGAGGCTCCCCACCTTGAGCAGCTGTCCTTTGGCGAACCTCGTGAGGCAGTAGCGGGCCCGGGCCTCGGGGCTCAGCAGCAGGTTGTACAGGGCGATCCACACCTGCCCATCCAACTTGCTCATCTTCTGCTGCTCGGAGGGGGCCACCGTCTGCCAACGGCCCCCCTCAAACTGCTGCAGCTTGCCTGCGAGAGGAGCAGCGTGCTGGGTGCTGCAGTGCGTGCTCTGAAGGAGCAGCTGCAGGGGCTGGGGGGCTGACCGCTCCTGCTGGACTGGGCCCTCAGTGGTGGACACGTGAGCCCTGCCTGCTGCGGAGCCTGGGTCGAGGCCCACTTCCGGCTCAGCCGTCCCGTCGCCCTCTGGGGGGCGGGGGCACAGTTCGCCCACCTGTGTGCATGCTGCCACCCCTCAATCCTGGGCCTCCGGCAGGTGGAGGAGGACCGTACCTCCGTCCCTCCGGGTCCAGGGACTGTGCTCCAGCAGCTCCACCAGGAGGCAGGGCAGGTTGTGGGTGCTCAGCATGCGGCTCAGGGTGCTCAGGGACAGGCTGGGTGGAGGTGGGGGGAGATGAATGGAGGGGACAGGCCCAGGCTCCCGCCCTCCACTGGGGCCCAGGCCGCCGGGCCGCCCACCTGTCCACGCAGTCCGTGATGTAGCGGAGCACGGAGAGCGCCTTCAGCGCGATCTCAAACTCCATCAGCTCCGCCTGCGTCTGCAGCTCCTGGGGAGCGCGGGCGCTTAGGCCTGGGGAGCCGCGGTGCAGCCCCTCCAGCCCAGGAGCCTCAGCCCACCTTCATGGGAGGGACGTCCTCCGCCTCCTCCTCCTCCGGGGGCTCCCCGCGGCCGCTCCGGCCCGCCAGCAGGGTCAGCTTGCGGTGGCAGTAGTCCACCAGGTCCATGATGGTGTCCTTGGCGGACTCACACACCTCCTGGGGGCGGGGGGGGGGCGTTCTCTCTGATGGCTCCTCCCACACACAGCCGCCCCCCCCCCCCCCCCCCCCCCCCGCCTGGCAGGGCAGGAGCCAGTGGGCGGGCCGGGCCTCACCTTGTGGAAGAACACGGTCTCCAGGAGGTTGATGATGGAAGCCTCGTGGTGCAGCTGCAGATAAACAGGACGGGTGCGGGCTGCTGGCCAAGGGGAGGGGCTGCCCGCTGACGGGGAGAGGGAGGCGGGGGGGGGGGGGGGCCAGCTCACCACCATGTAGATGGGGAAGGTGTTCTGGGGCTTGAAGTCCTCCAGTTTGCACAGCACAGGGAACACCTTCTGCTTCCACATCTCCACGGCGATCAGCTCCCGCACCAGCGTGGGGACCTTGGGGGGAGGGGCACGGACAGGGACGGGGTGGGCCTACCGTGGCCTAGCAACCCTCCCACCCCTGGCTCAGCCTACCCAGCTCTCCTCAGACTCCCCCAGACCCTCCTGCGCCCCACGAGGACCTTCCTGACCCCTCTCCTGCACCGTGACCTTCACCTCCAGCTGCCCTGACCTCTGTGGCGACATCCCCGCTTCCTGGGCGGGTCCTTGCCTTGTTCCCTGTACAGGTACTTCTGTTCCCTCCACATCCAGGGGTCTCCCAGGCCGCCCCTCCTGCTCATGCCCTCCCCTCGCCCCCTGGGCATGTCCCCTGGTGCGCCTCGGCCTCACCCTCAGCCAGGGCCTTCGGAGTGCCCGTTCCTACCCCCTCGCACTAGGGGCACTACCTTTCCTTGCGAAGGAACACCCCTCCCCTTTTTTTAAATATATTTTATTGATATTTTACAGAGAGGAAGAGAGAGGGATAGAGAGCCAGAAACATCAATGAGAGAGAAAAATCGATCAGCTGCCTCCTGCACCCCCCCCACCGGGGATGTGCCCGTAACCAAGGTACATGCCTTTGACCGGAATCAAACCCGGGAACTTTCAGACCGCAGGCTGACGTTCTATCCACTGAGCCACACCAGTCTCAGCATGAAGGAACCCTTTGTCAGTGACACCTCCGGTCATCTATGGAGCCATGCTCCTGGTTCCTGTCCCCGCCACGCCAATCCTCTCCCAAGCGGGCAGGCTGCCTCCTTCCACGCCAAAGTCCGCCCCCTCGTGGGCAGGGACGCCCTCCGGTCTGGAACCTGCTCAGGAACCTTAGAGCATGGGCCTCCCCCTGCAGGCCAGGCTGTCCTAGGCCCCATGGCTCTGTCCCTAGTCAACCACGCTGCACCCGCCCCGCCTGCCAGGGCCGTGCCCAGCAGGGGTGCCAGTCAGATGAGAGATGCCCTCCTCCTCCCCCTCCTCCTCTGGGGAGGGCAGGGGTACCAGCGGAGGGAGGAACAGACGCCAGCGGGCTCCTGAGGGGCAGAGTGGTGGGTGGGGCCGGGGAGGCAGAGGCCCGGCCTGCCCCCAGCATACCTTCCCGTGGGTGACCAGCAGCTGCTGGATGGGCTCGCCCTGGCTGGCCGTGGCATCCAGGATGGCCTGCATGTTCAGCTTTTCCAGGTTTTCATGCTGCTGGTTCCACCTGCCAGAGGGTGTCTGTGTGTGTGGTGTGTCTGGTGCACATGTGTGTGGTGTGTCTGGTGCACATGTGTGTGTGGTGTGTCTGGTGCACATGTGTGTGTGGTGTGTCTGGTGCACATGTGTGTGTGGTGTGTCTGGGTGCACATGTGTGTGTGGTGTGTCTGGTGCACATGTGTGCAGTGGGAGTGGGGTGGGGGCTGAGCCCACCGAAGCTCCCCTGACCCTGAGGGGCCAGAGAGGGCTCAGGACCTGTACCCCCGGGCGCCCCTCCACCCTGGCACCCGCTCCCTCCCCTGTGGGAACGCCCTCCACGCAGGGGCTCCGAGCCCAGACTCCGCTGCGGGGCGGCCTCACCCTGCGGAGCCCATCTCCATCAGCGGGAAGCTGCGGAGCCCCCGCACCAGCACGTCGGCCTCCCCCGGCAGCAGCAGCTCCAGGTCGCCCATGTCGGGGCCACACCAGACGGGGCTCCGCGGACCCCGGGCAGCACCGGCGCGGAGCACGGTTGGGGCCGAAGTCTGGGACCGGACGGTTGTGGAGCAGTTGGGGTGCGCGGGCCTCGTCGCCATGGAAACGGCTAGCTGAGTCTGAGTCTGCGCAGTGTGGCCTGGGCCCCGCCTCCGGGGCGGGCCAGGTCCCCACCCCGGTCCGCCGCCCCTGCAGGGGGGGAGGGGGGCGGGCAGAACCCTAGGCGGCTCCCGGGGCTTCTCCCCGCGGCCGGCGGCGGAGCGCGGGCCTCCGAGCGCCAGGCCCTGTGCCCGGGCCCTCCGCGCCCCGATGCCGGGTGGGCCGCCCCGTCCGGGCTCGCGCAGCCGCCCCCCAGCTCGCCCCGGCCCCTCCTCTGGGCTGGACCCCTGACCTTCTGTGCGGGGCCCACCCCTTACCCCCCCACCCCGGGGTTCAACCCTTAACCTCCCCCAGGCTGCCAGCGCCCCGCGGGGCCCCCGCTGCGCCTGTCCGCCGGGCTCTGCGAGGTGCACACGGCCGCCACTGGAGGGCGCTCCACGGCCGCGCTGGCCCTCGAGATGCTGTGTCCGCAGCAGCAGGCTCTGCCCTCTCCCTTCCCGGGACTCAGTTTCTCGGGCCCCTGCCTCCCAGGTGCCGGCTCCGTGGGCTCCCCATGCACCCCAGGTGGTCCTGGCCTCAGGGTTTCTGCAGCTGGCCCGCTGCCTGGACACTCTTCCTGCTCGAGGGCCGTTAGCCATCGGGGCTTCCTGGCCCAAACAATCCAGAGCAGCCCCCGCTCATCCCAACTCTTTTTTTTTTCTTTTCTTTTTTAAATTGACTTCAGAGAGGAAGGAAGAGACAGAAACATCAATAATGAGAGAAGCATGGATCGCTGCCTCCTGCACGGGGGATGGAGCCTGAAATGGGCATGTGCCCTTGCCCCGAATGGAACCCGGGACCCTTCAGTCCACAGGCTGATGCTCCGTCCACTGGGCCCCGCCAGCCCCGCCCAACTCACTCTCTTTATCACAACTTCCTGCTTGTTTTAGTTTTTAAATAGGGGACACGTTTACTTGGCCATTGTCGGCTCTGCCCACCAGGTGGCGCTCCAGGCGCCAGGACCATGGCTCTCTCACTGGGTCCCCTGGGGGCCGGCTCAGGGGTGGTATCCAGTGGAGGTAGGGTGAAATGGATTTTATTTACAGACATTGAGGGTCAACATTGAGGCAGGAGAGACGAGGCTGTGGGTCTAGCCTGCAGGCACCAGGCAGGGCTTGGCGAGAGAGTCGCTGCCGCTGTGTCCGGCCCCCTCCAGCCTCACTTCCAGCAGATGATGATGTTGGGGTCATTTTCCAGCCGTTCATCCAGCTCCTGGTAGCTCATGCCTGGGTGGCGGTGGGGAGGTCAGCCTGTGGGCTTGGCTTTCTGCCTGATCCCCCCACCCCCCACCCCCTACACCCTGCCCGCCTCCACCTGTCTTGCAGCAGATCTCGTCGTAGCTGTGGCAGCCGGTGTAGAGGCGGGCGGGGTGGCTGCGCTCCTCCCGGGACACCCGCACGGGGTACTTCTGCAGCCTCCGGATGAGGTTCTTCATCAGCCCGAACTGGACCAGCCTCCTGGGGTGCGGGTCAAGGGAGAGGGGTGATGCCTGGCCGGGCCCTCCCCCACCAGGCCAGCCTTTTCCTGCACTTCCCAGCTCACGCTGTCTCGGTGAAGCCCTCGCCTCCAGGAAGCCTGCCTGGACCAGCAGTGCCTCATGACTCTGCTCACTGGGAGTCTCTTGCTTCCTCTCTAACCCAGGGCTCCCAAGAGACAGAGAGGGGTGTCTGCCTTCAGGCCGACCCCCCACCCCCAAGGATCCCCTTCTGACCGCTCATCCACGCGCTGGAGCTGCTGGGGGTGGCGGCCGATGAGGTCCCGCACGGTCGTGCCCGGGCTAAGGCTGGAGTACAGCTGGAACACGTCCCGGAGGCTGGCCCTCTTGTGCCCTGTGGGGCGCAGGCTCAGTTCTCCAGGGGCCCCATCCCCCTCCCCCCCAGATGGCCTCCCCAGAGCCCACCATTAATGAAATAAGGTAGCAATCATACTTGGGTAAAAACTGCTGTTTGAATTTTAACCTTGCTATCTGACTTTGACCTTCCATTACTTGCTTAAACAATAGGGTAGTTACTGGAGATGGACTCCCACTGACTCAGTAGCTTCAGGGGTAGAAACTATAGATAACCTTCAGAGATGAACCTCTGAGTTCTGCTTTTGTATTATGGGAAAGATAGGGCCACATTCCAATGTTCCCAGCCTTTTTAAAAGGGATTACCTACACCTGGATCGGTGCAGACAGTGTGGGGCCCACCTGCGTGTGGTGCTCCCGTGGCCGTCCTGGCCAATTTTTCAATAAACCCTTGTCTGCTTTTTTAAATTAATCATCAGCCTCCGCTGGTCTTATTTTGAACCCAGATTTCGACCCCACAACAATTACCTTGCTTGGTCACATAGGACAGACACTCCTCTTGCAGGGACTTGTCATCCACCAGGTCCTGCACCTTGGGCGTGGGGCAGTACACGTTGGAGTACTGGAGGGGAGGTGGCAGGAGGCATGGGAGCCTGAGCGAGGGGCTTGGAAGTCTGACACACCCTGTGTGGCCCAGCCACACGATCCCCTCTCCGCACAACCAGACCCAGACTCCCCTACCTGGAGGATGGACGCCAGGGTCACCACGCCGTAGTACCTGGGAGAAGAGCTGTGCTCAGCTATGAGGGCCACGCCCCAGCCCCAGCCCCAGGTCCAGGTCCAGCCCCAGGCCCAGCGGGCAGTGCTCTCGGTGTGACCTGTGTGACCCCCACTCACAGCAGGTTCTGGACGGCAATGCGCACCAGGTTGAGCTCCACGTCTGCCTCGGCTGAGATCTTCTGGACGTGGCGGAAGCCATCGATGTAGGGCAGGATCTGGGCGGGGCGGGCAGTCAGCAGGGGGAGGGTGAGGCCAAGGATGAGGCCACTGGGCTGAGGACCCCTGGGAGGCCGGCGCACCTGCTGCGTGGTGAGGTCCCACTGGGAGTTGCAGAAGTCCTCCTTGTCCTCGGTGAAGACGGGCACGTCGTACTCCTGGACGACGGGAGGGTCCGGCCGCTGCTCAATCACCTTCAGGTGGATGGTGTTGGACTCATCTGCAGGGGGTCCCACCCTTATTCTCAGCGCCCTCTGCTGAGGGGCCCTCCGTGACCCTCAGTCCGTCCAGCAGCCCTCAGGCAGGCAGGGGCTCCGGTGGGGCCAGGCTCCTCCCCCTCCCCCCCTTTTAAAAATTTTTTTTCCTGCCAGCATGTCAGGCTACAAACCATTCCCAGTGCCCACTGCTCGGGGCGCTGAGCGTAGGAATAGCCCCTTCCTCTGCGCCCTGGCCTCAGTCACAGGTGCAGCACAGAAGCCGGCTGTGGTGCTGGCAGGTCCAGCACCCGCAGGGCAGAATCTTCCCCTTTTATAAAGCCGGAGACCGAGGTCCAGAGAGGGGAAGGAGCCCGCCCACGGGACAGCTGGAGCACGCTGCTGGCCTCCCCAGCCCCAGCCCGCCCTGCCATGCCCTGGACCCTGCACATCAGCAGCTCAGCTCCTGGCTATTTCCTGGCCACAAATTCACTCATGAGCCTTGTCCTTGGCTGGGCTCGCCCTCCCATCACCTTCCAATCCCTCCTCCCCCTCGCTGTCCTTGCAGAGGCGGGCATACCGATGGGCAGAGTACACCGGCCTGAGGCGTTGAGCTCCTCCAGCAAGATCGTCATGATGGGCACCAGCTTCTGCTTGCTCTCCTCCGACGACACGAAGCTGCTCTCCAGCTGGATGGAGCACGGACAGCATGGTGGGCACCCCCCAGGCAGCCTGCCCTGGCCGGGTCCTAGGTCGGGAGGGCTTCGGAGACACGTGAATACCTTCCCCGACTCCGCCTGCCCGTCCACCCAAGCCCGCCGTGCTGCAGACCTCCAGTGTGGTCAGGTAGCCCGCCAGCTTTTTGACGATGGGCTCAAGGGCGCAGGTCTTGGCCTGGGCGTCACACACGAAGCCCAGGTTGAAGAGCAGGGCATTGCGGCTGTACTTCTTGTGCTCGATGCACACAGGGCAGCCAATTAGTTTCTTCTCCATGGCTGTGCTGGAGAGGGGGGCGGGCGGGGCCAGCGTCAGGCTCCTCCCACTCCCAAGCCTGTCCCCTCCTCCCGGCGCCCGGGCGAGGGCCTCACACGGTGATGAGCTTGTTCTGCAGCTCCGGCTTGGTGATGATGTACACCTGGACCGTGTCAAACAGCTCCCGGGAGATGAAGTCCTCAGGAACCTGGGGAGGGATGCGGACAAGAACTCACTAGTGGACCTGGTACTAGGCAGAGCAAACGGGCAACCCCCCAAGACCTAAGCCCTCTTCAGCGTTTCTCCTCTCTCCCTCCCGCCAGGCCTATTACTCTTTGTTTACAAGCACACGCTGTGTTCACTGGCCTCCTGGCTTGTGCACATGCTGTTCGCCCTGCCTGGCCCGCTCTCCTCACTCACCTACATCCCCATGCAGCCAGGGAAACCAATGCACCACCCACCCCCACCTCGTGGGGGGCATCCCTCCTGGTCCCCACGGCCTGATCTCCCACAATCACTGCCTATGTGGTCTGTCTGCTCCCTCTCGCCGGGAGCCTGGGACCTGGGTCTGAGCACCCTCTGGGTTCCCAATTCCCGGCGAATGAAGGAGTAGCGGGCAGCGGGCAGCGCGGGGACAGGCACCCGCCGCTTCCAGACAGGGACTGAGCTCCGGAGAGGACTGAGCTCCCTATCTCCCCACCAAGCCCGCGAACCCGACGGCACCTGATAGGTGATCTTGGGTCCCAGCGTGGGATGGAACTCGCTGAAAAATATGCATTCGATGCGGCAGCCGCTGCCCATGGCGCTAACGGGACCGAGTCCTCGGGAACACCAGCTCCGAGGCCTTGGCCGCCGGGTCAAGCACGCCTGCGCACTCGCACCCTTCAGGACAGCTGCTCAACAGCGCATGCGCAGAGGAGCTCAGAGGCGTGGCTACGGAGGAGGTTGGTCCAGGAAGTGCCGGTGGGTGGGTAGTCGTCACACCCGGAAGTGAAGAGGCTCCGCTACGGGGCGGCGGCTCACGCGGCAGCATCCAGAGTTTTCCGCTTTCTCAGGAGAACACCACCGCGTCCGATCGGCGCTGCGGGTGAGGCAGGCGAACTCCTGGCGTGGAGGGGCAGCATGCTTGCGGCACATGAGGAAGCTGCGCGGGAAGGGATTCAGGCTGCCATTTGGTCGCAGCTGGGAACTACAATTCCCGTGGTGCTTCGTGCCCTATTAGCAGGCGCTCCCGCCGGTGACGGCGTGGCGCACTCTGGGGTTTGTAGTCTATCACATGGCTTTGCGCATCCTACCTGGAAGGTGGGCCAGGGATCTGTGCCAGTTCAGATGCAGGTACATGCTGACAGGCCGCCGGTCCTTGACCATTGCTGGTGCCTGTCTTCCTGCCTCCACTTCCTGGGAGAGCGCGGATCCCTGCCCTGCAGTACGTGCTCCAGGGAGGGCAGTGGACCACCGCGGCCCTCGCTTACGCTCCTGTGCTTCCAGGCTCCAGCCGCCGGCCTGGTTGACCATGGCTCTTTCTGTGGAGACGGAGTCACACATCTACCGAGCTCTCCGCACTGCCTCTGGGGCTGCGGCCCACCTGGTGGCCCTGGGCTTCACCATCTTTGTGGCTGTGCTCGCCAGGCCTGGCTCCAGTAAGTGTAATTTATAATTAACTTCCGGGGGGAAAGGGCCCCTTGTCCTGGGGAGCAGGGGCAGTAGGAAATCTCGGGCCGGCTCCTGGGAGAGGCACGGGTGGCTGAGGGACATACGATGCTGGAGGGATAAGTGGGTGGAGTAGATGCGTGTGGGGGCTTGGCCAGACCCCCAAGTACCTGGCTCTCTTTCCTTGCCTTGTGCTCCACTTGGCTGTCTCTGGCAAAGTGCAGTGGGCAGGAGGGAGGACTGCCAGAGGAGTGGCAAAGCACGGCCTCTGATCCGGAGGGACCAGGAGGCTAGGAATGGGGCAGCTTGTGGCAGCGAGGGGGCTCCCATTTTGGCAGCACTCCCTTGGGTGAGGGACTGCCATTGCCTCCCCCGCCTTACACGGCCTCCTTCTGTTCCAGGTCTGTTCTCCTGGCACCCCGTGCTCATGTCTCTGGCTGTAAGTAGTGGCCTGGCCAGCTCGTAGGGTGGGAGGGAGCATACGGGGGTGGTGGTGGCCTCCTGTGGTCACTCACTTTCGGGAGGGATAGCATTGGAATGGGGAGTCTGCCCGTGCCACGTAGACCCCAGAGTACTGAGGACCCAGGGCAGGTGGGCAGGGCTTGGCTAAGCACAAAATGAGCCGCACCTCTCTCGACAGGAAGCTTAGAAAGTGTACTTGGGGCTACTTCTGCCCCTTTTCCTTAACTCACAGCGATGCACCGTGTTCCCTGACACACTGCACCTGCTTGGCCAGCTCTGCCAAGAAACTGTATCCAGTCCTGTGTCAGGGAAACAGGGCCTGTGAATCATTTATAGGGGCCACAGCGCAGACCTTGTGTCTGCTGGGTAAGAGAAGCCATTCCAGAACAGCACTGAGAGGACTATGGAGGGCACCTCCTGGTGACGCGGGCAGATGTTCTCCATTCCTGCCCCTCCCTTTCCTGTCGGCGGGGAGAGAATGCGGGGACTCTGCCCAGGCTGACTGGCAGCTTAGGTCACCGCCATCTTTCTTCCCTTCCGCTGGGCAGCGCCCTCACTCGGTTTCCCACGCGGTCTCCCCAGTTCTCCTTCCTGATGACCGAGGCCCTGCTGGTGTTCTCCCCTGAGAGCTCGCTGCTGCGCTCCCTCTCCCGGAAAGGCCGCGCCCGCTGCCACTGGGCACTCCAGCTGCTGGCCCTGCTGTGCGCGCTGCTGGGCTTGGGCCTGGTCATCCTGCACAAGGAGCAGCTTGGCAAGGCCCACCTGGCCACCTGGCACGGGCGGGCGGGGCTGCTGGCCGTGCTGTGGGCCACGCTGCAGTGCTCGGGCGGGGTGGGGCTCCTCTACCCCAAACTGCTGCCCCGGTGGCCCCTGTCCAAGCTCAAGCTGTACCACGCCACTTCCGGGCTAGTGGGCTACCTTCTGGGCAGCGCCAGCCTCTTGCTGGGCATGTGCTCACTCTGGTTCACGGCGACAGTCACCGGTGGAGCCTGGTACCTGGCTGTGCTGTGCCCTGTCATCACCAGCTTGGTCATCATGAACCAGGTGAGCAATGCCTACCTGTACCGCAAACGGATTCAGCCGTGAGCTCTGCGCAGCCTGGAAGCCTGGACTTGCCCTCGTGTGGGAGCTGGCGCTGGGACATCCTGGACTCTCTGGACTGACAGGTCACAGGGACACCTCAGGCCCTGGGGCACTCAGGGTAGGAGGCCTGAGTGAGGCATTTGTGGTTGCTCCTCACCCCAGGGCCGCCTCCTCCCTCTCTCTGCCATCCCAGAGGAGCCCATGGACCGTGTGTCTGGATGAAACTGGGGTTGCAAGATTGCCTCCCCAGCAACTCAGCTCATACTTATATCGGTATGTCCAGAAATTACAGGACAAAAGATTAAAATAAAAATTGAAAAAAACTGGAAAGCCTGGGTGGGGAGAACAGCCAGAGTGGGGACAGTTCTCACTAACACCATCAGGATCAGAGGGGCGCCGGGCGCCAGGGATCCTGTTCCCGCTGCTCCCTGTGCAGCTGGCGCTCTCCCCGGCACCCACGCCCGGGATGTGGCTGCCAAGCGGCCCGGTTACCCAAAGCCCCAGACTGCCCTGGGGCTGGGGCTGTGAGTGCCCGTGTCCTCAGTCCCCGCCCTGTGCTGTTAGGTCTGGGCAGTGACGACGGGAGCTGGGGCTGGCCGGCTCATGGTGTCAGGCACTGAGCACCGGTCTTGGAGGTGGGCCTTGGGTAAGAATTCCTGAGGGAGAAGCCCTGACCTCAGATCCGCTGGGCAGGCCTCTCTCACGGGGACAGGAGGGAGGAAGTGAGTAGGGGTGAGGGGACAGTGGGCATGCGGTGGGGAAGGGCCTCTTGTCCAGCTGGAGTCGCCATGGACTGAGCCCTTGGCCTGGATAAGCCCTAACGTTGGAGCTGAGCAGGATGAGCGGCTGCACGAGGTGTCGGACAGCCCAGGAGCCATACCGCAAAGAACTCTTTATTGACACCGCGCTGGGCCCGCCACCGCCCGCCCGCTCAGTGGTCGTAGAAAACCCTGGGAGCCGGCAGCTCCGGGCTGGAGCAGCGGCCGCAGCGGAGGGAATGGGGTCTCGGGTGAATACAGTCCTCGGGGGCAGGTGCAGCCCTGTGCTGGCTCCCACACTGGCTGGACCCCCAGGGCGTTTTGGCAAATCCTTGCCTTGGCTCAGGGCCCTCGGCCCCCGGAGCAGGTGTGAGGGGTGCCGGAGGCTGCGGCACCAGTGTCCCCGCTGCCACTTGCTTGGGCGGCCTGCCAAGGTGCAGCCTTACCTCGCAGCCTCGGCCGCTGGTCCTGACATAGTGGTTGTCGGAGCTGTGACCAGGCAGCAGGAGTCCTGGGTAGTGTTGGCGAGAGAGCGGAGGCCGCGGAGACCCCCGGCGGACATCTTCCCGCTCCTCCGCGCTGAGGAGGTGTTGAGTGGGAGAGCAGGAGGTCTGGAGCTACAGCTCCGGGGGGGCTGCCTCGAAGGTGATCAGGCTGGACTCGGGGGCAGCCCCTTTCCCTGGGACGGTGGGGGCCTTGTCTGAGAGCAGAGGGCTGTCCACCTTGGCCCCGGCCTCCTCTTCGTCATCGTCCATGCTCGGCCAGACGGACTGGTCCTCCACTCTCTTCAGTCGCTCGTTGAGGGCCTTCAGGGCCAGTTGCCTGGGTCAGAGGAAAGGGGACGGTCACTCTGGGTTGGGACTTGGCTCATGCCTCCTCGTCCCCAGCAAGCTGACCCCCCGCCACTCGACTCCTCTCTCAGCAGCATCTTAGGTGTCCCCTCCCCCAGGCAGAACCCACGCTCCCCAGGGCCTGGATCCCACCTGACCCCCAGAACGAGGCTCTCAGGCTGGGGGCTGCCGGCCCGCCCCAGGCACCCGGGGTGGTTCTGAGGCGGTGTCTACGGGCGGCAGAGCCGGTGCCCCCGGTAGACGGGAGAAGGGCGAGTCCCTGGACATACCCTGTCTGCCTGGGCACTGGCATCACGGAGAGGATAGTACCCCCGCGCCTTTTAGGGGTGTTTGAGCCTTGGGCAAGGGTCTTTGGGGAAGGCTGGGACTCGAGCATCTGCTCTGGAAAGCAGGCCGGCCTGGGCCAGCCCACCCTCCTAAGGGTCCTCACATCTTCCCAGAGGCAGGCCCAGAGCCCAGGACCTGTGCTGGAGTGGGCCACGCCGGGACCCTGGCAGGAGAGGAAGGAGGGCCGGCCCCGTCGGGAGGGCACAGGCCAGAGCCCACCGGTCCCACCGGCAGGTTCCCAGAGACCCCTCAGCAGGAAAGGCACTCAGGGGCACCTGGGACCCGCCCACGGAGGCGGAATGCTCCGGGCAGCCCTCTGTGGGCCGATGCGCAGCCTCCCCAGTTCCAGCGGAGCACCCCAATCTCCACCAGGCAGGGAGCATGAAGAGAGGCAGCGAGGACACGGCCACAAAACGCCGCTCACCTCCACTCTGCCCTCGACTGGCACAGGGCAAGCCGGCAGGCAGGGCAGTCCTCTGCGGCCCAGGCCCCATTCCAGAGGCCGACTCAGTTCTGTACGAGGCCAGGGGACTGAGGTGGTGACTTCCCAGTCACTTCCTCACGAGGATCGAAGACAGGAAACCCCGGCCCTTTGCCTCTGGAGTGGCATGCAGCCGAGGTCAGAGTGGATGGAGGAGAAACCCCACCCAGCAAGCTCCCAGGCACAGGCTGTCTAAGACCCGGCCTCCTGCCGCCCCTGTCCCTCCCCCGCCCACTTTCCTGGGCCTGAGCAGAGGTGATTCCCATGTCCAGCCAACCCCGCCAACCCCGCCAACCCAGCCAAGACCTCTCACTGGCACAGGGACCGCCCCGGGGCCTGGCCCCCTGAGGAGCTGGCTCTGAGGGCAGCCAGTTCCCACCAGGCCCGGCCTTCGGGCTGCAGCCCCTCCTCTGGGGAAGGGGAAGGCAGACCACCGGGGACCACGGTGACGTGTGGCATGCCGGCCGGAGGATCCATACTCAGCCCCGCAGCCCGGCAGGAGTGAGTGCAGAGCGGCCGGAAGCCGCTCGGCAGGTGAGCAGCAGCAGCAGAGCCTGTGACCAATGCAGGAGGCAGGCACGGAGCCTGCTCAGACTGCACTGCTCCAGCAACTCCTCAAAAACACCCAACAGCCGAAACCCGTTTGGCTCAGTGGTAGAGCGTCGGTCTGCGGACTGAAAGGTCCCGGGTTCGATTCCGGTCAAGGGCATGTACCTTGGTTGCGGGCACATCCCCGGTAGGGGTGCAAGAGGCAGCTGGTCGATGTTTCTCTCTCATCGACGTTTCTAGCTCTCTATCCCTCTCCCTTCCTCTCTGTAAAAAATCAATAAAAATATATTTATAAAAACAAACAAAAACACCCAACAATAATGCTGGCGACGGAGCTGGGACTGCTCTGAGGCCACAGACCGGGCGGAGAAAGAGCCGGTTTCAGACCTGTCCCGCCCGGCCCAGGTGCTCCGAGGAACCAGTCTGGGCCTGATGGTGCCCATGGCTTGGTTTACAGACAGTGAAAAGGCAGGCTGCAGGTGCGGTCACATGGCCAGGCCCTGGTTTGGTAACAGGCCTCCCTGCAGGAGGCGGGGAAGTCTAGCAACACCGCCAGCTCCCCTGCAACAGGTGGCAGAGGCGGGTATCTCAGGGAAGGCCAGCCCGAGACCCCTGAAACGGGTGGCCAGAGTGCCTCTGAAGGCTCCCAGTCCCCGTGTCCGTCCCCCTCACAGACCGACCAGAGGCTCTTTCTGACCCGGGTCTCGGGCTCCCAGATTCTGAGACGAGGCCAGAGGGAGGTGTCCCTGGCCCTCCACTGGCCCCCTCCCAGCACCAAGGACACTGGGTGTTTCCTGAGACGCAGAGGCAGCCTCGGCGGGGAGAAGAGCGTTGGAAAGCGCCTGCGGGAGCCAGACACCTGCGTGCCCGGGTCCTCAAGGCCACGAACCCGGGTTCGACCTCTTTCTGCACCCGCCCCGACACCTGGCCCCCTGGCACCCCGACAGGTGGGATGTGACGGGACACACGCTCCCCCAGCTCCACAAGGTTCCAGAAGACCCCACGGTACCTTCTCCGCTCCGCGTCCTGGGGGTCCGTGCCCGGGAGGCTGATGGTGATGGAGGACGGGGCCCCCACGTCGTAGCGCTTCACCGTCTTCTGGCAAATCTTCACCTTCACCAGGAGGCTGTGCACCACGCTCGCCAGCAGCCCCACCACGGGCTGCAGGATCTCGGGGAAGAAGGTGGCGAACGCAAAGTGGTCGGCCATGTCCCCGCGGCCGCGGCTGTGGCGCTGGTAGAAGCGCAGGTAGACCCAGCCGGAGAGCAGCCCGAAGCCGTAGGAGGCCAGCGCGGGCCCGGCCAGCAGCGCGGCCAGGCGCAGCAGCAGCAGCAGCGCCAGCAGCAGCATGGGCAGCACGCTCAGGCGCACCTGCGGCACGCGCAGCACCACGCAGTCCCCCATGGTCTGCTTCAGCGCCACCAGCACGCCGCCCAGGAAGCCCAGCGCCCCGTGGATGCGCACGGTGAACAGGTACGCCAGGTTGAAGGAGGCCATGTAGGTGAGGAGGTAGGCGAAGGCCCCCAGCAGCCCCACGGACACGTTCACCACCGCGAAGAAGATGAGCAGCTCCAGGGCCCCCCACAGGGGCTCCAGCAGGCGCCCGGCCACCGCCACCGTGGCCAGGCTGATGGCCACGTCCCACACGTGCTGCTCCATCAGCCCGTGGGTGGCCAGGGTCCAGATCCAGAAGTTGGGCGGGAAGAGGTAGCCCGGGGTGACCGCCAGGCAGCCCGTGTCCACGGCGAAGGACAGCAGGTAGAGCAGCAGCACCGCGGCGCACAGGGCCTTCACCACCACGCTGGCGCTGGCCACGATGGCCCCCAAGTGCTGGCGGGCGCCGGGCAGGGCGCGCTGCATCTTCGCGGCGGGCGGCGGCCTGGGCGGCGCGTCTGGTGGGCTAGGGGCCTCCCCGGGGCCTCGTCCCCCTCCGGCCCCGACGGGAGGCCCGGGCCCGGCCTAGTCACCGGCCTGTGGCCCCGCCCCGGCGAAGGCCCCACTCCGGGCCGGGCGGACTCCGGATCCAAAGGGCCGGGCCGGGCCGGGCCTGGGAGCGGGGCGGGGCCTAGGCCCGTCGCCCGGGACCGGAGGGGAAGCCCTGGGCGGCTTCGGCCCGCCTGCCTGCCCGCCCGGTGGGCCCCGAGCCAGGCCCGGTGGGCTGCCGTTGGTCTCAGGGCCGGGCCTGCTCCATCCGCGCCGAGGTCGCACGGCCCGGTCCGCGCGGGGCTGGAGCCTAGTTCCGGGCCCGAGTCACGGCAGGTTCAGCTCCGGCTCGGCCTGGCTTCCAGCCTTCGACCGTCCCTCCTCCCTTCTCAGGCGCCGACAAACAGGGGCGCTGCGCCTGCGCGCCCCGGGCGGCGGCGGGACGCCCTCTCGGCACCGGCCTTCCGGGTCCGCGCCATGCTGGGACACCGAGTCCCTCGGCCGAAGCTGGGGGACGAACGGAAGTCAGGGTTCTGTGTAGAACTACAAGTCCCAGGAGGCTGTGCGCGCTGCCCGGGCAAGTCGGTGGTGAGAAGAGGTGTTGCATGGGAATTGTAGTTTTCTGACCGTTTTCCACCAGCCCTCGGGAGGTGGGAGTGGGTGAAGAATCATCGCTAAACCTGGGTAAGCGGCGGGTACCACACGCATGCCACACGCTTGCTGAGTCCCCCGGGAAGAATGTCTCTTTGGCATGTACATCTGAATGGGTGTGTTTTCGTGGGTAGGTGTGTGGGTGAGAATGTTGGGTGGCCTTGGTGCACCTACTAGTAGTGTGAGGGAACTGGGACTCCCGCGGGCTGGAATAAGCCTGACTCAGGTTTGGGGTGCGTGGGGCCTGACTCAGGCTGGAATTCTTGCCCTGGTTGTGCTGTCCAGGCCGCCCTTGTTACAAGTCAGGTGGAGCCTGGACTCAAACTCAGGTTTCCAGCCCCACACACTTCTGCTTTTTGGCCCAGAGGAAGAGAAGTCTCCCACCAACCTGGACCAGGCTGGCCCTGGTCCCCACTTCAGTGCAATTACCTGACAAAGTGCATTTATAAAGTGCAGGGCCCCTTCCTGGCAGCCACTGAGCTCAGTGCTACTGCCACCATGCGCACACCCTTCCGGATTACAAAGGGTGCTGACACCCTTTATCTTTGTCTGGCTCTGGGCTCTCACCGGATGTCACTCCAGGGTAAGGTTACCCGATTTGACAAATCAAAATACAAGGTGCCCAATCAAATCTGAATCTCAAATAAACAATGAATACTTTTATTTACTTATTTTTTTAGTATAAGCATGTCTCCATTAAAAATGCTTTTGATTTCAGAGAGAAAGAAGAGGGGGAGAGAGAGGAGAAACATCAATGATGAAAGAGAACCATTGATTGATTGGCTGCCTCCTGCATGCCCACCATTGGGGATCAGGCCCACAACCTGGGCATGCGTCCCCAACTGGAATTGAACCTGGGACCCTTCAGTCCAAAGGCCTCCATCCACTGAGCCAAACCAGCCAGGGCAGCATGTCTCCATTTTTATAGTATAGTTATGTCCCATGCAATATTGATGTACTAAAAATATTTATCTGAAATTCAAATTTGATGAAATGTTCTCTCTCTATATATATTTTAAAATATACTTTATTGATTTCTCTATATATTTTAAAATATACTTTATTGATTTTTTTACAGAAAGGAAGGGAGATGGATAGAGAGTTAGAAACATCGATGAGAGAGAAACATCAATCAGCTGCCTCCTGCACCCCCCCCCCCCCACCAGGGATGTGCCCGCAACCAATGTATAATACATGCCCTTGACTGGAATAGAACCTGGGACCTTTCAGTCCGCAGACCGACGCTCTATCCACTGAGCCAAACCAGTTTCGGCAGTTCTCTATATATTTTTAATATATATATTTTTATCGATTTCAGAGAGGAAGGGAGAATGAGAGATAGAAACATTGATGATGAAAGGGAACCATCGATCCATCAGCTGCCTTTTGCATGCCTCCTACTGGGGATCAAGCCAGAAACCTGGGCATGTGCCCTTGACTAGAATTGAACCCGGGTTCCTTCAGCCTGCAGGCCGACATTCAATCCACTGAGCCAAATATAAAAATGTTCTATATTTTATCTGGCAGCCCTACCCTAGGACCTCTGGGGCTGTTGCATGGCAGGGGAGGGGGCTGCCCCAGAGGTTGCTGGGTAGGTGCTGCTCGGTGCCTCCTGCAGAGGACCGAGGAAAGCTTGGATTGCCCTCCCCCAGGACCTAAGGACCCCAGACACAGACCAGTTCCTGACAGTTTTGCTGATTTCTTGTCCTTCTCATCTGGGAAGAAGGAATCTCCTGTCTCAGTCTGCCCATCGGCAGGATGGGGATGAACTAGTGCCCAGTCTAAGGCTGTGGTGAGGAGTCGCCAGAAGCCCCCGTGAGTGCCCTGCAGTGTCAGCAGCACCGGGAAGCCTCTGCTCTGGTGGTGGTCAGTCTTTCCCCTTAAAGAACTCGGACTTAAAGAGTTGGGATTAAAATGAACCGGAGGGTTGGGTTCCAGTGTGAGCAGCCGTGGCCATGGCAACCCCAGTCCTTAGGCTTCCCCTGGGCTGGGAAGAGCAGCGGTCACTGGTGGACTGGCCCCTCCTCAGGGCACAGCACTGCGCCCTGAAGCACGGGCTCCTGGATTCAGCCGGGGACTCACACTTCACTTTGGTGAGGACCCGCCCACTAGGCTGGATGGTCTGAATGGATGGCTCGATGCTTCCTAACCCACAGCTCCTGGAGGTTTTTTTTTTTTTTTTTTTTTTTTTTTAACAGCTTCTCTCAGGGGCTTTTGGGATTATGCAAGGCAAAGGATTCAAGTATCGATTCAAGTATCGAGCATCGAGGATGCCTGGTCCCCCCCCCCCCTCAGGACTGAGAGCCAGGCCTTCCCTCCTAGCGGTCAGCTCCGCGGGGCTCCGAGGCCGCGGCCGCTGGCTCTTCACGCTGCGCATTCTCACCCCAGGGCAGACACAGCGGATGGGAACCATTTGAAGTGAAAATATGAACATCATTTAATAACTGATCTTCTGTAATAAACCATTTGAAAATATTTTACAAGGAATCACACACACAGTATTTTACAAAGTTTCTTGCTTTTTTTTTTTGTCGCTGTTGTTTTTCCGACTTGTCTGTACAAAATAGAACAACCAAAACAAACCGAAAAAAAGGGCAGAGAAGAGGAGATGGCCCCCCAGGTCCCCCCAGCCCGAGGTGAGGGGGCGGCTGGGTCAGGCGGACAATGAGAAGGGTCAGACCCAGCGGGGGGTGGAGGGGGGGTGGACAACTACCTGATGGGAATTGTTTTGTGTCTGTTTTTCTGTTTTTTAAACTTAAAATATATATTTACTTTTTCTGTATATGTTTGATTCTTTTTTACTTTTACATTCTCCATTGAGAACCTGACTACACCACAGTTACACACACGCCCCCGCAGAACACGGCCGGCACCGAGGAGGGTGTGCGGCACGGACACCCCCTGGCACCAGCGGCGGGCACGGACCACACACACACTGAGAAAGCGACAAGCAACGTGACATTAATTAACGGAGCCATTAATCAATGCACCCCTCCCCCCTCCTCCCAACCAGTCCACCGGAGCCCCGTGGCCGCACCCCCTGCCCTCAGCCCCCCACCAGCCCCCAGCCCCCAGCCCCCAGGCCGGGCTGCCTCCGGAGGAAATGACCAGAATGAATGGTGTGAAATGTGCTCAGGCCCAGCCTCTCGGTGTGCAGTGTGTGTGCGTGTGTGTGTGTGTGTGTGTGTGTATATGCGTGTGCAGGTGTGTGTTCAGCGGGGAGGGGCAGTTTGGCCTCCGGGGGGTAGGGAGTGTGTGTGAGCGGGAAGGAGGGAGGAAGGACGTGGGCACAGGCCTGAGTGTGTAAGGGCCGGATGGGGGGGGCCCAGCTGGGGGCAATGACGTCACCCTGCTAAGGCAAAGGGCGCTGTGGTGGGGGGTTCCTCTGCCGGGGAGTGGGTGGTCCCGCAGGGGCCTGACACTAGTGATAATGGTTCCATGAGCACCTGGGGGTGAGGGCATGTGGGGGACACTGGGCTCGGTGGGACAGAGGGGCCTCTGCCCCCTGCCCCGGCATTTGGCACGTTTGACATTCAGCGTTAGATGGAGGTCCGCTGGACGGCAGGTCCGGCTGGAGGCGGGCAGGGAGCAGGGGAGGGGGTGCACATGCAGCCCTCCCCCCAGCCCTGCCCCGTGTAAGGCTGCGTGAGCCCCACCCACCCCGCCCACGTGCCCTCTGTGTGCGTGTCCTCCGGATGTGGCTACTGGGAGGCCAGTCCTGCCCTCAGGCTCCAGGGTGTGTGGGTGTGTCTGAGCCAGTCTTACTCACTGCCTGACACCTGCCAGGTTGGGTGGAGGGGGAAGGGATGTAGGCCTGAGAGGAGCAGGAGGGGTGGGGAAAGGGGGCTGGCCCAGGACCTCTCTGCCGGGCCTTAAGCTGGGGTGCACAGGGAACCAGATGTGGTCCCAGGTGGGGCAGCAGGGCCGGGCTGGGGCAGTGCCGTGGGGCAGGGCGGGCAGTGGGGCCTGGTTTGGCACCAGTGCTGTGGCTTCCCTGTCCAACCCCGGGGGGTGGCGGGGGGGTGAGTCCAGCGGGAATGGGGTCCGGAGACACAGACAGTTCACAGCAGATGTGCCTGGGCTGAGCCCGGGATGGAGGCAAAGACCTGCAGCGCCCTCCTGTGGGCACCTGCCCGCCCAGGCTGAGCCTCTGGGCCCGGTGCTCAGTCCTCGGTGAGATGGGGTGAGGATCTAAGGGGGGAGGGGATGCGGGAGGCCTGGGGAGCCGGGCTGCTCAGAGGCGGCGGGCGGGGACGTGGAGCGCCTGCGGCCCGGGGGGCAGGCCCAGGAGGAGCAGCAGCTGCAGGGACACCAGGACGCCCAGCGACGGCGGGAAGGAGGCTCCGCGGCCGCAGTCTGAGGTATCTTCCTGCGGGAGGACGGGGCGGTCAGCCCGGGGGGGGGGGGGCGCGGGGCCCGCAGTCCCGGAGGAGAGCCAGCGGCCGGCCCGCCACCCCCACTCACGGTCGCGTTGTAGTCGAAGCAGATGTGCGGGCCCCTCCGGTACCGCGGCCTCTGCACCAGCTCGCACTGCTCCGGGCCGTCCGCTGGGCATGGGTGGGGAGTCAAGGAGGCGGCGGGGGCGGCGTGGGGGTGCGGGGCGCGGGGGGTGCGGGGCGCGGGGGTGCGGGGCGCGGGGGGTGCGGGGCGCGGGGGGTGCGGGGCGCGGGGGGTGCGCGGGGGCAGGATACAGTGCGTCTCCTTCTGCAGCAGCCGGCCGGCCTCGCACTGGCTGCACAGCGGCTTCTCCGCCACCACGAACAGCAGGTTGGTGTTGCTCAGCCTCTGCGCGTGGAACAGCCTGGAGGCGGCACAGGAGGCGGGCGTAGAGGCCGCCCCGGCCCGCCCCAACCAACCCCCGCCCAGAAGGCCCCGCCCACCTGGTCCCACCCCCAAAACCACGCCCCAGAAACAGGCCCCGCCCCTCCTCCGCCTCTGCCCCCAATCAGACCCCGCTCACATACCACGCCCCGCCCACAAACAGGCCCAGCCACAGATCACGCCCCGGCCCCGCCCCTCCGGCCCCGCCCCTCCGGCCCCGCCCCGGCACCTGGAGCAGTTGCCGCAGTCGATGATGGCGTTGTAGGAGGCGTTGACCGGCCCGAAGTAGTACTGCGTCTGCTTCACCACGCAGCTGCTCTCGCGCGCCTCGGGGCTGCCCTCGGCCTCGGCGGGGTCTGCGCGGCGGGAGCCCAGCCTCAGCGCAGCCCTCCGCCCCCGCGCCGGTCCCGCCCGCCCTCCCCCGGCGCCGTCCTACCTGCTTGGAACCAGCTGTGGTAGACGAGGCCGTAGAGAAGCTGCTGGAACAAGGACCTGCAGGGCCGGGCCACCGAGGGGGCGCGGTCAGCGGAGCCAGGCTCCCTCCCACCTCCCTGGACACCCCTCCTCTCTCCTCCCCCCCTCCTCTCCTCCCCTCCCCCTCTGGGCCCGGAGGACTCACCAGGCCGCCGCCGAGCTCCACCAGGCCAGGTTCAGGAGGTCGGCGACGGTGGGCTGCGGGGAGAGGCGCGCTGCACTGCTGCCCGGACCCGTGCCAGCCGCGCGCTCCCAGGGGGAGGGGTCACCTTTGGCAGTTCTCCCGGCCCCCGCCCCCCCAGCTCCAGGCCGGGCATTGCTGTTGCTCACCACGAAGACGCCCCGGGGAGCCGCGCCCAGGTTGCCCGGCGGCTGCGGGGCACAGGCAGCCTGGTAGTCGAAGGACTCCTTGCGGGCGTAGAAGGAGTTGTTGTAGAGCGCCAGCATCAGGTTGGCATCCACCTCGCTGAAGAACCTGCCCACCTGGGGTCCGGGGAGAGATCGGTCACAGGCTGCCCCCCCCCCCCTCCCGCAGGCTCAGACCCGGCCCCTCCTCCTGTCCTCTGACCCTCACCTGGTCCCACTGGTGGTTCTGGTTTGACAGCACCAGGAAGCCCCCGTCATCAATGAGGACACAGAGCAGGTCCTGAGAGCGGGGAGGGGGAGAGGGGGAGGAAATGGAGGGGGGCTTGGGCCCAGACCTCCTCCCAGACCCTGGTGGTCTGTGTGTGAGGAGGGGCACCCCCCCTGCTGTTCGGGTAGAGCTGTGAGGTCAGGCGGGGAGGGCCCAGGAGTTGGGGTGGGAATAGGAAGTCCAGGGCACACCCACCTCGTTGTTAACCTCGCAGTCCATCTCACAGTGGGTGCTGGGGCCACACTGCTGGGCAGAGAGCAAGGCCTGTAAGGTGTCCACTGGTCTCCCCCTCCCAGCACCCACCCCTGGGGTCCCCAGGCATCTGCCCCAGCCCTGCCTCCCTCCGGCTCCGGAGACACCGAGTGGGAGGACTGGCAGAAGTTCCGGGGCTCCAGAACGGGTGTTGCTGGGCTTGTGGCCCCCACCCCTGCCCAAGTACCTTCTGCGGCTGGTCCTGGTGGGTCCGGTTGCTGGCCAGCACCTTGAACTTCTCAGCCCAGGCCTCTAGATCCAGCTTAACACCCACAACTGGGGGGAGAGCGAGGGCCGTCAGTGCCCGTCTGCCCGCCCGCCTGTCTAGGCAGCACCCTGCCCGCCGAGGCCCCTCCCTGCCCCCACTGCAGGCACAGACCTGCTGGCCTCAGGGTGCGTCCGCCCAGACTGAACTCCACCGCGGTGCTGACCAGGATGCCCACCGTGTCGTTCTCCAGCTCCAGGGGCCTTAGCAGGGCTGGGCGAGGCAGTCAGGAGCGGGGGCTGAGCTGAGCACTGAGCACCCAGCACCCAACCTGAGCACCCAGCACCCAGGGCAGTGTTCAGCACAGCCAGCCCTCTCTTCTCACCCGCCACCGCCCATCCAGCCCGCTCGTGTTTGGGAGGGGCCTCGGAGAGGAGAGCCCGCCCTGGAGGAGCATGGGGGTGGGGGGCTGAGCCCCCCGCTGCTGACGGGGGGGCACGCACCCTCCTGGTGTGGGGGCCTGAAGACGTAGCCGCGGTTGTCCAGGCTGCGGCGGTAGAAGCTGGCGTTGAAGGGCTCCGGGTTCTCGGTCCAGTCTTCAGCCGCCCTGGTCCCCCGAGAAGGCAGAGGTTGGTGGAGGGTGGCATGTGGGGGGCCGAGGCCTCTGGGCGGCAGGCAGAGGCGGGGTCCCAGGCAGGGCGGGGTGTGGGCTGGCGGGCGAGGCCACTTACTTGTTGGGGAACACGCGGGTGATGCCGCCGTCCGTGGCGGCGAACACGGCCAGGAGGCTGTACCTGGGGGCAGCGGGCGGTGAGGGCGCGGGCTGCCTCCCCGCGGCCCCTCCCGGCCTCCCGCCCCACAGCCCCCGGGGGTGGGGCCTACGTGTTGAGGTCCTGGTCCCGCCACACGCGCTCCACCAGCTGCTGGGTGATGCCCGTGTCCAGGATCAGGTTGTGCAGGAGGAAGTTGTTGCCTGAAAGGGGAGGGCAGGGGTGGGGGCAGCTTTTCATGGCTCCCGCCCACTGACTCCTCCTCCCCTCAAGGCTCGAATGGGAGCCTGGTCCGCGCCCTGCCCCGCCCGGCCCCTGGCTTCTGGCTTCCCCCGCATCTCCCACCCCTGCCGGCTCCCCGGCTCCCGGGCCGCCCTCGGCACTCACACTGCTTGGAGTCCGGAGTCACCTTCTCCATGAGCTCGATGAAGTTTTTCAGGAACTCCGTGTTGTTGTCCGAGGCGTTCAGGTCCTTGCAATACTCTCTGGGGGCAGAGGGGGGGCAAGAGGCGTGGGCTTGGGGGGCTGGACGGGGCGGAGGGCCGGAGCTTCCCAACAGGTCTTCCTGGTCACTGGCTGGTCAGCCAGGGTCCGGGCGGGCAGGTGCACTCTTACAGGCTGCAGCCGCTCTGGGCCTGGCCGGCTCCCGGGTCTGGGGAGGGGCGGAGCCGACGGAATGAGGGTCTACTTCCTCCGCCCTGGAAGGGTCTCGCTCAGGGCCGTGGCCCGCAGAGCCTCCCGCCTCTCCTGGACCCGGATGGAGCCCGGGAGGCCCTCAGCGGCTCGCCCCGCTGCGCGCCGTCCTGGTCCGTGAGCACCAGGAGGGTGGGCCCAGCCCTGCTGCCGCAGGGACTCAGACCTCCCCCTGGCTGCCTGCTGCGCCCGGGCAGCTCGCCTGGCTCCCTGGCCTGTTTCCTAACGGAGCATTGTGGACGGCCGCTCAGGGCCCGGGGCGGGGCTGGGGGCGTGCGGCCTGTTTAGGCTCCGCTCCCCAGGAAGTCCGGTGAGGAGCCGTTCCTCGGGCCCAGGTCCTGCTCCCGCCCTGCCTCCGAGGCCTCCCTCCCGCTGCCCGCAGGGCAGCCACCTGCTGGAGCTCTGAGAGAGCCCTGGGGAGCCCACGGCGGGGTGAGGGCACCGGCCTGGGCCTCCGCGCCCGCTCCCTGGCCCCGCACAGCTCCCCTCCGCTGCAGAGGCCGCACCTGCCGTGCCCTGAGTGACAGCCAGTCAGCGAGGCCTGCGTGCGGCCCCCACACGCCGTGCCTGCGTTTCTGTGTGTGGGTTCCGTCACTCACTCACCCAGACGTGTTTACCGAGCTCTCCCGAGCCACAGACACGGGGACAAAACAGACACAGGCCCTGTCCTCAGAGCTCCCTGCGGTCACATGGCCTGTGCACGTCTCCACAGGGGCCGTCCCACAGCCACCCGGCCACCAGGCTCCCACAGACACCCGGCGACTCACAACACGAACACGGCAACGGCTACCGGGTCCGAGGAACGCGGGTGCATGCACACACGTGCACGCACGGGGCTAGTGTGTCCAGAGCCCAATGTGGTGCCCGAGGGGGCCCTGGGTCCCCTGGCAGCACCCTCTGCCATCCTCCAGAGCCCGGCGGCCCCTGGCTCCTTCCGATGTGGGGGGCCCCAGGACGTGTGCATGCTGAGCGCACTCGAGGGGGGTCCAGGCCTGACCCTCACTTGCCCTCCAAGCCCCCGCCCCCTCTTCCACCCTGTCCTCCGAGAGCCACCGCACCTAGACCGGACGGGGCTCTGGCTGGCCCGTCCTCAGACCCACACAGACACTGACTGACACAGGACAAGGACGGGGTGCGGGCAGGGCGGGCGGGGGAGGCACCGCAAACCAGAGCAGCAGCTGCCCAGCCAGCCGGGGGCACAGAGGACGCCTGGCTGCTGGAGAGGGGAGGGGGGCGGGCAGAGGGGCGCCGGGCGGCCGGCACTGCCGCCTGGTTCAGCTACATGGCCCGGGTATGCACGTGGCGCGCATACGGGGCTATGCACGGGGGGGGGGGGGGGGGGGGGGGACACTGCACAGGACACAGACACACACAGCTCCAGGCAGCAGTGCAGGGGCGGGCGGGGGGAGGACGCCTAGCAGGCCACACGCAAGCTACCTGGGAGCAATGAAAACATGTCCTTCAGACTCAAAGCTGCTGGGGAGCAGGAACTCAAAATCTGCAACAGAAACGGGGGTTATCCGGCGGGGGCTGGGGAGGCGGGAGGCCGGGGGTCTCAGAGCTCCAGGGGCTGGAGGGGCAGGACGGGGGTGGTGGTGGTGGTGGCTTCAGGGAGGGAGAGACACTAGCAAAGAGGGAACCCGCCACTTCCATGTTCAAGTTCGAGCCAGAGAGAGAGGGTGGGGCGGGAGGGTGGGGCCTGTGGAGACCACGGCATTGCAGGGGGCAGTTATAGCCAATATGTTGCCCGGGCCCGGCCCTCGGTGGGCAGCGAGTCCCCTGGCGCGGCTGTATATGCTTCCATACGGCTGTATAGCACATATACACGGACACACACACACATATATATACACACACTGCTATATATATGCATGGTCTGGGGCCGGGCTCGCTCATCGCACCGCAATGGAAAAACCGCATGCTGCCTCCCTTCGCCCCCGCGGAGGCGCGGGGGGCGGGAGCGGGCTCTGGCCGCGGATCTGTGCCCCTCTTGCTTTGCTGCAGCTGCTTGTGTTTTGGTAGGTCTTGCGTTTGTTCCGTGTCAGGCATCAACATGGCCAAACCGAGGGGGTTTCTCACGGGCACAGACAGTCCAACCAGAGACGGTGTGGGCGGCTGGGGTGGGCTGCAGTGCATTGTGGGGGCTGGCGGTCCTCCCCAGGGTAGGCGCTGGGTGAGGGGAGACCTTGAGGTGCCCGGAATGTTCCCATGCTTCGGGGGGGGGGGGATCCTGGGGGCTGGGAGGGGCTGGGAGGGTTGCTTGAATCTACACACCTGCCCCCTTGGGCTGGGAGCATGAGGGGGGGGAGAGGGAAGGTGGGGGTCTCCCCCATCCTAGGACCTGTGTGGGCTCAGAGCAGGCATGGGGTGCTGTGTGTGTGAGTGACATGAGCGTGTGTGTGTGTGTGCTGCTGCCCCCCCCCCGTGGGTTTGTGGGGCATCTGGGACTGGCCTCGTGGGACTGGCCACTTGGCGGGGCCTTCTCTGCCCTCAGCCTTTGGGGAGTCCCCCTGGCCAGCCTCACACCCAGATTCCGAACTCTCAGTCGCCCAGGGCTTGGCTTTTGCAGAGGAGGGACCTTCCCTGTTCCCCAATACTCCCACAATGCACTGCGAGGTTCCGGGAAGGGGGACTCCGGTGCCTGGGGGGTCACTGGTTGGACTGTTGCTTTCTGATGGGACTGGGAGGCAGGGTGTGGACACAAGCCGACAGGGCAGGGGTGGGAAGAGGAGGAGGAGGAGGAGAGAAAGGGCGTGGGAGCAGGAAGGAGGCTGCTATGGCTGTCACTGTGACAGGGCCCTGCAGTTCCGGGGCCCTGGAGGGGTGCAGAGGGGAGAGAAGACAACTCAAGCCAGTGGAGGGGGGCCTGTCCTTCACCCTCCCTCCCCCGGCTCTCGGGGGCGCTGTACTCCCCTCGCTGGCCTAGGGCTTCCGGGCCCCGGGGACCTCTGCCCAGGGTCCCCCTGGGAGGGCGTGTCTGCACAGGGGCAGTCCCTGGCATGTGCTCTCCCCCTGGTTCTCACCAGGCCCCCCGCGCTCACTGCCTTCCTCTCCCGGGAGTCTGGGCGCAGACCCTGCTCTGCACATCCAGCAGCATCGCCTCCGAGCGCCTGTGCTGGCCCGTGGGGTCCAGACAGACCCCCTCGTCCCCGGCCGGGCGCGCAGTCCCGGAGTCTGCCTTCACTGACACCTTTCCAGCCTGCCCACCGCCCGGGGCCAAGCCCAGCGCAGGGCTGGCTTGGTGGCCTGAGCCAGGACTCTGGTTCAGCACCCTGGCCAGCGCCCATGATGGTCCTGGCTGCCTGGCTCTCCGGGTGGCCTGGCTGCTGCCGTCCCGCCCGCCTGCCTCAGGGTCAGGGCTGGAGGCTCCCCTGGGGAGGGCGCACCACCAGCCTCTGCAGTGTGCGCTGGCGAGCAGAGGAAGAGCCACCAGAGGAGGAAGCTCTGCCGCTGGCCCTTTCCCACGAGCCTCACCGTCCCTCCGAGCCCGGGTCTGCCCCCTGCGTCTCCGGCCTGCGCTGCTGGGTGGGGGTGGGGGTGCAGAGGCCTCCTGCCCTGTCCCCACTGTTGAGTTGCCTTGAGGGACAGAGAAGAGGGGCAGGGCCTGCCCAGAGGGAGCCAGGAGGGGAGGAGGGGGCCGGAGCTCTCAGAACACGCTGGAGAGCCGCCCTGCAGCTGGGGCCCCGCTGGCTCTAGGAGGGATCCGAGGAAAGGCGAGAACTGGAGGAGCCAAGGGGATGCTGGGAGGGAGGGGTCCCTGGAGAGCGGGGGTGTGGCCGGTCCTGGGCAGGGAGGGGGGCAAGCAGGGGCGTGAGGGCGGGAGGGGTGGAGGGAGGGGGGGTGCACTGGTTCTGAATATACTTGCCCTTCAGTTTGCTGATTGGCACTGGGACAGTCCACCAAGAGAGAAAGCGAGGAAAACAAAACAACACAAACACAAAAACAAACGAAAAGGGGGAGGGGAAGGGGAGGGGCACAAACAATATTTTATTCAATGGCTGTTTGAATGAAAATATTGTGTCTTATCATCATACCGAAAGGAAACTTCTTGCAAAAAAACGACATGAGAGAGAAAGAGAGAGCGAGAAAAACTCAAAGGAGATGAGCCCAGGGGGCCAGGCAGGCGGGGAGCGCCCGAGGGGGCCGGAGCCCAGCCTCCCCCCGTGACTCGGCGTGGGCAGGCGGGGCCACAGGCTCCGGGAGGCCCAGGCGGGCGGGACATGCAAGGGGGAGCCACAGGCAGAGTGGGAGGGGGAGGGAGGGAGCAGGAAGGGAGGGGAGAGAGGGAGATAGAGCAGGAAGGTGGGGGTAAGGGAGAAAGGAAAGGAAAGAGGGGAGGAAGGAAAGAGGGTGAGAGGGAGGGAGAAAGATGAGGGGGAAGTGAGGGAGGGTGAGTTGGGGGACAGCAGAGGGGCGAGGGGGGAGGCCCGGGGTGGCGCCCGGGGGTGAGAGCTGCAGGGAGAAGAAGGGGGTGGAGGAGCATGTCCTCCAGGAATGCACCCCAGGGGTGTGCGGGGGGAGGGGGGGCATTGGAGAGCAGGCCAAGGAGGGAAGACACGGAGTAGGAGAAACCAAAAACAGAACCTCAACGGAAGCCATGAGAGAATGGTCTGGAACCGAATCTGAGAAAAGGCAAGCATGCAGATTCCAACAGACTCTCGGGCGGCGCCCAGCCCTCGGGCGCCTGGGGCAGGCAGACGGGGCAGGAGGGGCCGCCTGGCTGCAGGCAGCTGGCTACGCTGCCCGAGGCCGGCCAGGGTGCCAGGGTGCTGGGTGCGGGTGCGGGGCGGAGCGGGGTGCAGGGCACAGGCAGGGGCTGGCCACTTACACTTGACCTGCAGGATCTGGTCGCTGAGGTTGGCCTGGAGGTAGAAGGTGCTGTAGGGAGGGAGCACAAGCCCCAGGCTGCGGGGCCGAGGGGCGGGGTCACTGAGGCGCGTCGGGCACCTCCGCGCCCCCCCCCCCCCCCACGGCATGGAGCTGGCGGAGGCCCAGGCGGTGGCCTCCTCCCCGCCGGTCGCTCTCCACTCCCACCTTCTCCTCGAGGCCTCAGACCTTTGGCCCCCAAGTGGATTCCACCACACCCTTCGCGCCCAGTGGCCTCCCCAGCATACCCGCTGCCCGCCTCCTCCCCCTGCCAGCAGCGAGCTCGCCGGGCTGGGCACTGCCAGGGAGCCGGGCCGGGCACTGCTGGGGGAGGAGGGTCCGCAGCCCCCCGACTCAGGCCACGGAGAGCGGCCGGGAGCAGGGCCGGCACTGACACGGGGCGGCTCAGGCCGCCCTGGGCTGAGAGTGAGACGGGGACCTGCCCGCCTGCCCCCAGGGACCGGGCCGGGCTGAGAGCAGGCCCGGGAGTGTGCTGAGGGAGACACCGGGGCAGACACCAGGGCACCATCGGGGGGGGGGGAGGGTGCTGCCGGTGTGTCCCTGCTGTGTCCTGTGTTCCCGGAGAGGGTGCCGCTCCTGGAAGGCCGGCAGGAGGCCCTTGGGGACTGAGCGTCACGGGGTGCAGGGAGGGCCCGGGGCCGGTGGGCCGGGGGCTCCCCCCTCCCCGCCCTTCCCGCCGGCCCCGCTCACCTGTAGTTGGTGCTCCGAATGGGCACCCAGGTGTAGTTGCGCATCACCTCGTCGATGTAGCGCTGGGAGGAGAGGCGGGTCAGGGCCCGGGCCGGCGGGCGGGTGGGCGGGCGGGCTGCTGGGGGGTGAGGGGGGCCGTGCCCGCCCGCCGCTGCCCCCTCCGCCACCGCTCACCTCGTCCAGGGACTTGACCAGCGTCCGGATCTGCCTGTGGCCCCGGCTGCCGTCGATCATGCTACGGCGGATCTGCAGGGGCAGAGCCGTGAGGGCGGGCGGGCCCTGCCCCTCCGCCCGGGCCGCACCCCGTGCCCTCGTCCTCACCTCCTCCTTGTTCTCGTCCTCCAGCTCCGCGTCCAGGAAGTCCAGAGTCACAGGCTCCCGGAAGTTGGTGGTCTGGGAGGGGCAGGCCGGAGGTCAGCGCCCCGCGCCCGCTCGGGGCCGCCCCCCAGGCCGCGCGCAGGGCTTACCTGGGGCCTGAGGTTGGGGTGCAGCAACACATAGCCGTTCAGGTCGATGGCGAACACATAGCCGTTGGCTCCGAGCTGGGGGGTAAGGGGGGGCTCAGGGCCCGGAGGGCTGGGCGGGGGTTCCCCAGGCCACAGAGCTTTCCCTGGTCCTGCCTCCCACGCCCCCGAGGGTGCCGTCTGCCTGCCGGGGCTGGGCCCCCACGTGCCCCGGGCCCCAAGCCTGCTCCTCAGGCCCAGCCCGGCCGGCTGCAGACCAGCTCTGTGGGCCCCCATTCACCGGGCAGCCTGGACTCCTCCCCCCCACCCCGGGTTCCAACGAGCTGTCCGTCACCGTCTGGCCCTTCACAGCAAGTGTGCCGGCCCCGCTCCTGGCCCCAGGCCCCTCCTCCGGGAGCCTGCCCTGACTGCCTGGACTCAGAGGTCCCCCCGGGGTGTTCCATGGCCAGCAGCCTCCCCTGTGGGCCCGGCGTGCCCCCCGGGAGGCAGAGCGGGCGGGTGTGCGGGCCGACACTCACCGTATAGTTGGGGGTCAGCCTCTTGATGTCATTCAGCGCCACGTCGATGCCCATCACGCCCAGGATCAGCTGGTTCTGGGGCGGAGGCGGGGCTGTCACGGCTCCGTCCCAGGGGGAGCCCCTGCCCCGCGCCCGAGGCTTCAAGCGGCTCTCACAAGCGGGCCAATGGGCAGGCTGCCCACCCCTCCTCCGTGCCAGCCCAGCCCTCCCCGGGCACCCCGTCTCCCCGGGCCCCCCGGCCCCCCAACACCCCGTTCCCCCCGACCCCATCCTCCTGGGCACCCCGTCCTCCCCGACTCCCCGTCCCCCCATCCTCCCCGTCCCCCCGGGCACCCTCACCTTCTTCTCTCCGGGCACCCTGTCCCCCCGGGCACCCCATCCCCCCGTCCTCCCCGTCCCCCCAGGCACCCCGTCCCCCCAGGCACCCCGTCCCCCCGGGCACCCTCACCTTCTTCTCTCTGGGCACCCCGTCCCCCGGGCACCCTCACCTTCTTCTCTCTGGGCACCCCGTCCCCCCAACACCCCGTCCCCCCAGGCACCCCGTCCTCCCCGTCCCCCCGTCCCCCCCATCCTCCCCGTCCCCCCAGGCACCCCGTCCCCCCGGGCACCCTCACCTTCTTCTCTCCGGGCACCCTGTCCCCCCGGGCACCCCATCCCCCCGTCCTCCCCGTCCCCCCGTCCCCCGTCACCTTCTCCCCGGGGCCGTCCTGCGTCAGGTTGAACACGGGGAGGGTCCCGGTCACCACCAGCCCCAGCCCCTGCAGGGAGAGAGGATGGCGGCTGTGGCCGGCCAGGCCCCCGTGTCCAGAGCAGGGGAACAGCGGCCGTTGCTCCTGTTTGGCCTCCCCGAGGGGCCTCCGGGCAGGCCCCTGTGGGCACGCGGGCGAGGGCGCCCCGCCGGAGCCTCACCAGTGCGTCCTCGTACACGTTGGTCCACTGCACCTGCTTGGCCTCCTTGCCGGCCAGCACCATGGGCCTGCCCAGCACGTCCAGGTACTCCTGGGGAGGGATGGTGGCCGGGTCACGGGCCCCTCCCGTCCCTTCCCTGCTCCGCCTCCCGCGCAGCATCCGGCCACCAGGGGGCGCGCTCGCCCCACAGCAGCTCCTCACAGGGCGGTCCCCTGGCAGCAGGGGCTGGGCGGAGGGCCCCACGGGCTCACCTGGGTGTTGATGCGGATGGCACCGATGGACGGGATCTCAAAATAGTAACCTGCGAGGGAGGGCGGCACTCAGGACCCACCGCCGGGGGCCTGTGCCCTGGGGGTGCCTGCAGCCTCCTCTCTTTTGGGGGTCACTTCCCCTGAATCACGTCCGGTCAGTGCTCCCTGCCCTCGCCCTGCCAGCAGGACGGACCCAGGGGCGGGGCTGTGAGTGCGGGAGGGGTGGGAGGGTGAGGGGCGGGGGGAGGGTGTAAGAAAGGGGAGTCAGAGCAGGGGTGACAGGGGGGCCGAGGCCTGACGTCCCTCATTCTAGGCTGGCAGTGACACCCAGTGTCCACCCAGGGGACAGGCCCAAATGCACAGAGGGACAGATGGACCAGCAAGCAGACGCGGGAGCAGACAGGCCGGGGGACAAGAGGGCAGCGGACGCTCAGTCAGACGGACACGTGAGCCAGAGGGAGAGGCGGGTGGGCGGTCACAGGCGTGGGAAGACGCACAGACAGCGGGTGAGCGAGTGGCTGGACCCCCGGCCGGCCAGGCGGCAGGCAGGGCGGGCAGGCCCCGGGTGGCAGGGCGCCCGGGGGTACCTTTGTTGGCGCAGGCCATCCACTGCAGCGGCGTGACGTCGTAGTTGTGCTGCCCCACGGAGAAGGTGAACACGCGCACCTGTGTGCGACCCGGGTCACTGCCTCGGCCGCCGGGCCGGCCCTCTGGGTGCCCCCTCGCCCCCCGCCCCCCCGGTGCCCCCCGCCCCCCGCCCTCCCGGTGCCCCCCCGCCCCCGCCCCCGCCCCCCGCCCTCCCGGTGCCCCCCCGCCCTCCCCTCCCGGTGTTCCCCCCCCCGCCCCTCACCCTCCCGGTGCCCCCCCGCCCCCCGCCCCCCGCCCTCCCGGTGCCTCCCCCCCCCCCCGCCCCCCGCCCTCCCGGTGTGCCCCCCCGCCCCCGCCCCCGCCCCTCGCCCTCCCGGTGCCCCCCCGCCATCCCCCTCCCGGTGCCCCCCCGCCCCCACCCTCCCGGTGCCCCCCCGCCCCCCGCCTCCCGGTGCCCCCCCGCCCCCCGCCCCCCGGTGCCCCCCGCCCTCCCCCTCCCGGTGCCCCCCCGCCCCCGCCCGCCGCCCCCGATTTTACAAAACGGTCCGGGCCCCCCGCAGGGAGTGACCCTGAGGAGGGGAGCAGGGCACCCGGGGAGGGGCTGGCGGCAGGCCCGGTGTCCCCGTGTTCGCACCGTGCGGTTGGGCCAGTTGTACTTCTCGAAGACGTCCTGCACGCGGTCCTCGCCGCCGTCCGTGAACATCATGATCATCTTGTTGCAGTTGGCGCGGCTGATGTTGGACTGGGGGCGGGGCGGGGGTCAGGCGGCCTCGGCCTCCTGGGCGGTCCCGCCCCCGCAGGCCTGCCCGCCGCCTGCTCCGCGGCAGACGGTGCTAACGAGGCCGCCCGTCTTGATCCCCCGTGTCCCCGCCCGCCAACGCCGCCCGGCTCAGGCTCACGTTCTGCAGCTGGTCGAAGGCGTACTCGAAGCCGGCCTTGTAGCCGGTCGTGCCCTTGGCCACCATGCCCTGCACCGCCTCCTTGAACACCTTCTTGTTGCGCACGTTGGCCTGCACCAGGTGCGTGAAGCAGGACACCGGCTGCGCCTTCTCGTTGAACTGTGGGGGCGGCGGGGGGTGAGGCGCACCAGGCGGGGGGGGGGGGGTGAGATGGGGAACCCGGCAGCCCCCCGCCGCCCCCCCCTCCCCCGCCGCCCCCCCTCCCCCGCCGTCCCCCCCTCCCCCCCGCCGGCACCCACCGAGGCCACGTTCACGTAGTCATCGTCCGACAGCGTGTCCAGCATCTCGCACACGGACGTCTTCATGAGCTTCAGGGTCAGGCCGCTGACGCTGCCGCTCCTGGGGGCAGGGGGGGGGCCCTCAGGCGTCCTCCTGCCCCCCCTGCCCCCCCCATGCCCCAGGGCCCAGCCCCCGCTCTGCCCCCCCCCCCCGGCCAGCACGCTCACTCACACGTCCACGATGATGACCATGTCCTTGGGGGACGAGGCCCCCTGGATGTACCTGCCCAGGAGAGGCTCCGGTGAGGCCCCCGCGCCCGCCCCCGCCCCCGCTGTCCCCCCGGGCAGCCCCCCGGGGCCTGGGGCTGTGGGTGCGGAGACACTGCCTTTACCCAAACCGTCCGGGCCCCCCGCAGGGAGTGACCCCGAGGAGGGGAGCAGGGCACCTGGGGAGGGGCTGGAGGCAGGTCCCTGGTCTCGGGGGGCGGCCCCGTGTTCCCAGCCCAGACGGCGCCCCAAGGCAGAGCCTGGCTGCGCACGGGACTGAGCAGGGGCGGGAGCGGGAAGGTCAGGCGCTTGTGGGAGAGGCAGAGCGAGGGGAGGGCTCCGCTGGGCGGGCTGGTCACCACAGAGGACACGTCCCCCGGGGGCCGGCTGTCCCATCCCTCAGAGCCCAGGGGGAGTGCAGGCAGGGGCGGGGCGGGGCGGGAGGCTGCGTGTGATGGGATCCATTTTCCAGCGGCAGCGAGGTGTGAAATGAAAACTGGACAGAGCTGGCTGCGCCCCGCTCGCAGCCGGGATAGCGGGGAGGGGGCGGGCGGCGGGAGCCGAGGGTGCCCCTGCCCAGCCCCTGCCCGCTCACCAGGGTCTCCTTCGGACGTCGTACAGGTCGATCTTCTTGGGGGCCCGCCATGGGGTGGCTGTGGGGGAGGGAGAGTGGGTCTGGCAGGGAAGGGCCGGCCGGGCAGACAGCAGCTGTGGGGCGACCGTCCCACCCACACGCCCAGGAGGGGCGGTGCGGAGGGGACGGGGAGGAGTGGGCGGTGCCCAGTGGGCGGGGAGGAGTGGGCGGTGCCCAATGGGCGGGGAGGAGTGGGCGGTGCCCAGTGGGCGGGGAGGAGTGGGCGGTGCCCAGTGGGCGGGGAGGAGTGGGTGGTGCCCAGTGGGCGGTGCCCAGTGAGCGGTGCCCAGTGGGCGGGGAGGAGTGGGCGGGACAGAGTGGACCGTGCCCAGTGGGCGGGGAGGAGTGGGCGGTGCCCAGTGAGCGGTGCCCAGTGAGCGGTGCCCAGTGGGCGGGGAGGAGTGAGCGGTGCCCAGTGGGCGGTGCCCAGTGAGCGGTGCCCAGTGGGCGGGACAGAGTGGACGGTGCCCAGTGGGTGGGGAGGAGTGGGCGGTGCCCAGTGGGCGGTGCCAGTGGGCGGTGCCCAGTGGGCGGGACAGAGTGGACGGTGCCCAGTGGACGGGGTGGAGTGGGCGGTGCCCAGTGGGCGGGGAGGAGTGGGCGGTGCCCAGTGGGCGGGGAGGAGTGGGCGGTGCCCAGTGGGCGGGGAGGAGTGGGCGGGGCAGAGTGGGCGGTGCCCAGTGGGCGGGGAGGAGTGGGCGGTGCCCAGTGGGCGGTGCCCAGTGGACGGCAGGGGGCGGTGCCCAGCAGCGGGCGGCGGGAGCTGGCACCCACCGGGGTAGTAGCGGGTGACCCCGGTGGCGCTGCCGAAGACCTGCCACAGCAGCGTGGGGTCGCGCCGGCGGTTCTCGGCGAACACGCTCTCCAGGGCCTCCGTCCAGTTGAGCTCGTTGAGGATGACGGTGGCTGCGGGGAGCGGGGGCTGATGGGACCCTCACTGACGACCCCGAGGAGGCCTCACCCGCTCTGCCCCAGGCCCCCCCCGCGGGGCTGTGCCAGCCCCTCGGGGCAATCCTGGCCCTCCCCTCCGAGCCAGCTCAGCCTGCCCTTCTCCGGCACAGACGCAGGGGCAGCTGAGGCCTGTGGCCCGTGGGGGGGGCCCGGGGCGGGGAGCTGGGGGGGGCCCGGGGCGGGGAGCTGGGGGGGGGCCCGGGGCGGGGAGCTGGGGGGGGCCCGGGGCGGGGAGCCGTGGTCGGACCCCAGCCGGCGTGCGGAACGTGCCGCGTCGGGTCCCCCGGGAGCTCACCCACTCAGCATGCACTCGGGGCTGCAGCCACAAGAAAGCAATTAAGGGCGCGATGATGGGGCTGGAATTATTCAGCTATTAAGGTGCCTGATAAGCTGGAAGCCACTCAGCTCCATGATTAATCAACGGCCCAGAGCGGGCGGGCGGCTCGCGGAGGCAGGGTCTGCGCCAGGCTCCCGCTCCCGCGAGACAGGCACGCACACCCGTGCACACACAGACACACACGTGCACACACAGACACACACACACGTGCACGCACACAGACACGGACACGCACACAGACACGCACACCCGTGCACACACAGACACACACGTGCACACAGAGACACACAGACACACACACACACAGACACGCACACCTGTGCACACACACACACACGCATGCACACGCACGCACGCACACACAGACACACGCACACACTCACACAGGCACGCACACCTGTGCACACACAGACACACACGCATGCACACACAGACACACGCACACACTCACACAGACACGCACACCCGTGCACACAGAGGCACGCTCACACAGACACACACAGACATGCACACACGTGCACGCACACACACACACGCACGCGCCCAGGGCCCGTACTCCCACCGGGCAGACCTGCACCTAAGCTGTCCTTCCAGCCGTGGGTGGGATCCCCTTGTCCCCCAATCGACCTGCCCAGCACCGGACGGCGGCCGTGGGCTCAGGGACTCACATGCCATCCAGCACCCACTCGGCACCTACAGGCTGACACCAGTGGGTCCTGTCCTCACAGCCGCAGGGTGTCACCTCCCCCCTCCCCCCACCCCGGGTGCCCCCACCCCATGTACGCGCGCAGAGCCTGCTGACGCCTCCGCCAGGGAAGGGGCGGGGGCCAGAGCAGTGCCCCTGCCCCCCTCAGGAAGCCCTCATGTGCCAGAGTGTGGCCCACGGCCTCGGGGGGCAGTGCGCCCGTCTCTGCCTGTGGGGCTAAAACACCCAGCGGAGTGGGGTGCCCCCCGGGGGAGCCCCCCACAGCCCCTGTGAGAGACCTGCCACAAGGCAGCTCCCAGCACAGCCCGGACTCGGACCCCGGCGAGCAGGTGCGGGGCTGGGGGTTAAAGACACAGGTGCCCCGCTCTGCCCGCAGCCGGCCCCCCCACCTCCGGGGCCCTCCCTCCGCCCGCTCCCCGGAGGCGCCTCTGCGCTGCCTGGTCGCAGCTCCCCCCGCCCCCGCGCTCACCCCCGCCGCCGGCCGCAGCTCCCGTAACTGCCCGTAACGGGAAAACAAACACATCTCGGTGTCGGCTGTGCCTATCGCGCCGTCATGGGCTTGTTCCCAATTTAGAAACTTAGTGAGTTGAACAATTTCTATTTTCTCTTTAAGGAGAACAACAAAGTCAGGCTCTTCCCACAGTCCCCTCTGTCCTGGAGCGTCCCCAGGGCAAGTCCTCCCCCACCCCCCGCTCCCCTGCCGGGGCCTCAGTTTCCCCATCTGCACAGGGAGAGGCTTAGAGCAGATGGTCCCGGGAGCTCACTGAGCTGCCCGCAGAGGGTGGTCCCGGCTCCGGACAGGGGCAGGGGAAGACCCCCGCCCGGCGGGCCTGTAGGTGTCCGAGATCTCACACACACACACACACACACACACACAGAGTCACCGTCGGACACGTGTGCAAACGCTCCAGCCCCACCCCCAGCCTGCTCCTGGGCCCCACCCGCACCCACCCGCAGCCCCCAGACCACGCTGAGCTGGGAAACAGGGCCCATACCCCCTCAGGCGGGCGATTACAGATTTAATTAAAAGTGACACAGTAAATAAAAAACATATAAAATGTAATTTGTGTGGGTAGCGAGGGGTGACTGGGCGGGCGGCGTGCTCCTGTTTTAATTAGGGTGCTGCCTGCGAAGGCGCCCCTCCACTGGCCCAGGCAGGGGCCTGCAGGGGGGGGGGGGCTTCACCCCGCCTCCGGCTGCCCGGGGCCCATGGCCCCTGAGGGCTCCCTGCATTCTGGAGACCAGCTCTGTGCCCAGGCCCTCTGCCCGGGGGCACCCTGGGCTCGGAGGGGCCCTGTAGGCCACCCCAGATTTAACCCCAGAGCCCTGAGGCCTGCCGCTGGAGCTCCCCATCCAGTGCTCCCCTCTCGGCCCTCCCTCAGCTCCCAAGACCTCCAGTAAGTCCCTCCCGACGTCTGACTGACGTCCTTCCAGCTGCAGCCGCCTGGCTTCCTCCCTGGAGCCGGGAACTCGGCCCCCTCTGCCCAGCCCCCTCTCCCTCCCCCAGGCCGAGGGCGTGTCCGCCCGGGGTTCCTGCCTGTGGGGAGCTGCCCCGCCCCCGTGTCCCCCAGTGCGTCCGGGGAGCTGCCCCGCCCCCGTGTCCCCGAGTGCGTCCGGGGAGCAGCCCCGCCCTCGCTCCTCATGGGGCCCGGGAGCGAGGAGGGAGGGGGCCCAGCGGGAGTGGCCGTCCTGGGCACGCATGTCTGCACGGGGCGTGTGCTCTGCAGCCTCGGCGAGGCTGTGCCCGGCCCGCTCGCTGCCTGCGTGCTGGTGAGTCTTGAGAGGCGAGCCCGTGGCCTGCAGGGAGGGCTGGTGGCGGCGGCCTGGCCGGCCCGGGTCGGGCAGGCAGTGGGCCCTGTGTGTGTGTGTGTGTGTGTGTGTGCGTGTGTGTGTGCGGGGCCCGCCCTCCTCATCACAGCGTGTGTGTGTGTGTGTGTGACACACACACACACACACACACACACACACGGGGCCCGCCCTCCTCACTCACAGCCTGTGTGTGTGTGCGTGTGTGTGCGTGCGGGGCCCGCCCTCCTCATCACAGCGTGTGTGTGTGTGTGTGTGTGCACACACACGGGGCCCGCCCTCCTCACTCACAGCCTGTGCGTGTGTGTGCGCGCAGGGCCCGCCCTCCTCACTCACAGCCCGCCCTCCTCACTCAGAGCCTGTGTGTGTGTGTGTGTGTGTGTGCGCGCGCGTGCGGGGCCCGCCCTCCTCACTCACAGCCTTTGTAGATGTCCGTGGGGATCTGCACCGCCGTGTACGAGTAGTTGACCTTGTTCTTGAAGTTGGCATCCTCCACGAAGTCCAGCTTCAGGGTGCTGACCTTGGACCCCCTCTCCAGGTCCTCCACCTCAGGGTCGTCCTGCAGGAGGGAACCCCCGGCCCCCGGCAGAGTCAGGGCGGGCCATGGGGAGGGGTCAGAGGGGCTGAGGCAGGGCGGGCCATGGGGAGGGGTCAGAGGGGCAGAGTCAGGGCGGGCCATGGGGAGGGGTCAGAGGGGCTGAGGCAGGGGCGGGCCATGGGGAGGGGTCAGAGGGGCTGAGGCAGGGGCGGGCCATGGGGAGGGGTCAGAGGGGCTGAGGCAGGGCGGGCCATGGGGAGGGGTCAGAGGGGCAGAGTCAGGGCGGGCCATGGGGAGGGGTCAGAGGGGCAGAGTCAGGGCGGGCCATGGGGAGGGGTCAGAGGGGCTGAGGCAGGGGCGGGCCATGGGGAGGGGTCAGAGGGGCAGAGTCAGGGCGGGCCATGGGGAGGGGTCAGAGGGGCAGAGTCAGGGGCGGGCCAGGGCCCAGGGGGCGGGGACAGCTCAGAGTCAGAGGATGGCAGAGACAGACAGAGAGACACGGGGTGTGGTCCCCTCGCTCGGGCGGCCTGTGACTCACCTGCCCTGCTCACCCCACCCACAAAGCCCCCAGATTCCAAAACCAAAACCAGACGGACCCTTCTCCACATCCCTGAGAACCACCACCCCCCCCAGCTCAGGAGGTGGACTAGGAAGCCAGTGAGGAGCAAGGCAGCAGGTCTCGTCCCTCGGACGCGCCTCCTGCACGCGGGGCAGCCTGGGTGCCCTCCCGAGCTCTGCACCCCACCGCCCCGCCCACGGACACAGGCTCCTCTGGCACAGGGAGAGGGCCTGGCGCCGTCTGGGGGCACCCCTGCAGGGGGTGACTAGGTCTGAGCTGTGGGGAGCCCGGGGGAGGGCTGGGGCAGAGGCTGGCACGGAGACCCAGCCGCAGGCAGCGGACGGCAGGGCCCAATGACTTTCTAAAATGAGCCGCAGCCGCTGACAGGTGCCAATTACCATGTCCCTGGCCGGCAGGCTGGGCATGCGCTGTGCGCCCGCCCACCGCGCTGCTGGCAGGAGCGGGCCTGAGCCTCCGTGTTGACGCGCCGCCGAGGGGGGTGGGCAGGCGCGGGCGCAGGTGTGCGAGGGGGAAGGGAGGATGGCGGGAGCGAGAGAGGGGGAGGCAGGAAAGGGCGAGCAGGCAGGGCAGCGCTGGGGGCTGTGTGCCGGGGAGGAAGCTGGGGGAGGGGCTGAGCCGGCCACACGCTCCCCACGGCCCCCCAGGCCCCCCAGCACCCAGGCCCGGGCCGGCTGGGCTGGGCCGGCTGCTCCTCTGCCTGCGGGTGGCAGGACGGCGGGCTGGGCCTCACTGCACCTCGGCTCCGGCCTCTGGGTGTCGCCAGGTGTCTTGTCTGGGGACGGGGGGGGGGGGGGGGGGGACGGACCCGTGCCCACCTGCAGGGCCTGCAGCGAACCCTTTTCGTCTCTTTAGGGGTCGGGCTAGGTGCTGCCCCGCCCCCGCTCTGCACCCCCAGGACCCTCCGCAGGCCCGGGCGCTGGGAAAGCGGGCGCAGCCGCCTCGGAGGCAGGCGGGAGCACTCCCGGTCTGCGGGAGGAGGGGCCCCGAAATGTCAGCGGCAGATGAAGGCGCCGGGAAATGTAATCGCCAACTCCCCCACTAACGTGGCATTTGGATTCCGCGCTGATAAGCTATCAGCTGGCGAACTTTCCCTCCCCCCACCCCCACTCCCGGCTGGTAATTTAAAAGTAAATGGTCTAGAAAGATCTCTAACTGTACCTCTGGCAAAGATGAAAACACACCACACACACGCACACACACACACACACTCACACACAAAACAACCCGAGCTGGAGAGGAGGCAGATGTGTGATGTGGAATTCATAGCAGGGCCACGCTCAGCCGGCTCCCGGGCCCCCAGCCGCAGCCCCGCCCGCCCCGCCCGGGGGTCTCCCTCCTCAGGCCACATCCCGTGCCCCCGCGAGCGTGCAGAGGGCTGGGCGGGACTCAGCGGTGAGAGCCAGGGGCTGGGTCCCGGAGGCCGGGGCTGGAGGCAGGGCGTGCAGGGTTGGCAGGGAGCGGGCCGCCCTGGCCGGGCGCCGCGGTGCCCCCTGGCCCGTGGCTGTGCGGTGGGCAGCGGCGTGTCCGGGCCTGGGTTAACGCACCGATTGCTGAAACCAGCCCGCTGCCGGGGGCTGCGCAGCGAGACTTGGGGTCTAATTAGAGGTTCGCTCTTCATTTGAATTTCAGATTCCAGCTTTAATTTTAGCAGCTTCTCCGGGCGCCGCCACGAAGCTCAGCCACGGGGAAAGCACATCTGCTCCAGCCACCCCTCCCCAGCCCCCCGCCCCCGCCCCCCCGCCTGCCTGTCCTGAAGGCTCCCCCTGCCAGCCTGGCACCAGGACCCCTTCCTGCCGCTCACCCCTGGGAGTCACGGGGCACCTCCTGCTCCCCGAAGGACACCCTCCGGCCACGAGGCCTGGGAGAGAAGCCGGGACTCAGGGTCTCCTGCACGGGCCAGCCCCGGGGGACCCCAGGCACCGAGCGGCTGTGACACCTGCTCCGAAAGGCAGGCAGGCAGGCAGGCAGGCAGCCGGACCCGGCCTGGACAGCCGACCAGACACTGTCTATCCCACGTGCTCTGCCCTCAACGCGTGTTTTTTTTTAAATCCTCACGTGAGGATTCTCCCCGTTGACTTTGAGAGAGAGTGGAAGGGAGGGGAGAGTCGGAGAGAGAAACGTGGATGTGAGAGTGGCTGCCACTGAGTGGCTGCCTCCCCCACACGCCCCGACTGGGACCAGGGATCAAGCCTGCAACTGAGGTACGAGGTTCGTGCCCCTGACCGGAATCGAACGCGGGCCCCTTCAGGCTGCAGGCTGACGCTCTAGCCACTGAGCCACACCGGCCAGGCCCCCCTATTCGCACTCCTGTCTCCTTTGCAGGCCCCTCCCACCCAAAGGTGCCCGTAATGTGAAGAGCAGGCACGGGAGCGGACTGCCTCCGCAGCTGGGGGTCCCACTGAGCTCGGGGCCAAGCTGCTCACCTGCTCCGGGCCAGGCTGGGGTGCCCGCCCACCGAGCTGCCGCTCCCCTCCCTGCTGACCTCAGTGCACCTGCCTCCTGCTTCTCGGCCCCACCCGCCTCCTCCAGGAAGCCCTCCCCTCAGTTCTGGCGCCTGAGCTGATCCCCACCCCCCAGCACCCGGCCCGCCCGCCACACGGCAGCAGAGCTGTGCCCCGAGGGCCACAGACACAGCCCCGGAGGGTCTGGCCTCGGGTTTGCCGTGGAAGATGTGGGGTGGGGGTCTGGGCCTCCGCTCCCCTGCAGGCTCCAGCTCAGAATCCCAGGGCACTGAGTCCCGCCCACATTTCCCAGCAGAGGCCCCTGGCCCAGAGGGGCGCTTACCAGCTCCGCGTCCGCCTTGGCGTCGTAGTACACGATATCTTCCTCCTGGGGGGGGGGGGAGGCCTCAGCAACCACGGCCCAAGGCCTCCTGAGGTGCAGCCGGGACCCCCGAGTCCTGCACCCAGAGCTGCCATCCAGGGAGGCAGGGGGACTCAGGCTGGCAATGCCCCTCCCAGGCGACGGGCGCGGTCCTCAGATCTGCCCCGGGGGCAGACCCGCCGCCAGGCTGGCAGACCGGGCGCGGGCGCGGGCGCAGGAGGGAGACAGACGGGCCCGGCTGAGTGCGGCTGGAGGAGAATGACTCCACCGCGTCCCCCAATTTCTCCGATTAGAAAGCTGCTCATTACGGCGTGTGCTTATTAATTATCTGTGATTTGTTGTGAGACGCAGGGAGTTTACACAACAGGCGAGGGAGGGAGCGCCCGCCCCAGCGCCCGCCCGCCCCGCCCGGAGCCCGGGGCCCGGGGCCCGCAGCCGGCTCCTCGGCCATCTGCAGCCGTAATCACCGGCCGCCCGGGAGGCCCTGACACACACGGGCTAATTTCACGTCTAATGATCCTTAATCAGGGCCGAGCGCGGCTGGAGAGGCCGCCAGGTGAGCCTGGTGCCACCAAGTGCCACCGAGCAGGAGGGCGCCCTCCCCTCCCCTGGTGGGCAGCAGGGCCAGCACCCGGGAGAGGCCAGTGTCCCCTGCTCCTCAGCCCCTCCCCTTCGCCCCTCAGCCCCTCCCCTGCCCTCCGCCCCCTCCCCTGCCCCTCCGCCCCCTCCCCTCCGCCCTGCCCCTCCGCTCCTCCCCCTGCCCCTCAGCCCCCTCCCCCTGCCCCTCAGCCCCTCCCCTTCGCCCCTCAGCCCCTCCCCCTGCCCCTCCGCCCCCTCCCCCTGCCCCTCAGCCCCTGCCCCTCCTCCCCCTCCCCCCTCCCCCTCCGTCCCTCCGCCCCCTCCCCCTGCCCCTCAGCCCCCTCCCCCTGCCTCAGCCCCCTCCCCCCGGCGCCCCTCCGCCCCTCCCCCCTCCCCCTGCCCCTCAGCCCCTCCCCCTGCCCCTCAGCCCCCTCCCCTGCCCCTCAGCCCCCTCCCCCTCCCCCTCCGCCCCTCCCCCTGCCCCTCCGCCCCTCCCCCTGCCCCTCAGCCCCCTCCCCATAGCCCCTCCACCCCCTCCCCTTCGCCCCTCAGCCCCCTCCCCGGCGCCCCTCCGCCCTCTCCCCCTCCCCCCTCCCCCTGCCCCTCCACCCCCTCCCCCTGCCCCTCCGCCCCTCCCCCTGCCCCTCAGCCCCCTCCCCATAGCCCCTCCACCCCCTCCCCTGCCCCTCAGCCCCCTCCCCTTCGCCCCTCAGCCCCCTCCCCCGAGCCCCTCGGCCCTGGTTTGCACAGTGGGACCTGTGGCCCCCCGCCCCCGGGAGCCTGTTTCTGATGCTCTGAGAGTGGGGGTGGTGACCCAGTGAGTGTACCCCAAGGGGGTGGGTGTAACACAGCAAACAGCACCAGCGCTTGCTCCACGGTGGCCTCTGACCCGGGCCTGGCTGGGCCCAGCGCTGTGTGACTCAGGGCTGCACTGCTCCCTCTCTGAGCTCAGGCTCCCCTGCCCCCGGTGAGGGCAGGTGCTGTCTGCGGCCACACTGGAGGGCTTGTGGGGGGGAGAGCCGTGAGGTGCTCCCGCCCATGGTCTGGGTGCAGGGTACTGGCTGGGCCCACAGGCACCGCGCAGACCCCCCGCCCCCCGCCTCTCGGGGGAGACCAGCCTCTGAGGCAGGGAGGACCCGGACCTGCTGGCTGCAGGCTGAGGCTTGGCTCTGCCCAGCGCTTTGCACACCCCGAGTCACGGTCCTCCCAGCGGCCCCAGGGCCCGGTCATACACACCAGGGCACCGGGGCAGAGAGGGTTCGAACCCCAGTACAACCCCGCTTCCCGAACATCTCCACCCGCCCCCAACACCCCCCCTCCAGCCGCCCCCCTGCCGCCCCCCCCAGCTCCCGGCGCTGAGCCCGGCTCCGGGCGCCGCCCGCCCGCCGCTCCCACCCCAGTGCGTAATGAAAGCTGACGTTACATCAAACACAATGAGCAGCTTCGCTGATGAAGATCGCTCCCGAGCACAAACCATTAAACCGAGGGAGGAACACGGACTGCACACGCTTGGCGAGAGGGGAATGTGACGTGTTGTCTACGGGGGCGCCGGCTCTGCTCCTTCCCTCGGAGGAACACCGGCCGCGGCGGGGGCTTCGGGTTGGGGGGCTGCACCACCAGCTCTGGGGGCCCCCCTGGGGGACGGGAGGGAAAGGGGGGCTGGGCCGCACTCCCAGGCCTCGGGCCCCCGGGCCCCCTCGCAGGCCGTCCCCTCCGGCTGCTCCGAGGGCCCTTCTCTCCGCCTGGCCTCCTGGCCGCAGCGGCGGACCCCGTGTCGGAGGATCAGGGCCGGGGGACGTGGCGCAGGACCAGCACGCGAACCCGGGTGCGGCTCAGGAGCCTGCGTGCGGCTCTGGTGCCCAGGGCCTGGCGCTCGTGGCCGGACTCCGCCCCAGCTCTCCCACCACGGAGGCCATGCGTGTGCAGCCGGGGATGCTGTGACGTGGCGCTGGGGGGTGTCCCTGGAAAGGCCTGTGTCTGCTGTGGCCGTGCCCACATTAGTGCCCCCCTCTGGGCGGGTCAGGAGGCAGCACCCCCAGCGACAGCACACAGGGTGCTGGCCTTGCACTTGACCTGCACGTGTGAGCTCCGGGACCCTGGGCAGTGAGTGCAGACCCCAGGGGGCCCCGGAGGACTCCCAGGTGTCACCCCACCTCACCGCCAAACCCTGTGGCCCCAGGGAGGCCTAACCTGGGGGTCAGGGCTCCCACTGATAATCAGGAGGACACCCCTCCTCTGAGGCTGCTCAGGGGCAGGGAGCTGGGCCCCCCACAGGGAAGGGCCACCCCTACCCCCAGGGGACCCCATTATGTGTGCAGCCTCACAGCCTGGGGGGGCTGGGTGTGCCAGAAACCCTCTGGGGGTGAGGGGGCGTCTTTGAAGTCTGGGCCCACTCTGCCCCCCACCCCCGCCTCTGTTTCCTGGCATCCGAAGGGCCATTTTGCTCAGACTGGGCAGGGGTGAGGGAATCCCCCTCCGAACTCCCCCCACGTGGATTCTGTGCAGAGTGACACGTGAGGGCGGGCTGTGGGCCCACGTGCCCTGTGCCGACAGCTGACACACTCCTTAGCTGGAGCTGAGCCCGAGATGGCCCGAGCAGGGCGGTCGGGGGGAATGGGATGAAGATGTGAACAGGGGGCCTGGGGAAGAGCCATACGGTGCCCTGAGGGCGGGTGCCATGGCCTGGCCAGACCTGCCACCTGCCCGCCCGCCCGCCCGCCAGGCCTCAGTGTGGGGCCCGGGCCTGACTGCCACCTGCCCGCCCGCCCGCCTGCCCGCCCGCCAGGCCTCAGTGCGGGCCCGGGCCAGCTAGGCGTCACCGGGAGGGCACGGCCTCCCTGCTGGCTCTCGGCCAGCCCGGTGTGGCCACGGGCACCGCTTTCTGGGAGAGCCGTCTGTCGCTGCACGGCCAGGCAGGCAGCCAGCCTGATGGCAGGGCGGACAGCGGGCCAGGAGGCCACCTGTCCGTCCAGCCGGCGCCCGAGCGGGCCTGGCTGCAGACCGCCTCCCTCATCAGACAACCCGAGGCCGGCTGCCTCCCCGGGGGACGCCCTGGGGTCCGACTGCGTCCTCCATGGGACTCCCGGGCAGGACTGGTCTCGCACTGAGGCCCGGGGTGGCCTCCCTCACCCGCCCATGCCCGGCCGGCTCCCTCCTGCTGGCGGGGGAGCTGGCGGATAACGATGGCGCAGGGCGGCGCTGGCGCCGTCACCACCATGAGCGTCACGCACCAGCGCACCTGCCGCCTGGCTGAGTGCGGGACACGGGGCGCTGCCTGCTAACGAGCCCTGGCTTCTCAGTGTCCACGGCTGTGACGGCAGGCCCCTGCCCGTCACGGCCAGGGCGAGGAGGTCGTGACCTGGGACGAGGCGGGGCTTTCTGGCCGGACGCCTCCCCCTCCCTCTCGGGTCCCAGCTCTGACCCTGGGGACTCCAGGACCCACGTCCCCAGGCTGGGGGCGGGAGAGTGGAGGTGTGTGCGGGTAAGGGGACACCACTGTCCGTTTCCCAGAGGTCTATGTGCAGACCTACTGTGTGCTGCTGATCGTGCAGTGGGTTCCCGTTTGGCCCCCGTGGGCCAAGCATCTGTGCTCAGAACTGCTGGGTGCCATCCTCCCCATTTCAGAGGCGAGAAGACCGAGTCTCAGCGGCTCCCAGCCACACTGTCCACAGGGCACCCAGCCAGGCCCACGGACAGGCCCAGACAGGCTTTCCTAAAGGGCCCGAGTCTACGCCTGAAGGTCATTGGGAAGGACGCGGTGCCAGGAGGGGGTGGTGTGCCTTCTGCAGCCTCAAGCGCCCACCTCTCCCTCGGCCTGCAGCTGCGGCCAGGTCCCTGGCAGCCGGCAATGGGCCGCCATCAGCCTGGTCAGCGCCGGGCAGCCCGGAGCTGGGAAGACCAGGACCTGACCCTCTGCTGTGGAGGGGAGACTCCCGCTCCCGAGGCTGGACAGACAGACAGACAGGAGAGCTGGCGGGCTGGGGAGGGCACTGGGGCACCGGGCAGCCAGGCTGGGCCCGCCGGGCCTGTGGCCACCCCCCCCCCCGGAGCGGCATCTCAGGCCACGCCAGGGGGGGACCAGCCGGAGCTCATGCCCGCCCCCTCTCAGGGCAGGAGCAGCTGCGCCCACCCTGCCCCTGGCCGGGCCGCTAACGGCTGGCAGGTGGATGCCCCTTTTAGCACCAGGTCCGAGCGACAGGCCGCCGCCCAGCCGTCCGTCTCACGCGGGACACGTGGCCACGTGGGTGCACGGCAACTGCGACCCGAGTGCAGCAGCGGGTCCTCCAGGGGCGCCTGCGGGGGGAGGGGGAGGCAGGGGCGGGGCGGGGCGGGCGCAGTCCTCACCTTGATGTTGTCCTGCCAGCGGTGGGCTTTCTGGAAGGTCTCTGCGGCGTCGGCCAGTCTCTGCAGACAGAGCACAGGGAGGTCAGAGGCCAGATCTCCCCAGCCCAGAGCGAAACGCCCTCACACGCCTCTGCCCACCGCCCGCCTCTGCCCCTGCTATCACTCAAACCACCTGTGGACAGGATGCCCCCCCACCCCCCGCCCCAGGCTCTGAGCTCCCTCAGGCCCCGCGTCCTCCTTGCCCTCTGACATCTACCTCCATGGTCCCTGGAGCCTTTAAGATGTGGATCTGAGCACGTGGCTCCCCCAGCCTCCACATCCTCAGCAGCCCCCCAGGGCTCTGCACATAAAAGGCAAAACTTTCCTTTTTATAAAAGGCAAAGAGTCGCCCGGCTGGTGTGGCTCGGTGGTTAGAGTCGTTCTATGCACCGAAGGTCCTCAGACCCCATCCCCGGTCAGGGCATGTGCGGGAGGCAGCCGACGGATGTCTCTCTCACGTCAACGCCTCTCTTTCTCCCCTGCCTTCCTCTCTGGAATCAATGATAGAAAAACGGACAGAGCTGCTGTGAGACCCCAGGGGCCCACATGTGCCCTCCTCCGGCCCCCCCCCCTCCCTCCGGGGGTCCCCTTCCCCCTAAAGTGCACCCCAGGACAGGCAAGGCCCCCGTGCACAAGCCTGGGTGCCCTTCTGCAGAGGGCGTGGCCGTGTGGCGCGGGGACACGCATGGTGAACACCGAGTCACATGACTGCTCACGGAGCACCTAGGACACGGCTGGCCCCCCCCCCCCCCGGCCTGGAGGAGGGCGGAGCCTGAGGAGGGCAGGAGCCGGGAGCCATCGCTGCCGCCCCTTCCGGACGCTCCCGGTTCCAGGCCCAGGACACCAGCTGCGCCCCCGCGCCCTGGCCCCGGAGGGGAGACGGGGAGGGCCGGCACCCGGCCTCCCTGGCTTCTCAGGGCCCCGCGGGCTCCGAGGCGGGGGTCAGCCGCTGAGTCGAGAATAACAGTTGCAATAGCCGCAGCGAAAGGATTACGTTTAATCCTCGCAGCCATCAGGCCATTATTATTTTCTCGGTGTTACAGATCAATCAGCCGGGCCGGGCGCCGCACGCGGGCAAACTGCTAAGCACAGGCCTGGGGGGCAGGCGGGAGGGGGGCTGGGCACCTGAACGGCCTGGGGTGGGCAGTGTGGCTGCCCGCGTCCGGTCAGGCGCGAGGATGAGCCGGGGGGAGGGGGGCGGAGGGAGGGCTGGGACCACCCACGGGCAGGCCTGAGGAGCCCCAGGGGTCGTGGGTCAGAGCCTGGACCCTGGGGCCTCGGAGCACGGGCCTGGGTTCGAATCCTGCCTGACCTGAGCCAGTGGCCTCCTGCGCGCAGCGTCTGAGTGCACACTGGACCCCCCGAGCGGGTAGACCCCGGCAGCCCCCTTGCTCCCATCCCAGGAGCTGCCCACGGCGAGTGCAGTTAATCCTGAGGACGGGGGGAGACAGTGCCTCTTCCTCCTCCTCCCCTCCTCACCCCACCCTTAGCAAGACCCTGCGAGGGGGTTCCTCTGTGCCCCTCCGTCCCCGGTGAGCGCCACGGCCCCCGGCCAGGTGCGGAGTGGAGGCAAACGGGGGTGGACGGCGTGTGGGACAGCGGACGCCTGGGGAACCGGCCTGGCAGGAGGGGCCCGGCCGCAGGACCCCGCCCCCGCCCCAGGTGGTTCCCTTGCTGTCCCCCAGGAGAGCAGGCCAGTCACAGGGCCCCCAGATGCTGCTCTGAGCCCACCCCCAACATGGTGTCACCAGGCCCGGGCCCTGGGGGGCGTAGGCACCCGGGTGCCCACCTCCCTCCCTTCCCGCGGGCCCAGTGTTAGCTCTCTGCTGTGCTCTGATAGATACCAAATACAGATTTCCAATTTCCAGAGCTGTTAGGGTCTAATGAGTAAATAATATACATATTTAAAACTGTCTAAAAACATATCTGCATAATTAAAGTATCTGCATAATAATGAAGCAAGGTGCAGCTTAGCGAGGAGGGAGCCGGAGCACACAGGACCCACCATCGGGGCAGCCAGGCAGGCGGCGGGGGTCCCGGCCCTGCCAGCTCTCCTTCCTGCTGCCCTGGCCGGAGTGGGCGCCTGTCCCTCTGCCCCGCCTGCTCCAAGCAGGTCCACCCAGTCAGAGGTCAGGGACCCCCTCGGCCCCGTCCCTGCACCGCCCGTAGCCCGTGGGGCTGCCCGGCACAGGGCCTGCTCCGAGGGTGGCTACCCTGACCACTTCCATCCGACGAGCTCAGAGCCTCACGCCCCACGGCCTGAGGGCAGCTGCTGTCCCCGCTCCCATTGTGCCGGGCTCCGAGGGGTGGGGAGAGGGCATGGGCACGGCCGGGAGCTGCCCGGGACCCAGGGCTCGCGCGTGGCAGGAGATGGAGATGCCAGGGCTTTGCCTTCCTGTCAAATGCACCACCAACACCAGAGCCTCCGGGCACAACTGGCCTTGCCCTCCTGCCCTCCGAGGTCCCTTCTTTATAAATATGTAAAACTTCAGAGAGGGAGAGGGAGAGGGAGAGGGAGAGGGAGAGGGAGAGGGAGAGGGAGAGGGAGAGAAGCATCAATGATGCGAATCATGGACCGGCTGCCTCCTGCACGCCCCCACTGGGGATCCAGCCCGCACCCAGGCTGTGCCCTGACAGGGAAGGCTCCTAGGCGGACGCTCAGCCCCTGAGCCACACCGCGGGGCAGTGAGCTGTCCTTCACGCCCGCCTGGCTCCCGCGATCCGGCCCAGTCCTGAGCCCGGGCTGCCTGGTGCACACTTGTCGCGGGGAGGCCCCTGCCAGGAGCCGCGTCCCCACAGAAAGCAGCGCCGAGCCCCGTCTGCGAGGACAGCGGGCCCCTCCCCGCCATGCCCCTCCCCGCGATGCTATTTTTACACGTCCCCCTAAAACTCTGCCTGAGCGGGCCCTTCTCGACTCCATTAACATGAGGAACCTAATCAGTAATCAGGCAGCTCATAATTTTCTGATTAGCTCTGATTAGGCCCAGCCTCGGGGGGAGAGGGAGTGGGGCGCTGGGATTGCTCGGTGGGGGGCTGGCCCGGCTGGGGGTGCAGGGCAGGAAGGGGCCCCCGGCCCCGCTGTCTTCTGTCCGGGGGTGGGGGCGCGACGGGAGCGGGGTCTTTCCCTGGTTGCCCTGGGTGACAGGGGTCAGGGAGCACTGGCAGGTCGGGCCCAGACTTTCAGCACCATGGACAGAGCAGGAGGCTCGCTCATCAGTCCACAGAGCCAAATAGCAGCAGGGCAGGATTAAAATTTCTTTGGAGAGCCACATTTTTTAAACTTAAACTTCTTCTAACGCCACTTCTTCAAAATAGACTCGCCCAGGCCGTGGTGTTTTGTGGAAGAGCCACACTCAAGGGGCCAAAGAGCCGCATGTGGCTCGCGAGCCGCAGTTTGCCGACCCTGGGGCTAGGCTCTCTGGGCCCCGCTCCAGGGGCAGCCCTGGGTGACAGGGAGAGTGACAGGGCACTATTTTTTAATAATATATTTTTATGGGTTTTTCACAGGGAGGATAGACAGTTAGAAACATCAATGGCCGAAACCGTTTGGCTCAGCGGTGGAGCGTCGGTCCGCGGACTAGGGGGTTCCGGGTTCGATTCTGGTCAGGGGCATGAGCGTTGGTTGCGGGCACACCCCCGGTAGGGTGTGTGCAGGAGGCGGCAGGTCGGTGTTTCTCTCTCATTGACATTTCTGGCTCTCTATCTCTCTCCCTTCCTCTCTGTAAAAAATCAATAAATTAAAAAAAAAAAAAAAGAAACATCGATGAGGGCGAGATATCGATCAGCTGCCTCCTGCACACCCCCTACTGGGGATGTGCCCACAACCAAGGTACATGCCCTTGACTGGAATCGAACCCGGGACCCTTCAGTCCGCAGGCCGACACTCTATTCACTGAGCAAACCCGGCTTTGGCAAGGGCCCTCTTACCGAGTGCACAGCAGGCAGGGTCGGGCTTGAAGACCGCGGGAACCTTGAGGCTGGGGCCCTGTTGCCCGGTCCGGGAGCCCAGATCTGCATCGCCCAGGCGATGTGCCGTTAGGGGCAGACCTGGGCCTGTGCGGGGGCCTCCAGGCTCTGCCTGAGACCCGTTTGCCAGCTTTACAACTCGGGCTCGGCTGGAAGCATCTGCTGGCTACGCTCTGGGCCTGTGGAGCCCGGACCCTGGGCCCGGACCCTGGGCCGGGCCTGTCCGGAGCCTGGGCTGACTCATGTCCCACCCCGCGGCCTGTCCACGGGCCTCCCCCACAGGCTCCGGCTTGCGGGGCCACACCGTGGAGCCCGGATCAGGTCAGGGCAGCGTGGCCCTGCCTGGCCCAGGTCTGGACCACAGGGCACCACCCCTTGTTGAAAGCGACCATCAGGTGGCCTCTGGGGAAGCGCCGAGCGCCAGAGGCGGCGGGCACCGCTAATGCCATGTAAATGGCACGAAGGCAATCAGCCCGCCTCTCAGAGCTGCCCCCCCCCGGCCGCAGGCTGGCTCACTGTCTTTCCTGTCAATTTGCATCTCATTACCCAGAAGGCTGTGCTCGCCGGAGGTTAAAGGAAAAAAAGAATAAAGCAGACCCCACTGAGCCCTGCCTCCCGAGAGGGCATAGCCCCGGGTGGGACCGCTGCCGGTGGACTGCCCCACCAGGTCCCCCTCACCATTCTGGCAGAGCCCCGGAGGGTGGGCTAGCTTACTCCCCGATCAGCGGCCACAGCGCCCCCTGGGGCACAGCCAGGAGCTGCGCATGTGACACGGTGACGGCTGCCTGCCCCCCTGAACCTTGATCACGGCATCTCTGAACCGAGGCCCTGGTGGTCCCGACGGTGCGGCCGCAAGGGGGAAAGGCGGACGATGGGAGGACACGGGCATCACGGCTCCCTCCGGCTCCACACGGCCCCCGAGCCCCGGGGCCCTGGTCATCACCCGGAGGCGCCATTCCCATTCCGCTGCCCAGGACGCCCAGCTGGCGGGCTGAGCAGGAGGCGGCGGCGCCCCACGTCGCTCGGCCGTCTCTGCCGGCGCGGACGCCGGGGAC